GATACCACAGCAACAGCCTAGCAACACCCTGGCAACCACTTAGGATACTAAAGCAACTGCCTGACAACACCCTAGCAACCACCTGGAATACCATAGCAAACACCTATGAACAAGCTTAACTCTGCATTTTCATTAGTAAGTATACTATTCTAGTTTATGATATGAGGGTATTAACTTTAGATTCATACGGGTTAACAGTCTAATAGAAGGGGTCAGTTTGGTAATAATGCGTCTAATGTTGTCTGTTATTACACATCTCTATATACACCGGTCAGTTATCATCCTTTCTATCATTGTTTCTCATCCCTTCCTCTAAAATACCTCATCAGCCAGAGCCTGGGTTCAATTAAAGCTCCATACAGTTACTACAGTCCCAGAAACCTTCGTGTGAAAGGGAGGAGGATTGATGTCTCAGTGGAGCCCAGTGAAAGCTGAGCCGGCGCTATACACTCCATCTGAATGCATCACCCTCAAACACCTCATGAATAGGGATGCATCAGTATGGGAATTCTGGGCTGATGCTGATATACATTTTGTAACATATATGTGGAACTATGTGTACCTGGATTAGCATGAGGGAGAAATATGATTTATTATTATTATTCATTTTATTCTGCTGGGTTAGAAATGCAGTAAAATAAATGAAATGCAGATATTTTAGCGCAGTAACCCAGCATCACCTGAACATTCTGCTCTCCCAGAGACAATTAATACATCATCAAATACTGGTTTCAAATATCAGTCAAATCTAAACATCAGTCCGATGCTGATTATTTTTTGGGCAAATATCTTTTGATACCAGTATTTTGATATCATTGTGATCTCAATAGTTGTCATAGTAACCCCTAATGTGGCGGTGATATTATGGGAAATCCTGCCCTTCAATAAAAAGAACCATTTAGCTAGATGGCAAGGAGCCTTCCTTTGTTTTGGAGATATGCGCTTGTAGCAACAACAAGAAGAAAAATGCTTTCTTAGCAAACTATTTGTGTGATTTCGAATGTTTTTAACCTGGCGGTCAGTTTCAGGTGTATAGGTTCATCTGATAGACAGTATCCTGGTCCTATACGACTGGAATAACTGCACAGGGATGTTGTTGCTGGTGAATGGATAGACTTTCCTTTAAGGACTCTGCAATACACTCACTACTTCAGACTAGACTGCACAACCAGATACAACGAGATTAAACACTGTCCTGCACTGTTTTGACCAAACATAGTTATGTGAATGCTTTGATTCATCAAAACACCCACAGAAACTCATCTGGAACATCTGAGAACATGAGAACATATATACATTAGTGTGTGTATATATATATATATATATATATATATATATATATATATATATATATATATATATATATATATATATATATAATGTATATTAATACTATATTCTGAGATTCTAATACTATATTCTGAGATTTAATAAGTTGGAACAGATAAAATAGAACCTGTAGTGCAACAAATAAAACATACTGTAGTAGTAAGAATAATAATAATAATAATAATTATAATAATAATACAACTAAAATGATTTTCATTCAGTGTTTTCAAACTGCCTTGCACTAAATCCAATACAGGCTAAATTATGCTCATCAGTGTTCTTAAAGTACTGACGACGTGCAATACAAACTCAGAAAAGCGTACTGTGACAATTTATCATGATAGCGATAGAATATCATCATATCATGTTAATATATTAAAATATGTGCACATATATAAATGAAATATATGCAGTAGTGTAAATTAATCCATTCCGATTATTCGCTGTCGGAACAAAACCTTGTATCTTCATTTTTGACGTTTTTCGGTTTTTGACATAATTTAAAAATGCCTGTTGCTCTTTACACTGTGTGCAAATTTCCTGATGAATAGACCAAAAGAAATGTTCCAAAAATTTTAAAAATCTAGTTTCATTAACTTCCATTACAGGTTGAGAATGTTTTTTTCTTCTCCTGTAAAATTACCATTTTGAAGATAAAAGATTTTGTTTCCGACAGATATGATTTATTTCTGTATGGGATATGTACACATTTTCACAACAGAGCTGGGAGATATGGCGATGTAAATCGTCATCATGATAAATTACATCACAATATGTCACAATATGCTTTTCTGATCATACTGCGAACATCGTCAGTACTTCAAAAGTGTGTGAAATGTTGAATACAAGTAATGGGGTTCATAGTTTTTGATAGTGTTTTTAAAATGTGGGCTTACTTTGTCTGTTCCAACTTGCCAGATGTTAGAAAAAAATAAATATCGTGACACATCCTGTAAAAAAAAAAAACTATCGTGATATTACGTATTGCTGTATCGACCGGCTCTATTTCATAATCGACAAAACAAAACATGTCACCTGACCAGGGGTGCCCAAACTTTTGCACACAGCCATATCTGGATTAGCATCACAGAGAAATACGACACTTCTAAAGGGTTACAAATCCAGCAGAATCAATACAACAACCCAGCGTCACCTCCTACATCACTGAATATCAGTTTAAATATAGGCCGAATCTAAACATCGATATCGATCGTTTGACTCCGATATCATCGAGCATCCCTACATTAAAACATATGAGGACTGTGTATTTGAAAAGCAGGGCTTTAGCTGCTCATTAGCCTGCACTCTTAAAGAACATGGTTCTTCAAGGGTTCTTTGGTAAAAACAATAGTTCTATTTAGAACCATAAGTTCTATTTAGAACCATTTCAGGCTAAAATGGTTCTTTGCATGGTAAAATCATTGTTCTGACTGATGGAGCATGTGCTGTATATAGTTCTATACAGCACCAAAAAGGGTTCTTCTGCGCTCTTAAAAAATATGGTTCTTCGAAGGTTCTTTAATAAAGACAATGGTTCTGTATAAATGTTTCTTTGCCTGGCAAAACGGTTCTTCAGATTAATAGGGAATGTGTTGTATACGGTTCTATACAGAACCTTTGAAGAACCATATTTTTTATGAGTGCAGAAAAATCCTTTTTGGCGCTATATGGTTCTTCAGAGGTTCTTTATTAAAGACAATGGTTCTATATAGACCCATGAACACTCAAAGAACCATTTGCATGCTTAAATGGTTCTTTGCCTGGTGAACTGGTTCTTGGCTCTCTACGGCACCAAAAAGCTTTCTCCTGTGTTGTATAAAACGTCGTTGTATACAAGTACAATATTGTTCTTTTTGAAAATGGCACCAAAAAGGGTTCTTCAGCACTTAAAAATATGGTTCTTCAAAGGTTCTTTATTAAGAACAATGGTTCTACATAGATCCATGAACACTTAAAGGACCATTCGCATGCTTAAATAGTTCTCTGCCTGGTGCAGTAGTTCTTCAGATTGATGGGGAAAGTGTTGTGTATGGTCCTATTCAGAACCTTTAAGGCAGCATATTTTTAAGAGTGCAGAAGAACCCTTTTTGGTGCTATCTGGTTCTTCAAAGGTTCTTTATTAAAGACAATGGTTCTATATAGACCCATGAACACCTGAAGAACCATTTGCATGCTTAAATGGTTCTCTGCCTGGTGCAGTAGTTCTTCAGATTGATGGGGAACGTGTTGTATATGGTCCTATATAGAACCTTTGAAGAAGCATATTTTTTAGAAGTGCACAAGAACCCTTTTTGGTGCTATCTGGTTCTTCAAAGGTTCTTTATTTAAGACAATGGTTCTATACAGACCCATAAACACCTGAAGAACAATTTGCATGCTTAAATGGTTCTTCAGATTGATGTGGAATGTGCTGTATATGGTTCTATAGAGAACCTTTTCGAAAATGGTTCTCTATGGCATCAAAAAGGGTTCTGCTATTGTTACGAAGAACAACTTCACCATGCAAACAACCATTTAAGCATGAAATGGGTCTACACAGAACTCATGGTTCTAAACAGAACCACCGCCTTTACTGAAGAACCCTTGAAGAACCATCCTTTTGAAGTGCCTACGCCTGTTCATCCAAGCCAACACATACAAGTCTGCCTGCGTAATCTGAACGACTCTCAGACAGGAGGAGGTCGCAGGTAAACCTCCTCTGACTGCACGAACGCTTCCAATCCAGACAGGTGTAATCCAGATTACGACACGGCTGGGCGTCCAGCATACCGAGCAAACAGCACAGCGGCGATGACACAGCTCTGCTGACAGACTGCATAACCTATACGTCTCTGCGTGGAGGGCTCGTGAGCTGATGCATGCCAAACGCAACCCAGTCCCTTTAAAAACCGAACCACACGCCTTCATTATCTGCTGTGCAAGTTTGGCTGGGATCATTTGCATGGCCACCCCACTGCATTCCCACGGCATAAAGGGGTGCCACGCATCAACATGGGCGTTTTTGGGGGGCTGATATTGGCTGGGTTATGGTAATAAAGCCTGTAAGCAGCAGCCAGGGCTTGTTTGCCATGCAGAGATGAGCTCGTGCTATGACTTGCAGTACCAGTTCCCAGCTGCTGCCTGCAAATGAACCGTGCTTATCACCACTAGGCGACTGCATTCACCTTTAAAACACGATTCGAGCCAATTTGGCACAAATGCAGCACATCCAGTTCGCAGCCTCGGCTTGAATGCATTGCAGAAAGAAGAAATGACAGACACACCCTCGGGGTAGCTTTGTAGCTTTGCTGTGTGTGCATGGAGGGAGAGAGAGGGAGGGAGAGGGAGGGAGAGAGAGAGAGAAAGATGAGGAGAGACAGAAGAGAGAAAGAGAAAGAGAAGAAAAAGAAAGAGAGAAAAAAAGAGAATGGAGAGAGAGAGAGAGAGAGAGAGAGAGAGAGAGGGAGAGAGGATGCATGCAAGCTGAGGGTGTTAATACTCCACCAAATTTGAGCTCGCGCTACACAACCCGGCGTGCTAATTCGATCCAAACACGGTCTAATCTAATAATATCCGAGCCCAATTATCGCTCGTGCGACGAAGAAGAGCCCCGAACAGCACCATCATTCAGAGCTGCACGGACAATAACCGAGCGCCGCCGGAACGAGCCGAGCCCGAATCCGAGTTCTCACCTGCACATAATTGTTCTCGCAGTATTCGGCGACCCGGGAGAGGTTCTGATAGCTCTCCAGCAGAGCTCGCTTCCCAGCCGGGATCTCTTCCTCCAGGAGCATTTGTAGCTCTGCCATCTTTACATCCCTCCGTCTCCGCTCCTCTCTCCCTCACTCTCTCTCTCTCTGCCTGTCTCTCTGTCTCTCTCTCCTCCTCCTCCCACTGCTTTCATTTACAGACCGGCCGGACTCTCCCATTGCTCAACGCGGCGCCCTACGCTCTGCGCTCTGATTGGCTGCTCGGCCGCGTTCGTCCAATAGGAGAAGAGCGCGTTTCGACCAGCGATGGGAAAAGCAATGCTGGGTTGGAGGCGATGTGACTGAGCGATTTCTTTATTTCTAAATCCTTTATTTTAGTGATTATGTCGATTTCAAGCCACTAATTTCTTACATAGAAATAGTAGCATGTTATTTATTTATTTAGCATCTTTATTATTTTTTCTTATTAAAATTAAAATTTATTATTTATTTTTTAATAAATGTTGTTACATTTGTGCCCGTTAACACCTCTGCAGGCATTTAAGAATGGCCTTAAATAAAACATGAAAATATTAAACCAGAAAGTATTAAAAAAAAAAACACTGAAAATAATAATAATAATAATAAAAAAACTTTAAATCTTGTAATTAATATAGTCCAGGTGAAATTTCAAATATTATATTTTTTTATAATATTATATTTAAAATATTTAGTACGATTAGTGACATTAGGGAAAAAAAAAACAAAACAGAAAAATAGTTCTGATACATGTACGACCACAACAAAAGGATTTATTATTTATTTAGTTATTTAACAACAAAATCGAATCAAATAAACTAACTTGCCGTTCCGTTAAAAATATCAATCCAATAAATAAATAAACAAAAAATAAATAAACCTGCTATAATCTGTGGGATTTGTCTGCATGGCTGGTCGTGGGCGGTCATACCGCAAAGCATTGTGGATCTTGTAGGAGAGAAGCTCCCCGTTTTCTTGCGCATCGTGAAGTCTTGCCGTAAAAACAAAACTACATTTCCCATGAGGCCATTCGTTTTAAATCCCTTACCTCGTTCCAAACACCGGCTTTGCATTAAATGGACAATGCGCAGGTGGTGAGTTGTTTATATGTCGGATCTTTTACACTAAAACATTAAAACAATTGGAGAAAACAGATTTCACTTCCTTTTCTTTCTGTCTAAGTAATATGTTTATGCAAACAACCTGAATACTAGCTTACATATATATATATATATATATATATATGTGTGTGTGTGTGTGTGTGTGTGTGTTATTGCCAGAGCAGTAACACATTTATTACTAATGTATTTTAGCATCAGTATTGGCTGCTGTGTGTCAGTGTCAGTCTGTTTTCTTCCAGATAGACTTTGTGTCGTTTGGCGATGGAAAATGATAAAACCGTTCACGAGAGAAGGTTTGAAGCAGCTGTTAAAGTGATGAGGAGTTTACCTGAGGATGGTAAGAACTTCAAATGGGGTTTACTGGACATAACATGCACTTATAGGCCACCTTAAAGGAAATATCTAATCTACACAGTTTCCCCTTCCTTACTTATCAAAGCCCATTCACACCTGGTAGAGGAAAAATAGTAATTGATTGATTTACTCTGTCAAAATGACTTTCTACATCAAAATAATGATTGGATTAAATATATATATATATATATATATATATGTATATATATATATATATATATATATATATATATACATCAGAACTTATAAGCTGGTTGGGTTAAATAGAGTTGGGTTAAAATTAAACAAATTAGTGTCAATGTCAGTACTCAGTATCGGTCGATACTCAAGTACCAAGTATCGATATAGGAAGAGAAAAAGTGGTACTGGTGCATCCCTAATTTCGAACCAGTATTTGCTGACATATTTATTGTCTCTGGAAGAGCAGAATGTTCAGGTGACGCTGAGTTACTGCACTAAAATGTCTGCATTTTATTAATTTGAGGAAAAATAGTCATTTATTTTGAGATATTCCGTCATTATTTTGAGATATACAGTACAGTATTTTGAGAAAATCCATGAGTATTCTGCCATTCTGCTGCTAGAAACAAAGAAAAAAAACATAGGCTTTGCACTGGAGCTGCGAGGCTAATGTCACTAACAAGTAAAGGCAGTCTATGCAACCGAATGGGTTGTGAGTGACATAGACTTCCATTATATTTGCCACATATCTTGGTTGTCTGACTATGTCTGGGGCGAGGAGGAGGGGGGTGTGTAAGTTTGAATTGTTCAATGGGTTTGTCCTGTTTGGGGTGGGAATAGTGGGTCTGGAGGTGGCTGGAGAAGCCAATCCGAGACTTGAAGGATCTCCCATGTACAGGACACACATATAAAGTTGCTGGTGGAGGCTGATGCTGATGCTTTGGCTTTGAACACAGTGACTGTCTAACACTAGACCACCTGTCTCAAGGCTGTTGGAGTGTCAAGATCTGGTGCTGGGGTCAACGGTTCAGTCACCCTCTCTGTTCTCCACAGGTACCTTCGAGCCGTCTGATGACATGCTGGCTATGTTTTACAGTTACTACAAACAAGCAACAGTCGGACCGTGTAACACTACGAAACCCAACGCATGGGACTCGATTGGTGAAGCCAAATGGTGAGTCATTATTTTGCTTGTGTATTAACTTGATGGACCCTAGCAGCCACCTGAGATACCATAGCAACCACCTAGCGATACTTCAGCCCATGGCAACCACAGCATCCACCTGAGATCTGATAGCAACTACCTGCAATCTTATTGCAGTCACTTAGCAACAACCTGTCAATCACATGGGTTACCATAGCATCTACCTAGCAAAACCCTTGTAACCACTGGGGAGACCATAGCAACAGCCTTGCATCACCATAGCAACCATCTGGAATACCATAGCAACCACCTAGCCATACTTCAGCAAGTACTTGAAACTCCATAGCAATTACATAGCTATACCCTAGTAATCTCCTGGAACACCATGGCAATCACTTAGCAATTCCATAGCACCCACCAGAGATCTGATAGCAACTACCTAGCAGAGATACGCGCCTAGCAACAACCCAGCAATTGCCTGGGATACCATAGCAAACACCTAGCAACACCCAACAGCATGGGACTTGACTGGTGAAGCCAAATAGTGAGTCATTGTTTTTGGTTGTGTATTAAGTTAATGGACTGTGTTTGCATAGGAATCTGTATGCAAAAGTTTGGGCGCCCCTGGTCAAATGACGTTTTTGTTGGTTTTCCAAGTGGAAATGAGTTAACACGTCCTCTACAGAGAACACACTTCTGCACATTTTAATACACAATTATTGTGTATTTGCTGAACATAAACACACACACACAAACACACACATACACACACATACACACACACACACACACACACACATATATGTGTATATATATATATATATATATATATATATATATATATATGGGGATACCATAGCAACCACCTAGCAATACACTAGTAACCACCACTAGCAACCACATAGCAACTACCCAAGATCTGATAGCAACTACCTGTAATACCATAGCAGCCACCTAGCAATACCTTAGCAACAACATTGAGCTCCTTAGGAACCACCCAGCAATACACTAGTAAACACTTGGAACACAAAGGCAACCCCATAGCAACCAGCCGAGATCTGATAGCAAACTACATGCGATAACATACCAACCACCTAGCAAAACCCTTTTATTTTTAAGAAGAGTTAAGGCACATTTCATGATATGCTCTGTCTTACTTTTCCAGCATGTTAAACACAGCAAATAAACAGAAATTGTGCATTAAAATGTGCAAAAATGCCATATTTAAGTGTGCTCTCTGTTGAGGATGTGTTCACTTATTTCCACTTAGAAAATCAACAAAATGTGTCATTTTGCATGCAACTGTAAACGTTAAATCTACGTAACCTCTGGATATTTACAGGGAGGCATGGAAGGCTTTAGGAGACATGACAAAGGAGCAAGCCATGAAGGAGTACGTCCAGGAAATCCAGCTGGTGAGGTGTTTGGTAGAGCAGTTTGAGTAGATTTAAGTTGTAATATTGTATAGTTTTATTTGATTGTATGTTTTTTTAAAGGCTCTGTTGTTTTGAATCCTTTATTCTGCTCAGGTGTTTGTTATACATCCTTAATCTAATGCAAAGATGAAGGAAGAAGCTAACAGGATATACAGTAGCTGTCTAACTGCAGATCATGCTTGGATAAAGCTACTGTACTGTATCATTTCAGATCTTGGAGACGATGCCGGTTACAGAAGAAGTGGCTGAATTGTTGGACGAGCTTGAACCGTTTTATGAAGTAGTGGATGATGAGGACGATGAAGTGACCAGCAGACCTGCAATATTGGCCATTGGTGACTGTACTTCTTATTTAAGTTTGTAGACACCTGTTCTCCTAGTGTTTCTTCTGAAATGAAGGGTATTAATAGTGCATTTGCCCCCTTTGCTGCAGTAACAGCCTCTACTCTTCTGGGAAGGCTTTAGATGTTGGAACATTGCTGAGAGGTTTTGATTGTATTGAGCCACGAAAGGAAAAAGAGACTTTTAGTCTAAAACTGAAAGATGTATTTTGGTTGACTGTAGAAGCAGAGAGAAGTGATGAAGAGGAGGAGGAGGAGGGTGATGAGGAGAGTGGCTGTTTTGGTGAAGTTGAAGATGGAGAAGATGATGTGAAGCTGGAGGACAGCAGTGAAGGTATGAACTAACTGCTTCATTTCTGTATTGAGACTAAAAAGACAGAGTTACTATTGTTATACATTCAGTTTACATTGCATAAATATTAATGCGTGATTACATAATTACATAATAAATTGGGAAAACTTTGTGTCCTTTTTCTTCTTCTTCTGCGTATTAACAATGCGATTATTATTACCTTTTTTATACAGCGTTCATCCAAAACACCTTTTTCTCATAAAAATGAATGTAGGAATGCTCAACATCCTGAAATTGAATTACTCTTTTTATATAAACCTCTTATTCCACCTCAGACATTGTCCACTTTGTAAAAAGTTTGAAAATGCTAACCACTTCATCATGATACCTAGGCCCCGAAGTGCCTTAGCAACCACTGAGGATACCAGAGCAACCACCTAGCAACCACCTGTAATACCACCAGCAACCACCTACCAATACCTTAACAACTTGGAATTCCATAGCAGCCACCTAGCAATACAGTAGTAAACACCTGGAACACCATGGCAAACCTATAGCAACCACCTGTGACCTGAGATACCCTAGCAACCACCTAGCAACCACCTGTAATACCATAGCAACCACCTAGCAATAGCTTAACAACAACTTGGAGCTCCTTAGGAACCACCTAACAATACACTAGTAAACAGCTGGAACACCATGCCAACCCCATAGAAACTACCTGAGATCTGATAGCAAACTACCTTTGATACCATAGCAACCACCTAGCAACAGCCCATCAATCCCCAGGGGTTACCATAGCAACCACCTAGCAAAACCTGGATAACCACCTCGGAAACCAGAGCAACGGCCTAGCAACACCATAGCAACTACCTGGAATAACACAGCAACCACCTAACAACAGCTGAAATGCGATAACAACCCCTTGCAGTATCACAGCAATTACAGCATTTTCAGTGTTTATACAACAACAAAAATAACCTCTTTAATTTGAAATAACCCATGAACAAAAAAAAACAACCAGCCATTACTGTATAAACTGAATAAAGTTATTAAATAAGAAAACAATCTACAAGATCTTTAACTTTTCAAGCCAACCAGTCATACATACATTTGATTTATACGCTGCATCTGCTGATTCAGACTGTTTTCTGTTTCTTTTGACATCAAAAAACAATAATTGCAATAAAAAAAACCTGCAAGTTTTGTTCATGCTTTCAACGCTGATCTAAAGGAATGTAACACAGTTCTGCCCTTTTCTCCAGACGTGAACAGGTCAGTGGTGGTGAAGGCCGAGAGAGGGTCACTCCTGGTTTGTAACGGCAATGCAGAGACACACAGCATCTCCTCTCTAACCAGCAGCACACATAGCTCCCTGAACACGGAGGAGGACGAGGAGGAGCTGGCCTGCAGCAGAGAAAACAGCCTGGACTCTGACCTTTATACCTGTGCTGACCACATCACTGGTACTGACCTTGACCTCTCTATTACACTCTGTGCTTTTGGTAAAGGAGGATAAGCGTGGATGGATTTCAGGAACAACATGCTGTGATAGCAGAGCAGTTCTAAGTATAGTAGGTTATATGAGCCTAAAGCCAGATTAGGTCAAGACTAGACCACTGTTTACCACAAACAAGCACCTCCAGAGTTACATACAAAGGCTACTCACTTCAAAAAGATAGGGTTCTTCAAGGGTTCTTTAGTAAAGGCAGTGGTTCTATTTAGAAGAGTTCTATAGAGAACCACTTCATGCTTAAATGGTTCTTTGCACGGTGAAAAAATGATGGAGAATGTGTTGTATATGGTTCTGTATAGCATCAAAAAAGGTTCTGCTATTGTTACAAGCTGGACATTACAATGATAGAAGAACCCTTTTTGGTGCTGTACAGAACCATTTTCAAAAAGATTATATGCACAACCATATACAATACATTCTCCACCAGTCTGAAGATTTCACTATGCAAAGAACCATTTAAGGATGAAATGGTTCTCTATAGAACTCATGGTTCTAAATCGAACCATTGTCTTTACTAAAGAACCCATGAGGAACCACCTTTTTAAGACTGTACCATGGCATGTTTTTCGAAACTTCAAACTGTCTACTCACTTAAAAAAGATCACTCTTCAGATGTTTGTTAGTAGAGGCACTGGTTCCGTTTAGAACCGTTAGTTCTATATAGAACCATTTCATGCTTAAATGATTCTTTGCATGGCGAAAATGTTCTTCAGATTGAGGGATAATGTGTTGTCTATGGTTCTGTATAGCACCAGGGTTCTGCTATTGTTACAAGCTTGACATTATAACAATAGAAGAACCCTTCTTGGTGCTATACAGAACCATTTTCAGAAAGATTCTATATAGAACCATGTACAACACATTCAAAATCAATCTGAAGGGCCATTTCACCGTGCAAACAACCATTTAAGTGAGAAATGGTTCCATATATAACTCATGGTTCTAAACAGAACCATTGTCTTTACTAAAGAACCCTTAAAGAACCACCTCTTTTAAGAATGTACCACAGCATGTTTCGAAACTCAAACTGTCTACACTCTTAAAAAAGATGGTTCTTCAGATTGATAATGATCTGTAGATGGTTCTATATAGAACCTTTTTAAAAAGGGTTCTATATAGCGCCAAAAGGGTTCTTCTATTGTTACAAGCTTGACATCGTAACAATAGAAAAACCCCTTTGGGTTCTATATTTGGACCTCTTTCAAAAGGGTTCCGTATAGAACCATCTACAGAACATTTTCTATCAATCTGAATCTTTTTTAAGAGTGTAGAAAACATAGCAACCACCTGGAACATGAATTTTCTGGAAACATGGGGGGAAATGGTCATCAGTATGCTAACAGCTCAGTGATGACCTCACTGATGATCTTGTATTTCCCTCCAGATGATGTCAGCGAGCCGAGCCAGCAGAGCGATGACACCGTCAGTGACGTTTACAGTGACTCAGTGGAACATCCAGCAGACAGAGAGGTATCAGACGCAGCCTGGAACAAACGACTGTCACCACAGGATTAAACTCGTGTGGATTTTGAGGCCTTGGAATGCTTTCATGGGTTAACACTCCCGGAATACTCCAGCAGACCCTTTTTTCACACTTCCCGATTCGTCACACAAACATTTTTACTTGTTTTGAGTCATTTTATCCAGTAAAATTCTCACCATATTGGCAAATATTTTTCATTTTAAGCATGTTCCTTACAACAATCAAACATCTACCAATATAGCGAAACAACTTACTTAATAAAATCACTTATAACTGATAAAATGTCTAAAAATCAATGTTACCAATCTTACAATAAGCAACAATCTCAACATGAGATGCGTTAGTTATATTGGCTGCATTTAGGGTAATTTGGCTAGCTACGATAGTATTTTTGCAGTGTACTACTATTTGAAAATGTCTAAAATGTTTAAAGTGATAGTTTGGCAAAAAATGGCAAATGTTTGAGCACCTCTGTTCAAATAACACATGTTGTCAAAGTGAAAATAAGCTAATAGTTTCCTCTACCGAGAGCACACTTCTGCACGATTTAATGCACATTTGCTGTTTATTTACTGAATTTTACGTATTGGGAAAAAATAAAACAGAAATTGTGGTCTGTGCAAAAGTTATAGCAGATTTAATATGTTACAATTTATTTTTTTGTATTATTTTCCAATATTTTCCAGTATGTTACTTGGCAAATAAATAGAAAGTGTGCACTAAAATTTGCAGAAAAAGTTTGAAAATGCTAACCACATCATGATACCCAGGAACCAAAGTGACTTAGCAACCACTGAGGATACCAGAGGAACCACCTAGCGACACCCTAGCAAAACACTAGTAAACACCTGGAACACCATGGTGACCCCATAACAACCACCTGAGGTCTGATAGCAACGATATCATAGCAACCACCTAGCAACAACCCATCAATCCCCAGGGGTTACCATAGCAACCACCTAGCAACACCCTAGCAACCGCCTTTAATACCATAGCAACAACCTGGCAATACCTTAGCAACAACTTGGATCTCCTTAGCAACCACCTAGCAAAACACTAGTAAACACCTGGAACACCATGGCAACCCCATAGCAACCACCTGTGATCTAATCGCAACTTCCTGTGATACTATAGCAACCACCTAACAACAACCCATCAATCCCCAGGGGTTACCACCCTAGCAACCACCTGTAATACCATAGCAACAACCTAGCAATACCTTAGCAACAACTTGGAACTCCTTGGCAACCATCTAGCAATACACTAGTAAACACCCTGCAACACCATGGTAACCCCATAGCAACCATCTGAGATCTGATAGCAACTACTTGCAATATCAAAACCACCTAGCAACAACTCATCAATTCCCAGGGGCTACTATATCAACCACCTAGCAAAACCCTAGCAACCATCTGTAATACCATAGCAACAACCTAGCAATACCTTAGCAACAACTTGGAACCCCTTAGCAACCACCTAGCAATACACTAGTAAACATGCTGCAACACCATGGCAACCCCATAGCAACCACCTGAGATCTGATAACACATACCTGCAACCGCTTTACTGTAGAGGACGTGTTATTTTCACTTAGAAAATCAACAAAACATGTCACTTGAGTGGGGATGTTCACACTTTAGCGTATGACTATATATACATACTGTGAATATATGTTTAGTGAGCCACAGATTTTTCCAAAAAATGTCCTTTACTATGATACAGGAACTAATATTCATGCATTTGGTCACAGTTTATTACCACACTATGTAAAACGTAATTTAGTAAATGTCAGCTGAGGTATTTCATACTGCTAGCTTGCCGAATACACAGAGCTGGAGGTTGGTGGTATAATCTAAACTGATCATCTGCGATTCAGTGAAAATTTTGGCAATAGCAGTATTTTATATGGTCATGTAGCAGCATCTATATGATGAAGAGTAGCGGGCCTAGAACGGAGCCCTGAGGGACACCAATAGTAATAGACACAGTATGATTCTCATACTGCTGTCTATCATTGAGAGAGGAGGAAACCCAGGACAGGGCACATTCAACGTAATCAGTGACATGCGTATGAGACAATATTAAATTAGGAGAAATATTGTTGAAAGCTGAGCTGAGGTCAGCAGTATAAAAGCTTCTGACTCAGCAGCAAAAAGGTGATCATTGGTGACCCTAAGAAGAGCGGTGTATTCTATACAGAGTGCATTCTGTATCAACAGATTACAGTCACTTTCATGCCATTGGATTTTGTTTTGATGTCAAAAACTAAAAATACCTCATTCAGATTCAGTCAGTGTGCTTATTTTTATGCTCTTAATATGACGCTTGGTAAACATCATGATAAACAAGGAATGACCCATTATTTGGGCAGCTTAAAAAGGTCTTGTGATTTTCCTCCTAGACAGAGAGAGAGTGAGATTTGTTTACGATGTGGTAACATGTGAGAGTGATATAAATGAGGGTCTGTGAGGGTTTATGAGTGTGTGTGATGGTTTATGATGGTCCCTACAGGGTTCAGGGGTTTCCAGGGTCCGATTGGCAGCGTCTGGGGCGGCTGAAGCCAAAAGGCCGGTGGAGTCGGGAGGGAGCCAGGATGGAAAGCAGCAGGAAACCCCCCTCCCCAACCCAGCGGCAGCTGGACCAGTGCAGTCTGAAAGGGTCTCAGTGAGCAGAGGAGGAGGTGGGGGGCTCCTTTTTGTCAATAATGTTCCATTCAGATGTCCTTTTCTGACTGTATTTACTCTACAGCTAATTCCAGTGCATAGCCTTACAAACTAGGCTACAAGTAAGCCTAGTTTTGGAATTAATTACTGTAAATCAGCCTATATATATATATATATATATATATATATATATATATATGTATATATATAAGCTAGAGTTAATATTGGAATTTTATTTTACTGTTTAAATATTGTGAATTACCTTATGAAATACATTTACAATTGATTTGCATTCGTCATTTTTATTGATATAGTGTCTTTCCCATGCTCAAGAAAGCTTTAATCATAGAATATAAATGCATTAAACATGAGGAAACACATTAACAACAAATGACATGATAGCGAGATATAAATTAAAATTACATTCAAAGACAAGTGGAGCAGTGAAAAGGAAAAAAATGAAAATTTTTAGTATAAACATCTGAAATGTATTCAATATTTCTACTATTTCTTATTAGGAGGCTTTTTTTTTATCCAGAATAATGCTTAGAAAAAAGCAAAGTTATCTGCCAACAGAATAATTTTACTAGATAAAATGACTTTTAACAAGAACAAATGTCTACAGATAAGTTCAATAATCTTATAACCTTCTAACAACAATCTCAAAATGAGAAAAGTGAGATATATCAACTAGATTTAAGATCAGTTCACTTGCAATTATATCATTTTTTGCAGTGAGTCTTTTGGAAAGATTAAAATGATCAAAGGCATCCCAAATAGACTGTGGTAGATAATTATGATGATGTTAATAATATAGGTCATAATTAAAACTGCAGCTCTTGCGATTTGAAAATTGTACTCTCTCAAATTGCAATTTCGATATAAAAACGATTAATCTTTCAGCTCTAGCCAAAAGAGTGCAGTATTATTGAGCTACAGGGTGGTATGATCTGGTTGTCTGCGTTACAGTGAAAATTTGGGCAATAGCAGCATTTTTTATGGCCATGTAGCAGCATGTGTGTAATAAAGAATAGCGGGCCTAGAACGGAGCCCTGTGGCACACCAATAGACGCAGTAGAACACTTATGATTCTCAATAGAGACATACTGCTGTCCATCATTGGGAAAGGAGGGAACCCAGGACAGGGCACGCCCAACGTTATCAGTAATGTGCGTATGAGAAAATATTAAATCATGAGAAATATTGTTGAAAGCTGAGCTGAGGTCAACAGTATAAAAGTACAAAATAACTTTTTATTAACTTCAAGTCATAAAATCACATTTTAAGATAAATAGCTGAATAATAGGCCTGCTGTTTAAGCAGTTAATTGATTTTATATTTTGCTTTACATAAAACGTAAATGATGAAAGTCATCCCGAATAAACAACAACAAAAATATTCATTATTTTTTGTTGTTTTTGCAATGTTAAATATTGCAATATAAAAACAAATAAGATATTTTTGGTCTGTTTTGTAATCTGCAGCACGTTTTAAATTCATATTTTTTAATATGCTGCCTAATATATATCAATCCCAGAATGCACAGCTTGTGTGTTTACTCTGTGTTTACTAATATTTCTGCATGTTTTCCCTCCACCAGTTTCAGGATGCAGTTCAGCAGGATCTCGTCTGATCTGCGATGCTGTTGGGACACTAAGCAGTCAGGACGTCGCGCAGCGTGTGGAGACGAGTCCGGTGGTGGATAAGTGCAGTGTGAACACACAGATTGCGGCGGCGTTGTCACGACTACAGGACGACATGCTGAGTGTTCTGCAGAGGCTGAACGCGCTGGAGACTCAGACTGCAGCGCAGGTGAGCGAGAGCCCGTCTGTGTCCATCAGAATATCAGCCTGATCAGATGTTTTACTTAATATTTCAAGTTTTTTAAAAGCAACAAGAAATGATTACATCTAGATAGATATAATTAGATCTAATTAGCCATTTTTTTCCAAGATATTAATTTTGTTATGATTTCATATTGGAAATGTATTTTTTAGAACTTCATTCTGGATATTAATTTAATTAGAATTTCATTCTGGGTATTTGAACTTTATTAATTAACTTTATTTATTAACTGGATATTAATTTTATTACACATTCATTCTGGATATTAATTTTATTACAAATTCATTCTGGATATTAATTTTATTACAAATTCATTCTGGATATTTTTTTATTAGAACTTCATTCTGGATATTAATTTTGGTCAAATTTATTTTTATATATTAGTTTAATTATAGCTTTATGGTGGATGTTAATTTTATTAGAACTTCATTCTAGACAATAATTTTATTAAAACTTCCTTCTGGAAAATAATTTTATTAGAACATTTGTGATGTTAAACCGTTTTCTGTGTCATTTTAGGATCTTCTACAGTTCTGTTTATCATTCTGGACACGTCTAACATTTCTTACTAATTATTTGAAACCTGTGAAGAGCGGAGAGTTCTAGCATCATATTAGATGTTTTAATATTTTGTTATTGGAATGGCTTCCAATTAATACCTAAAACTCTTCATTTTCACTGTTATTCTGTTGACTCCATCTTAACCAGAAGAAATTCAGTTTCAGCTTATTTTTTATTTATTATTATTTTTTTTTTCTCAGGTTGAAACATTCCCTCCCGAGTGTGATCCTCATTCAGCCTCAGTGAAGAAGGTACGGCTGAGCTGCAGTAAACTTCCAAACTGGTTTAGACAAGTTCCCAACCATGAAACGGCAGAGGAACAGTGCTGTAAATATTCCTTTATTAAACAATAAACACATTTCTTTGCTTATTCATCTGTCTTTTTGATAGAGACTTCACTGGTGGCCACTGGACGCGTCTCCTATCATGGTAGCATTGGCACTCGTCTGGCCTTTTGCTGTGCATTGGCTAGTGCAACTTTACCTACAGAAGACGAGAAGGTCAGTTTGTAACGTGTGAATGTTTTTACAGATTTTCCTCATGATACATTTTTAAAATAATGTTGGATACTTTTTCACTTTCAGGAGGATAAAATGAAGACGATCCTGGAAATGTCTGCTGCAGACAATCTGGTTCTTCAGGTTTAACATTAAAGCTTAGGCCAGTGGTCACCAACCCTGCCCTGGAGATCTGCCTTCCTGCAACCCTAACAGACCTCACCTGATTAATTTAATCACTGCCTTGATTAGCTGAATGAGGCTGCGTTAGGTAGGTTGATCTCCCGGAGGAGGTTTGGTGACCTCTGGCTTAGACTAACCATCTGCAATATGAAATATTAAAGTGACACTATGGGCAAAACACAAAATATATCCATTGCTACATCTGTTATAAAGATGCCCGTTCTCCTTTTCCAACAGTGCTGTAGTCGTCCTTACAGCAGGATTTCATTTAAATGTTTAAAGACTAGGAAAACTCCCTTCTGATGATGTAACTTGAAGGTGGAAGCACCTTTTGACCACATGTAGGTCCTGGGAGTGGCCTGTTTGGTGTTTTTATGCTGGCTGGCTAGCACTTCAAGTGAATTATTCTTTGAATAAAGAAAAAAGTCTGTCCACCAATTGAGATTAATGCTACATCACTGCTAGCAGATGTATCTATTAGCATTTAGATCCGTGGCAAAGGAGTCAGGCTTTGTTGAGCTCCGTAGATTCCCAATGGTTGTATGATGTGTTTGGGTAATGCATGTTGGGTATTGTAGTGCAAGAACACAAATAGACAAACTCAGGACGCTGTGGGGTGCAGTACACCATGCTAGAAAAAACAGCATAGCCCAGCATGGCTGGTCACCAGCAAAACAATCATATCGCTGTTGTCGGAAGAAAACCTTGTATCTCCAAAATGGTAACTTTACAGGAGAAGGAAAAAACCTACTTTACTTTTAATGTAAGTCAATGGAGCCAGACTTCTTTCCAATTAATTTCAGGTCATTTCTGTTGGTCCATTCATCATGAAATTTACACACAGTATATAGGACCACGAGTATTTTCAAAGCCAGCATAAACCAGCATAGACCAGCTTAGACATGCTTGCTGGTCTGTGCTGTTTTTTTCAGATGGGCTGTATCTCAAAATATTACATAATACAACAAATGACACTAATTTTTAGTTTTAGGCCAAATGCCCCTTTAAGTATCCGAAAATACGTTGAACTGGCATGTGTAGGGAAGAAACCGTGGTCAGACTGAATTTAAATTAATTTAAGTTGATGCACATAACTGGTTGAACAAACTATTGTGTCCCCATATTCACTCATATTTTATACTAGTTTGCTATTCTGAACGATTTAATGACGGCGCCGGCACTGAGCCATGGGATTTGTAGTCCAGTTATATCGTACCGTCACAGTTACGTCACCAGCAAAAGATTCTGCTATTATATTGTACTCGTAGCTGCTGTGCTTGTATGGTGTTTTACAGTCGTTACTGACTGATTCACAGAAGTCTCAGCTTGATTTTTAATTCGTTGTCAAAAATGTTTGCAAAAAGAATGGCGATTAAAAATGTTTTGAACGCGACCAGCAGATGGCGCAGTTCTGCACGTTCCCTCCTCAGACTCAACACCACCCTCACTGTGTTATTTAGAGTATTACAATGTCTGAATGTACTACACTCTTAAAAAAGATGATTCTTCAAGGGTTCTTTAGTAAGGTAATAGTTCTATTTAGAACCGTGAGTTATATGTAGAACTATTTCATGCTAGAATGGCTCTTTGCATGGTGAAATGGTTCTTCAGATTGTTGGAGAATGTGTTGTAGAACCCTCTTGAAAATGGTTCTACATAGCACCAAAAAGTGTTACAAGCTCATCATAACAATAGCAGAACCCTATATATAGCTTTATAGAACCATTTTCATAAAAGGTCATATATTTGGCACACTAATCAATCTGAAGACCCTTCACCAAGCAAAGAACCATTTAAGCAGGTAGATGGTTCTAAATAGCACCACTGTCTTTACTACAGAGCCTTGAAGAACTATCTTTATTAAGAGTGGACAATTGCCTGTTCATCTTAAATATTATATGATATAATGTCCTTAAAATGGTCTGTGTTTCATATGACAGTGCACAACTGCTGTTACTGCTAAGAGAATTATGTATTTTAGATTAAAAGAGGATATAATTGATATTTAGTATAAACTTTCTAAAAGACCTTTCACTGTGGCTAGGCTATAAGAGACTAGGTGCATAAAAAAGCGGGTATTTTAAGTGTGACTGAGCTCAGAGTATTATCTGTTTGTATGTTTCTGTTTTATTTATTTTTGCCAGATTTGGTCTATACAGCTGTAAATGAATATGACTTTTCATACCACCCTAAGTCCTCACATCTATTAATTGCATTTGTCCTAAATAAAGTGTTTTGTGAGTTATTTGGTGCTTTTTTTGTAACGTACTCGCTATACATTATGCAAATACAGGCAACACGACGGCATTCCTTTATAACTGATTAATTAGGAGTCAGTAATAAGGCATAAAACTGCAGATAACTAGTGTAGCATGGCTTCGGAACCACTGAACCGCACTCGTGTTTCCTCACGGCAAGTTTTTAACGAAGCGCAATAACAGGCGGCTATGTAAGGCTGCGTTCCAATCCGCGCACTCGAGCTCTAGGTGGTCTTGCTAGCGTGTGCTTATAAATGAGACTACTATACTGTAAATAGACCCCAACGTGTGACGCTTAACGTTACATTTGTTTACACATTTTATATGTTTATATTAGCACTAAAGGCCAACAAGCTATCTGGTAGGCTTACACTAGTTTGCATCGGAGTGTGTAGAGCGCATGTTCGCTGATTGGAACACAGCCGCATCTGTGTAGGGCACGCCGAGAGAAGCAGCGATGGACGAAGACACCACAGCGGGTCATTCAAGCTGGATAAAACAGCATCCTGTGGTCAGTTTTAGTTTCTGTTGTAACTTTGCTTACGCTGAACCCTAAGGAGCCCCTTAAGTGACGAGCTGATTATTTTTGGATAAGACGTGGTCACAATTTAATATATTGAGGCCACAGTTTACTATACTGAGACCACGAATTAACTTACTACTCTATTAGACACTCCTACCTTGTCGGTCCACCTTGTAGATGTAAAGTCAGAGACGATAGCTCATCTGCTGCTGCACAGTTTGTGTTGGTCATCCTCTAGTCCTTCATCAGTGGTCACAGGACGCTGCCGGCTGGTTATTTTTGGTTGGTGGACTATTCTCAGTCCAGCAGTGGCACTGAGGTGTTTAAAAACTCCAGCAGCACTGCTGTGTCTGATCCACTCAGACCAGCACAACACACACTAACACACCACCACCACGTCAGTGTTACTGCAGTGCTGAGAATGATCCACCACCCAAATAGTACCTGCTCTGTGAGGGTCCATGGGGGGTCCTGACCACTGAGGAACAGAGTAACAAGGCGTGCAGAGAAACAGATGGACTACAGTCTGTAGCTGTAGAACTACAAAGTGCTCCTATATGGTCAGTGGAGCTGGTAAAATGGACAATGAGTGGCTGGTCGGTGTGTACATATGTGTATCTTCTAATATTTGGAATCCCTTTCAGTACCAAGACCTGATGAATCTGGATGTGGGTGACGGTGCTCAAGTTTACGCAGCATTCCTGGTTTACCTGAACCTGACAGAAGGTGAGAGACAGCCATAGTGTTCAGCCATGTGACAGTATTTTCACTGCAATCAGGATGTCAAGGCTAAGATGTGTTGCAGTTCGTGGCTGGGAGCATGTGGTGGGAGTAGCTTGCCCGGAGCTGCAGGCGGTCCTGCTGGAACACCGTGAGAAGGAAGGAGAAGTGGTTCAAGTGGTCTATCCACTGCCTGCACATAGAACGGTCAGCCACAAAGAGTAAGTGGACAGAGCAGAAAGGCTCTGTGATATTCACTGATTATTCATAACCAAGAAGCCAAACTGAGGTATCTAGATAGCTACCCTGCTAACGTTAGCTTTTAGCTCGTTGTTCTCCTCATCTGACCGGTCATTTTGAGCCGTCCACTCTCCCCATTGTAATGGAAATTTGAAGACAGTTATTCCCAAATCCCCAAAAATCCACCCAGAGCAGTTGTGGTTTTTCAGAAGTTCGTCCTACCTTTATGATACATCATCAGTAGGGGGTTTTTCTTAGTCTTTAAATTAGACTGACCGTTAGGGTCCCCTTTTTGGGACGTAAAAATGCATCCAAGATTTCTAAATTTCCTAAAATGTCCTGGATTTAGCTTTACTTTCATGTTGACGTTTGCTTTCTACAGTCTGCTGCCCTCCTGCCCACAGTGTCCTTTTTTTCTTTATGAAACCCAAAAATATGGTCACCCTATTTCAGGGGTGCTCAGTCCTGGTCCTGGAGAGTTCAGATCCAGCACACCTGACTCGATCCAGATGCCCCTGAAGGCCTTCGTTGCATGGATCAGGTGTGATAAACTGGGATTGGAGCTAAACTCTCCAATCCTTTGAAATCTGATTGGAGCAGACAGAACATCCAGTCTGTAAAAATCTGACTGGAATCGTATTTCAAACCACCTCCAAATGTGGTTTGGATCTGATTTGTAAAAATCATATTTAATGTGTTTTTTTGGTGTCTAGACAACAAAGATCAAAGATCAACCTGGATATGCCAAAAAATCGGATTTGGGCTGGCAGTCTGAACAAGGCCTAATGCATCTGATCCAGCCAGTCAAGAACTTCTGAAGGTTATTATCTGGAGCTGCCACCCTAATCTGACACTCCTGGATCCCTGTAGCCCCAACCCTAATCGAAAACTCCTGGATCCGTGTAGCTCCAACCCTAATCTAACACTCCTGGATACATGTAGCTCCAACCCTAATCGAACACTCCTGGATACATGTAGCTCCAACCCTAATCGAACACTCCTGGATCCACGTAGCTCCAACCCTAATCTAACACTCCTGGATCCATGTAGCTCCAACCCTAATCTAACACTCCTGGATCCATCTAATTATGGCCTTCCGAGGCATCTGAACATTAGACCCAGGTGTGCTGGATCTGAACTCTCTAGGGTGGTAGATCTCCAGGACAGAGATTGGGCACTCCTGTTTTAAAGCAGTGGTTCTGACACCCTGGTCTTGGAGAACCCCCTGCTCCTAACACACCAACATATCAGCTCATTAACAAGCCCTTTTTGACTGGATGTGGGAGTGTTGCAAGCCAGGAAAGCACTAAAATGTGCAGGGTAGGGGGTTCTGAAGGACCAGGGTTGGGAACCTGTGCTTTAAAGTATGTAGATTAATTGCCATATGGTTTTGTTATGTGTAGAAGTAATAGTTCACTCTGACCTTCCTCATTAAAACAATATAAACCCCCAGCTAGAAGACACACAATCACCTCACTGAGCCAGACTCTCCGTTTGTTTCAGTTTGAGGTGTATACTGGACAGAGGGTGCCCCATGCTGCTGTGCGCGGTCGCCTCAGACTCCACTCTGGTGTATCAGCGGCTGTGCGATGGCCTGTTGAAACCTGACCCACCGGTGGACATCCAGGACCAGGGCCGTCGACAGCACCGCAAGAGAAGACTCCAAACGTGAGGAGAACCGAAACGGACACTGAGACTTTGCTATAAAGGGCTACTTTCCTCACAGCTTCTGTGAAGCCTGACTGAATTACGTGTGCAGACGAGGGTCAGTGGTCACTACCACATTTCTAGCCGCTGCCTCTGCCGTGCTGTTCACTGTTGACTTGCCATGTTGAGCAACAGGGCTGCACGATATGGACTGAATACTAGCATTGCAATTATACCTGTACATAGCGCGACTGTGATACACCTTACGATATATTAAAGATCCACTTCCGAGTCAACACTGTGTCGTTACTGAAGGCTGATTTGGATTATTTTGATCAAAATAATTTACTTTTTTGTATTACATGAGTACCTTGACTCATCAAAACATTGACTAAAGCACTGATCTCACAGCCTTCTGCGCTATACTGCAAAGGTCAATGTCACGATAAGGAAACAACATATTGTGCAGCACTGGCAGAACCATGTTTGATCATGTGTTCATAATACGGGGTGATTCAAAAAGATTCATCTGATTTCAAAGCGCCATATTTTTTTCAACCGTGAGGCGTCTAGGAACCAATCACAATCCAACTGAAAGAGGGGGTCATAGAGTTTCTGACTGTCAGTGGAAGATGGCTCCCTTCAGTCTGTGAGGAGATGAGACCCCTGAGCAGAAAGCGTTCTGCGTTCTCCACTTCAATAAGAGTGAATCCATCATAACTGTGCAGTATGATTTTCGTGGGCAGTGAAGCTCCAACAGCTCAGAGCATTCGCCGTTGGTTCCACAACACTGGATGATCTCCGAAATCGCACTGAAAGAGCCGTGAGTGCAGCGACACCCGACACGCTCAATCCAGTATGGGATGAATTTGACTATGGTGTTGATGTTGTCTGTACAGCTGGAGGAGGTTCATACTGAGACCTTGTACAATTACATAATAAATTTTATGCTCATTTAAACCATTTACAGTTTACTGCATTGTTCTGTAATGATTTACAAGTCAAATAAATAGATTTAAAATCGGATGAATCTGTTTGAATCACCCTGTCCAGTGCTCTCCTGATGGGCATTTCACGAACAGGATTTCTCAGTTAGGCCAATAACATAAGCCCAAAGTGAAGCCTGTGAAGTCAGCCTGTCGCAATCATGTTTTAGCTCATGATTAAGTGTCATATAAATAACTGATTAATGATTTCATGGTCTTTATTCTTTGTTTGGCTGATTGGCTGTCTTGTTTCCTAGCTATCTTTACTTCGTCTACAAAACTTGGTCATACTGACCGAGTGATGCACTCCGCTGTACAAGAAAACATGTAAGTGAAGCTTAAACCACAATGTCAATATTGAATATTTCATTTTGGCAATATTTCAGAACAGACAGTATTGGGCACTTATATCATACACGTGGTATGAGTTCCTAAAAGGAAAGCAAACAGAACATGGTGGACAGTTTTGATGTCCAGTCGTTACACTTTTGTGTTTCTTCACTGGAGCCTGACCGATGTATCGGTTTACAGACACACCGGGCCGATCGTCGCTCTCCAAACAAAACTCAAGTTTGTAAGAGAAAAAGGTGGGAAGGTTCTCAACTTGATTGTACAGTGGGGTCCAAAAGTCCTGACCACACTGAAAATCTGTGCTTTTTTTGGGGGGTTTTATTTAAACTTGGAAAGTTTTAGAATCGTGGAAAAAAAATGTAAAAAGTTATAGCGATTAGCATTAAGAAAAAAATATTAAAAATTCTGGACATTCTTCAGGTCACTATTCAAACTGAAGCAAATTTGTTACACTGACCATGTTCAGACCTTTTTCACCAAAAAGTCAGTTTTTTTTTTAAGTCTGGTTTCTTCCATTGAAGCTCGTGTTCAGACGACTCACAGGTGGATTTGATCTACTGATAAGTAGGTTTTGCACAAACTTGTGGAGTCCAGCTCGAGTACACACTGTCAGTAAAGAAAAAGAGGGACATGCAACCAAATAAGAAATTCTGAAAATCTTGTAAACATTCAATGATTTTTCCTCTAAAATTTTAATGCTGATAAAAATTTGTAATGAAAACTTTTGTATTAAATTAGAAAGGAATGCAAAACAGAAGCATTTTCCCCAGAGCTCCCAGACTTTTGGACCCCACTGTATGTTAATGTAATGACATTATTATTCCATGTAAGTTTGGGCCATTTTTATTCATCCATTCATAAAGGGCAGCTGGTATTAGAGATGGGCAATATTACTGTGATACACAGTTTGCATTACTGAGCACAGTGCAGTACAGCATGTGAAATGCTGAATAAACATCATTGTATTGTAGTTTTTGATTGTTTTTTTATGTAATGCTATTTGTAAATGTGACACCACTACACTCCAAAAACAGATGGTTCTTCAAGGGTTCTTTCAAAAAGAAAACAGTTCTATATAGAACCATGAACACTCAAAGAATCCTTTGCATGATTAAAGGGTCTTTGCATCATGATAGGGTTCTTCAGACTGATGGAAAATGTGCATGAATGTGCTGTAGATGGTTCTATATAGAAGCTTTCTGAAAAGGGTTCTATATAGCACCCAAAAGGGTTCTTCTATTGTTACAAGCTTGACACCATAACAATAGAAGAACCCTTTTGGGTGCTATATAGAACCATCTACAGCACGTTCTCCATCGATCTGAAGAACACTTTCATGATGCAAAGAATGCTTTAATCATACGATTCTTTGAGTGTTTGTGGTTCTATATAGAACCGTTTTCTTCACTAAAGAACCCTTGAAGCACCGTCTTTTTTAAAGAGTGTAGCCTATTTTGTCTGCGTCAAAATATTGTGATTTGTTTACAGTATTGTGAACTTTTATTTAGGTATCGTGATAACCGATTTTTCCCATATCGCCCACCTCTAGCTGGAATTTTCACAATGTGTTACAAAACGTCGGTTACCAGGTTCAGAAGAGTGATGAAGAACAAAGAAGGCCTTAATTAAGCAACTAGCCATCAAAGACTGACGGGACTGTATATAATCAGTGATTATCACTCTAATAGCAGCTAGATTGATGCATCAGTTCCAAAAATCAGTCAGGCTCTAGTTTTTGCACATTTGAAAGCAGTGAATTGACAGCTGCAAGAAACAGGGGCGCTTATATGTAGCCAAGTGTTGCTTTGTGTTGTGCTAATAGTACGTTTCTTTGTTTAAAACAGATTAAAGTCTGGTCTGCAAGTTCGCCAACAGAGATTCTGTACAGCAGAGGGACCTAAGAATCGAGTGTAGCTCAGAAGCAGTGAGTGTTGAATGTTTCGAAGGCTCTTTTGACAGCAGGACTGGAGTCAGTCTTGAATTCACCTCGTGAACGAGTCAGTACGTATGTGCTTAGTAGGGATGCACCGATATGGGAACTGTGGGCTGATGCTGCTATCCGATATATCCAGGAACCGTATTACAGAAACTTCGTAACTCTGAAATCTGATCTGTTTAGTCACCATGACGACTTCAGTATGGACTGAATTTGGGACAGAAGCTGTTAGAGAACAGTACAGAACAGTTCTTAACTTCATAATCTCATCATCAACTCCAGATAAGAAAACAGCATCACACAAACATCCTAACTGGACTAAACCTCCTAAATCCTGTCCTAACTTTAGGATGAACCCCAACAGGGTCCTCACTTCTGTTTAAGGTCCGTTTCTATGGTTTTTAGGCAGCTGTGTCAGCAGCATAGTTCACTACCAGCATAATAAGCTCCATTTAAAAATCTCAGACGCTGCAGACTCGATCTCCACCGCCCCTCTGATCACCTTCGTGTGTTAATGTTGATGATGAAATATTACAGTGATGGTGGTGAATAATGAGGAGACGGAGCTGAACGTGTGTCTGTTTATTAGGAGGAGTAACGTTAGCGCGCTCGGCTAAAGCGTTTGGGAAATGGAGACTGAAACTGGGGAGCGGCGACGCTCTGATAAACAGCAGGGGGCGCTCTCTCAGTATTCACAACTCACAGTATCACACTTTAGTTTCGTTTGACCTTTTTTGTACATCAGTAACGGTAGATAACGTTAGCTATCCGGCTAACTAGCTTGATTACTTTGATGACGTGTTTACGTTTCAGCTGCGTGTTAGTGTATGGTCGGTTGCTAGGTAACAGTTGATTGTCGACTTCGATTGAGTGAGTTAAGATTTGTGAACTTGAGATAAGATGCTGTAAGATAAGATTCTAAAATTAAGATCAGACTTGCTTCTGTAATATGAATTTGTGAAAAATCTTACCTTGACCTGTCAGATCTTAAAACAAAAAGGTATGAAGCTTCTGTAATATGGCCCCTGCTTTTTATCTGCTGATACATAAATGATTACTTATAAGATCCAGCTGGATTATAAATCACAGAGAAATATAATATTTATTTGTAGGGGGTTAAAAATGCAGTAAAATGAATAAAAAACATATTTTAGCGCAGTAACCCAGCGTCGCCTGAAAGTTCTGCTCTTCTGGAGTCAATAAATACCTGTAAATGCCGATACGATTCCGATATCATCGCGCATCCCTACTGCGTAGTGTCTGTTCTCCTCCGCTGAACAAACGTTCTGTTGGGCAACTTGCATTCGCCAAGTCAAGATTGTGAATCTTACATTTGAAATCCAGCAGATTTGTAATATTCAACCGTCGATGCACTACAGAAACACGGAAATATGCATTTGAATCTACATGACGTCATAACGATGCTTTGTAACTGGTCCCTCTAAACACGGTTATGCTAAATGCTATATCGTCCATCCATCGGTCGTTCAGCTATGCCGAAATCCACGAGAGCATCCCCTCGAGTCCTAAAAAGAAACTAACCAAGTGCGTCGCCCCCTAACAGTCAGAAATAACAGCACTACAGTCCTGAGCAGTGTTACACTTAAAAATAAAAAAATGTTGTGAAAAAAGTAAAAAAAACAAAAAAACAAAAACGCTTGTATAACAAAATCCAAAATTAAACAAAAATACTTTGCCAACATATAAAAAAACAAAACGACTCCTGGAATGTGAGGAAAAGTCCGCTGGAGTCCATCTGCTCTTCAAGATCCATTACCAGACCCTCTGAACGGGCGCAGCACTTCACATGGCTTTTCCTAATCTCACACTTTCATTCTCGTTCTCAGAAGACGTGGCCATTTAAGAGGGAGCGTAACGTCCATCCCTACGTCTTCTTCAAAAAGCTGGACGAAAAGACGTCCAGGTCAGTCTGTGCGATGGCTCAGTCCGATTCCTTTCGAGTCTACGAGCTGGAGAAGGCTTACTTATGGGCTGGGGTAGCTGTAAGGCAGGGGCGATAAAGGACAGTCCGTCGGAAATCCGGTCCGTGTCCTGGTTCCTTTCACCTCGTCGGAAGTTCCTTTCCTTGCCGAGACTGGAGCGCTAACCTGTGAACCCCACCGTGGTAAAAATGTAAACAGGAGAGAATCCGGGGTTCAGTCTGGCGTGTGGTGTTTTCTCTTGCTCTGAGGGACAGGAAAACGAGGAAAGGAGCGACGTGAGGAACTCCGGGGCAGGACGGGTTCTCCGCTGGGCCGAGCTGAGCAGAACCGCGCTATGTGACGTCCTCCTCTTCAGAGCAGTAGTCCCGACCCTGAAAGAGAATGTGAAAATGATACTGAGATCAAAAATAGATCACAACGTGTGAGAAGTATCTGAATTATTACTATCATTATTAGTGCTACTACTGCTCTGACGATCGGAATCTGCCGAGGTTGGAATCGACAGACTGTTGTTCCAAACAAGCGAATGGCGATTCAGATTTTGGCCAATTAGTGCTGCCATTTCAGGAGGTGAGTAACATGAAGCAGGTGGGTGAACTCGCGCTGTATTTGAAACAATGTGATTATCAGGACTTCACTCTGGCAGTCAGCGAAAACCAAACCGTACCAACTTTTTGGTATTGTCTGAAGTATTCTGCCAGTTGTACAGGCCTAAATGATACCAGCACAACTGGACACAACCTCACCTTCTCGATTTTCTCATCCAGCATCCTGAAGAACTCCTGCTGGCTCTCTGAGGAGTGGATACTAAAAAAAAAATAAAAAAATGAAAAAAAATTTGTTTCACACATATTTTATATACAAATCTCCAAAACAGTAACTTTACAGGAGAAAGAAAAACATAGTTTACTTTTAATGCAAGTCATATATATATATATATATATATATATATATTCATATGATGCATGCTGTGTTCTTCACTCACCTTATTTTATTAGTGTTTCCACTGACATCTTTGTGTTTGCCTTTGTGCAAAAATGTGCTCTTGTCCTGCAACACAAACAAAACTTACTATGAACACTCTAGAACCCATGTGTCAAACACAAGGCCCGCAGGCCAGATCAGGTTCACGACGCAATCTGGCCCACAAAAGTGTTTCACAATCAGCCCGTTTCACAATGTGCTGGACTACAGTCCCCAGCATGCACTGCAACGTAATGTGTGCTCTGACTCTCTTCCCCCAACAGCAGTCTATGGGACAGCGGTTACACCTCAATTCTACACAATTCCACACCAGTAATATCACCAAACACACCAGCTGCATTTCAGCTGCAGCTGGGTCATTGTAGAGACTCAAATACAGCACAAATATAGCCATATTATTTACTGACCAAAACCACCAGTGAACCTACACACGTCTTCTGAGTTCATATAGCTTTTATATGGAATACTGATGATGGTAATATAGTGGAAAATCTGAAAACATAAGTTTTACCTTAGAACTTCTGCCAGGAACGTGTTTGAAATGATGTGTTTTAGGCCAAAACCTTCTCAGAACAACATTGTACAACAAAGTCTCAGACATCAGGCAGTGTATTCATATTGAGGGAGCTTTTAGAGGTGGACGTCTGGTTCCTATCACCACCACTGTGAACAGTTCTGACTCCAGAACGAAGCATTTCACACCAAACCACTCTGGATGACTTGGTTTACAGCTTAACACTTAAATTATGTAGAAACGGTGATTGGAAAATTGATGGAATCCCCCTTTAACAAACTGTTTGTTTACATTACCATGTTCTCCTGGTTGCGTGTGTTCATTCGCTCCTCCTCTCCATGCGCGTACTTCACCTTCTCAACTCCCTTCATTTTGTACTCATCTGAAGAGAAAAACACCACCCACACACATTCATTATGAGACACGGCCTTAATCAGCAACAGTCAATTCCCAAATTAGACACTTCAGTGGGTTCAACACGGCTTTGATGTTCCATTAAGGTTAGTTAGGATTCTGTCCATCAGCCAAAGGTTATTTCGGTCCGGGTCCCACCGAGATATCATCGCCGCTTTCACAGGAGGGGACATTTTGATTGACATGAAAAGGCTGACCATAAATGACTGTTCTTCCGTGACGAGCGCGCAGATTATCTTTTACTCCTCAGACGCGCTGCTGCATGGTGCTTCAAAGGCAACGGTCCTATATAGAACCATTTGCCTGCTTAAATTGTTCTTTACATGGTGAAATGGTTCTTCAGATTGATGGAGAATGTGTTGTAGATGGTTCTATATAGGACCATTTTGAAAAGAAAACCAAAAAGGGTTCTTCTATCGTTATGATATCAAGCTGGTAATAATAGAAGAACTGTTTTGGATGCTATATAGAACCCTTTTTTATATAGAAAAGTTTTTATATAGAACCATCTACAACACGTTCTCCATCAATCTGAAGAACCATTTCACCATGCAAAGAACTCTTTTAATCATGCAAAGGGTTCTTTTAGTGTTCATGGTTCTATATAGAACTATTTCTCTGCATAACCATCATTTTTAAGATGTTGATGCTGACTTTTGACGTCACGAACAGAACCACAGGAGAAAAGAACACTTTGCAAAAAGCGACTTTAAAAATCTGTGATGAAACCGAACTCCACAGAGTGTGATGCGCCCTTTCCATCGAGCCCTGGATCGCACTGCTAGCCTTCAGGGAACCGGAGATACGGTCCCTGGAATCTCGCAAATTTGTATCCTACTTAGGCGCTCCGTAGGCGGCCTTGCTGAGACGCTCGCCCCCGGCGGAGGTTCTGAGAGCCACGATCTACAGGTCAGCAGAGCGTGACGTGGCCTTTCCAACGAGCCCTGGATCACATTCAGGGAACTGGAGATACGGACCCTGAAACCACCAGGCCCCTGACCTGCTGTCTGCTCTGAGGCGCCCATGTTGTTAATGTCATATTCAGGTGATCAGTGACCGTCGACATCAAGCTTAAAGCGTCAACACCGAGCAGTAAAGTTAACGAGTGGACGAGTCTGTGTAGCCACTACTGTGCAAATTAGATTCTTCACCAAAACATCACTGTAAATGACCAGAACGCAGGACTGACCGGAGAAGGCGTCTCCATTGCTGTAAGCTTTGCCCCGCCCCTCCTCGTCTCCGGGTACGGCTGATAACGGCTTGGCCGAGGTGCAGCCCATCGCCTCACTGCCTCACCGCCACCTCCGGCATCGTACTGTCTACAGCACCTGAGAGAGAACAAAAAAGAGAGAGAGAGAGAGAGAGAGAGAGAGATGAAGAAAGAGAGAATAAGAGTGTAAATGAGAGAGAACAAGAAAGAGACAAAGAGAGTGAAAGAGAGAATAAGACAGACAAAGTGAAAGAGACAGACACATATAAAGATAGCGAGAGAGACAGAATGAGAGAAAAAGAGGGAGAAGGTGATCAAGAGAATGAAAGATAAAGAGAAAGAAAGAGAATAAGAGTGTAAATGAGTAAGAAAGAGAGAGAGAGAGAGAGAGAGAGAGAACGGGAAAGAGACAGAGTGAAAGAGAGAACAAGAGAGAAAGAAAAAGAGAGAAAGAGGGAGAGAGTGAGAGAAAATGAGAAAGAGACAGAAAAGAGAGAGCGAGAGAGAGAGACAGAGAGAGACAGACAGACAGAGAGAGAGAAACAGACAGAGAGAGAGAGAGAGAGAGAGAGAGAGACAGAGAGAGAGGGATTAAACTCCTCAGACGTCTGGTTCCTATCACCACCACTGTGAACGATTCTTTAGTTTCTCTAGAACTGAGCGTTTCACAACAAACCACTCTGACTGACTCTGTTTACATCTTAATGATTAAATTATGGAAAAATATGTAAAAAAAAAAAAAAATAATAATAATAATTCCCCTTTAAACTGTTAGCAACTAATTTGATTAGTAGGTTCCTGTATTCCTTGTACAGTCGAGCACGTACAGGATGAGATTTGCCCCGAGTCAGAGAGTCTGTTTCCCCCAACAGCCTCTCCTGACTGAGCTGTGTGAGGCGTCCGTGATGTCACCTCATCAGCTATTGTCTAACGTGTGTGTCTAAATATGACACCGGATGCTCTGCTTTTCTAAGCACTGTTGCAGAGGACAAAAGCCAATACGTCACCGAACTTTGGCCTATTTTTGGAACGAGGCAGCTCAGGTCTCACAGTATTCGCCGACAAGCAGAGCTGATGCTCACAGTTACCCACCAAATACTGCTGATACACACCGAACTGGGGCCTAGGATTCGGTCACTGCGCTAATCTGCAGAACAGGCCAGTGTTAAAGGGACAGTTCAGCAAACAATCAGACACAGGTCCAGTCTAATCCCAAATTAATCAGTCAGTCAAGACATGTTCACTTCTTTAGTTTTGTGCTGGAACTACGAGGCTAACATGCTTATCAATTAGCTCTGAGTGCACTCAATAATCTGATCATAATCAGATTTCTGCAGTTATCTGATTATTCAAGTGGTCTTGTAAACAGCACACTCTGATTTTAGATCAGAGTAAAGTCTAGAAATCTGATTAAGAAATCAGAATAAAGAGAGCTGGATTGTAGCTCAGTGATCAGATTTCTCAGTGCTGTAAACTCTTACTCTGATTTCTTTCGGATTTCTCAGTCTGAGCATGTGCGAAAACAGATGGCGGCACCGGAAATAAGCAAGCAGCGTCGCCGCGAGAGGCAGCGAAACACTTTAGGAGTGACGCTGAAACCAAACACATGCTTGACGAAATAAAGGATTTAAATATTCCTCATCTTCTAGATGACGTATGTTTACATTTTTAGGTAAAGTGGTGCGATGTTTATTTTAAAAAAAAGTCACAGTATGAAGTTTGAGTTGTACATTATGTTTACGTCACGTCTTCTTCTGTGAGTTTATTGGCTGGTTGTAAAGCAGAAATCTGATTACTGTCTGACTCATGTAGACCTGGAGTTTCCCCCTTATCTGATCACTCAAGTGCATGTAAACATGTTGAACGGATTACTGCCAAAATCTGATTTTGTGCAGTTATCAGATTATTAAGTGGATGTAAACACACTCAATGTGTAGGGCTGGGCGCTGTGACATTATATTGTCATAGTTACAAATTATGTCACAATACAGTTAGGGGTGGGCGATATGGAAAAAACACAGTATCACGGTACTTGAAAATGTCATGATACACGACATAAATCACAATATTAGGTTTTTGATAAGTTAGAACAGACAAAGAAGCCCCAGCAGCGCCACATTTAAAAGAATACTGACAAAAACGATGAATATGATTACAATGATTTCAGTCTGCGCTACACTAAAATCAGTTAAACAGTACTGATTATGCTCTCTGTGTTGACTCGTGCAGTTGGTCAGTGTTCTTTATGCACTGACGATATCCACATGTTCAGAAATGCATATTTATCATAATAACGATTAAATATTTCCCACCCTTACGTACAATACAGTATGCTTTTCTGAACATATACTGTATATCGTCAGTACTTGTAGAACATTGACCAACTGCATATTTATAAAGAGAGCAAAATTAGTCCAGTTAAACTGGATTTAGCACAACACAGTATCCCAAATACTGAATAAAAATCACTGCATTCACAGTTTTTGACAGTGTATTTTAAAATGTAGCACTACCGGTTCTTTTTTCTCTCCTCCAACTGATCAGACGTCTGAAAAAATAAATATTGTGTATCGAGAAAATGTATGTTTTTGCCATATCGTGCTAACTGTACGCCTAATTGATCACAGACTCACCTCAAACCATGCGGAGGTGTTCAGTAATCTCTAACAGACTCTCTTAACTGGTTTCCGACACCGTATGACTCACTGTTATTAACAATAATGGACAAAAGTACATTAGCACAGCTAAAAACAGTCAAAGCAGCATCTTAACGCCTGAGTTGTGTCCATACTTTCGTTAACCTTATAGCTAGCTTTGGGCCAATAACTGACACTGATCATTTGATGATATTATGCAAATGATCGTTCTTTCAGTCTCGTTCACTGAGCTGGATGAATTATGCTGAGATGCGCTTGCAAAAGTGATGTGCTTATTAACGCTCTATAATAATAATAATAATAATAATCTGTTTTCTGCACTGCTGGCATGTTAAAATTCAGCTACTCTCTGTGTTCATTAGTGGAGGTGGGTGATATGATGTAATATGTAATATCCCGACACGCTGTAAACTTTTCAGGGTAGCTGATATGCATCACAGTATTTATTTTTACTGAAGTCGGAACAAAGTAACAACATCTACAAAAATACTATGAAACTATGAATCCAATGATTTTTATTCAACATTTCACGAACTATGCTGCACTAATTCCAGTCAAACAGGACTGAATTATGCTCTCTTTTTAATCGGACATGCAGATGAAATTCACAACATGCCAACAAAATCATTTTGTGTCACGATTTAACATGATAATGATAAATACTGTCATACTGTCCAGCCCTATTCCCGTCAACAAACTATTAATTTACATTATTACTATATTACTAAATTAAGTGAGAGTAGAAGCTACCCAAGTGGTGATTATATTATCATTAATTACAAATTGAGTGCAATTTTCAAATCACAAGAGCTGCAATTTCAATTACAGTCTATCAACAATGTTGCCCTGCATGCTTAAAGGGTTCTATGTAGCACAAAAAAGGGTCCTTCTATTGTTACAAGCTTGACATCAAAACAATAGCAGAACCCTTTTTGGTGCTATACAGAACCATTTTCAAAAAAGGTTCTACATAGAACCATATACCACACATTCTCCATTAATCTGAAGAACCATTTCATCATGCAAAGAACCATTTAAGCATGCAAATGGTTCTTTTAGCGTTCATGGTTCTAAATAGAATCAATGTCATTATCAAAGGTGGGATATTTAATGTAATAATGCAGAGTTGTCCCAAGAACTGGGGCAATTAACTGGCTGTCTAGCACACGACGCTCAGTGTTCACGCCTCCTGTTACACGAAGACGATATTCTGGGATTCTTGGCAATTTTAAAACGCAATACTGCTAAAAAAAACCTTACTAATAGCTTCAGTAAAACTAACTAAGCGAACTTGGGGCACCGAACATGTCATGGCTGATCGACTACATTTGGGGCAAGTTTGATTTTTCAATAAATGATTCCTTTAACTGCAGGACGACAGCCGTGGCTTGAATAAACCAGGAAAAAAACGTGGGGAAAATTAAGGCCATGACACAAAATTTGTCCAGTATTTCTAAACTTACAGAGCCTCTAAAGTATCAAGGCGGAGAACAATTATTTAGAAGCTTTCCTCAAATTAACTATTTGTTCCATTAATTTAATAACAAACCCCTTTAGGGCCTCCAGATCTTCAGAAGATGCCTAATAATTAATGTAAGGTAAAAAAAAAATGTCTATAATTTTTTGTTTTTATTTTACTAGAAACTATTCTTGTTGTTTGAAAATCAGGAATTTGCATTCCCTGTGGAATCTGGGTAGATACAACTAAGCCAGCTCTCCCATTGGTTAGGACTTCAGGAGCTGAACTGAAGGCCTTAAGCTGTTTTTACCCTGCACGCTACATGCACTGCTTTCACACTTCTGAACGGCACTCTCTGAATAAACTAGCCTTTCAGGCAGTGAGAGGGACAACCGGACATGCCTACTGCTCTCTTAATGGCCACGCTGACCATCGACTGAAGCATGTGGTGCAAAAGTTGAAAACGTGAACTTTATATGTCCTTATAAACAGAGCAGACTCCGTTTGAATTTTCCTCATTCTGTGTGAAGCAGCTTGCAGGTGTCAGGTAGCTGTTACCCTGCATTCACACCGGAACGACTTTTCGCCTCTTGTCGCCCAAATCGTTGATCGCTCATCGCCTGTGGGCGTTTCTGAACTTGAGTGGACCATTGGTTGCCATGGTTTCACTGACGCCAAGCACAAATCAGATGCATTCCCACTAGAAATAAACATCCTGGTGAAAAAATCGCTTGTGCGCTTATTTTTATTCAATCCCAGTGTCTGTACAGTCAGTATATGAGGAAAATGGTATTTGGTCTGATTACTGTCAATTTGCGTTGAAAGCACCGCTGCCTTTATTCCACCTGTAGGAACAACTGGAAACCAAAACGGAGCGTACTGTTTCACACTGGTGGAGACAAAGCGTGTACTACGCTGCTCAATGCTCAATTCCTATTGGTAATCACCACAATGCTTCGCTCCTTATTTGCATAAAGTTAAATTTTTTCGCGTCACTGACTCCGCCCACTTCACATCGCCAATGTTCACGCCGCCTACTGTCGCCGGAAATTGCAGCTCTCACTGAAAATGAATGACCTCCGGCCGCTTTGTCGCATCGCGCCGCTGCCGGCGTGAATGCAGGGCTAGGAATGGAAAACGGCAGCGGCAGCTCTATATCAGGACTCTAATAAAAGAGTCACTATAAAACTGATACATTGTCTGTTACAAGCTTCAAATAAAACATACTGAATGTCAGAAATTAGCGCTATTGGAGAAGTGTTTTTGTTTTTGCCATTTACGGTCAGATCTGAAGGCTCTTATGGTTTAATAAACTGTTCCCTACATGTAATAATACATATATGTGGTCATAATTTATATTATTGTTATTTAATATAATGTATATATTTTTATTTATAACATTATTGCCTGAGGTTTTATAGGAAAAATTATTTGTTTTTAAAAAATATTCTCTCTTTTGGTGAAGGGGTGGGGGGTTAGGACACCTATCTTGAGGGCCAAAACAAACATCCTTGAGGGCCAACTCTGGCCTGCAGGCTGCCTCACTCAAACAAAGGGACTGATTTATTAAATCACGGGGAACAAATTGTTAAATCGAAGAACATTTGAGACTGTAAATATTTCTTCTCTGCCTCCGTATGAACCAAAGCTGGCCTATGCATTCAGTGCAATAAAGGGCCCTGTCTGTAAAAAGAGTGTCAGCCAATAAAATAAAGCTGGGCAAATCTGTCTCTAGAGATGTGCAGAGGCCCAGAACTGTTAGGCAGTGAAAACCCCGGGAAGTGAGAGAACAGCTCAGACAGCGGCCTGTTATCTGGATCAGAGTTCCTATGTACCGTGTCCTTTCAGCACCAACACTCCCATTTCACCCTCATGGAGGGTTTGATGATGAACTGATGAGTTAGAACAGGTTAGAGGAACAAAACGTGAAGCCATGCAGACCAGACTTCCAAGACCATTTGGGAAAAACACTGAAAACGCCCAGCAGTATCACAGTGAACAGAGGGTCAAGAGGTCACCAGACACTATTTACACCAATCAACTGGCCTGTCAGACGTAGCCTGAGTAGGACGGATGAGTTGGAGCGCTGAATATTGGAGCGTTTCCCAAATGTGCTCTGCTGAGTCCAATGAAGGGCTTGGAATGATTCTTTGAGCTGAATCAGTTGTGACTGTGAAGCTAAATACAAAAAACAAACTGGTGTGAATCTGGATGTTCAAGACAACCACAGCAATGCTGAGATACACTCTTAAAAAGATGGTTCTTTAAGGGAACCCTAAGTCCTATTTAGAACCATTACATGCTTAAATGGTTCTTTGCATGATGAAAACGTTCCTCAGATTGGCAGAGAAAGTGTTTCATACGGCTCTATATCGCACTAATAAGGGTTCTTCTACACTCTTAAAAAAAAAGAAGGTTCTTCAAGGGGTCCTTAGTAAAAACAATGGTTCTATAAAGAACCATGGACACTCAAAAAACCACTTGCATGTGATGGAGAATGTGTTGTATATGAATCTACATAGAAGCCTTTTGAAAATGTCTCTACATAAGACCAAAAAGGGTTCTTCCACACTCCTAATAAAGATGGTTCTTCATGGGTTCTTCAGTAAAGACAATGGTTCTATATAGAACCATGTACACTCAAAGAATCATTTACATGTGACGGAGAATGTGTTGAATATGGTTCTATATAGAAGCCTTTTGAAAATGGCACTACATAAGACCAAAAAGGGTTCTTCCACACTCCTAATAAAGATGGTTCTTCATGGGTTCTTTAGTAAAGCCAATGGCTCTATATAGAACCATGAACACTCAAAGAACCATCTGCATGCTTAAATGGTTCTCTGGATGGTGAAACGCTTCTTCAGACTGATGGAGAATGTTGTGTATGGTTCTATAGAGAACCACTTTGAAAATGGTTCTATATAGCACCAAAAGGGTTATACTACTGTTACAATGTCAAGCTTACAACAATACAAGAACCCTTTTTGGTGCTATACAGAACCATGTGCAACACATTTCCATCAATGTGAGGTTCTTCATGGGTTCTTTAGTAAAGACAATGGTTCTATATAGAACCATGAACACTCAAAGAACCATCTGCATGCTTAAATGGTTCTCTGGATGGTGAAACGCTTCTTCAGACTGATGTAAAATGTTGTGTATGGTTCTATAGAGAACCACTTTGAAAATTATTCTGTATAGCACCAAAAGGGTTATACTACTGTTACAATGTCAAAAAGAACCCTTTTTGGTGCTACACAGAACCATGCACAATACATTCTCCATCAACCTGAGGAACCATTTCACCATACAAATAACCATTTAAGCATAAAATGGTTCTATATAGCTAGAACAGTCTCTTTACTGAGGAAGCACCTTTTTAAGAGTAGTATATTTTCACTGCTCTGTCGAGTTTTCCGTTCCACCTTAAACCGTGCAGCGTTTCCATTCTAGCGCCCGTACAGGCGAATGTAACTGCAGCAGTATTTAAGGTGGAACGGAAAATTCGAACAAGAAGCGAACTTTAGCTAGATTACTGTTGTTTTTCCATTGGCTAATGGTAAAACACGGCCTAGTTCTGGACGAGCCACACCAATGGAAAGCGAAAGAAAAAGAGAGAAGACGTTTAAAAACAAAACACTGCTTTTAAACCCCCTTTGTACACCTTTACACAGCGACCTCTGAGTGTGCTGGATTTTAATAGAGCAGTTTCGCACGAAGCTGAAGTCGGCTTCTTGTTCGGGTCTCCCCGTTCCACCTTAAATCGTGTAACTTCTGCACCATTTAAGGTGGAACGGGAAATTCGAACGAGAAGCTGGCGAATAGGCGGTGCTAATGTGGACAAATAACAATAGAAATGGGCAACGAAACAACTATTTAGGGGAAATACCGTGATAGCACAGAAACAAGGACAAACACAGGATTAAACACTCCACATCTGGGCTGTTTAGAGCAGCTGGTTTTGTCCTACCTTTGTGAAAAACCTGGTGTTTGTGGTCAGCAGTCAGCGGGAGCGGGGAGCTTCGTGTCCTGCATGGAGATCGCAGCCAGGCATTAGCAATCGAGCGGGAGAACAAAGACACAGGGGGTGCGTTAGTTCACCCTGGACGCTTTTCGCCGAAACACCGGCGGGTTATTGTATTTATAAAAAGGAGGTTTGCTGAATAAAATAACGTTGTGGTTTGGTTGGGTAGCAAGCAAACTTACCGAGCTGTCGAGGCGCCGTGAATGTGAACGTTTCCCTATAGGTTTGAACAGAGCCCTTCTGTAAACAGTAGTGATGCGAACTTGGTTGGTTTAGAAATCTAAAATGATTCAGACTGTAAATCTTTAAATGGTTACGGGGAGTTAAAAAGACCCACAGCGCTGAAAAATCAGACACAATCCAGAATAGGAACGATTACAGTGGGATAGCAGCGCCCTATCGGAGAGTACTGAATGTGACACAATGGCTGGTGAGCTGGGATTGGCTGTTCATATATATATATATATATATATATACATACATACACACACACACACACACACCAATCAGGCATAACATTATGACCACCTCTGTAGTCCATCTGCTTCTCTGCATACTTTGTTAGCCCCCTTTTACCCTGTTCTTCAGTGGTCAGGACCCCCATGGACCCTCACAGAGCAGGTACTATTTGGGTGGTGGATCATTCTCAGCACTGCAGTAACACTGACGTGGTGGTGGTGTGTTAGTGTGTGTTGCGCCGGTATGAGTGGATCAGACACAGCAGTGCTGCTGGAGTTTTTAAACACCTCAGTGTCACTGCTGGACTGAGAACCAAAACTATCCAGCCAACAGCGTCCTGTGACCACTGATGAAGGACTAGAAGATGACCTTTGCTGTAAGGTCAGCACTTTATGCGGTTGCTATGGTGATGCAAACACTGTATACAGGTGGGGAAAAAAATAATGCCCAACAGAAATGTATTTCTTTTTTTCAGCTTTATTACTTCTTTCTAGTTACTCCTCCAGCTGGACTACTGGCGGACTAGCAGCTAAGATGCTTGCAGAAGCATTAAAAAAGAAGAAATACAGTGTGAAAGTGAAGATTCTGTACAAACCATACAGTTTGTTACAAAACAAGTTCTTGACAAATGATAAACTACTAGAATGATTCTTCTCAGTGGATGTTAAATATGCAAGATACTTTTATCTCACTACACAATACAGTCTTGCAATTTGCCATCACAGAGGTTTGTTAGGTGCAGATACAGTTTTCTCCCTCAGCAAGAACACATTCATGACAGTCCGCACCGCATCTGCCTTTCTTCCACATCATTCTGCTGAGTGTAGATCCAGAGTGGCCCCTGAATTCTCCTTCGGCTCTCAGGATGAATGACTCCAGGTAAATCCAACAGCTTTAAACCACGAGATCAAAATCGTCGCGCTGGGGAAAAAGGAAAACAAGCCATAGTTTATCCCATAAGCTCCAGAGGACCTAGCTTTGGAGCCAGGCCATTGACAGCAGGTTTTATTTCTGCTCTAACAGTCTAGAACTTTGTTTGAAGACCTGAAATAGTTTGTTAGGGCACAGTAGCCTAAAAACTACATGCAAGATCACCAAACCTTTGCACATTTCAACAGTCAATGCACAACGTTTGGCTTTAAAGGGGGATGCCACTAATCTTTCAAAAATTTCAGCATAATTTAAGTGTTAACATGTAAACAGAATCATTCAGAGTGGTTTGGTGTGAAACGCTCGTTCACAGTGGTGGTGATAGGAACCAGACGTCCACCTCTAAAAGCCCCCTCACGGAAAGTTACTACATGAAATGGTCATGAACTCACCACCTGAAGCCTTATGACAATATGACAATAGTTTTGAGAACATTGTGGCCTTAAATTTATATAAAATCAAAAAAAAGATTTCACACAATTTAACATTATCAACATTATATATAAACTCAGAAGACACATGTAGGTTCACTGAATAAAATGGCCATATTTGGTTCCGTTCACCACCACTGTAAAGAAATCTGAGTCTGTTTACATCTCAACCTTTGAATTATGCAGTAATTTTGAAAAAATCTGTGGACTTCCCCTTTGATAGGTAACCATTTACCAATGATCCACTGGATCTAACTGGCATTAGCATTTCAACAGAGTATCCCAGCAGTTTGAATGGATTTGCCAAGGCACAAAAGCCCCATTTTGGACAAAAGTGACTTGGAGAAAGCCCAGAAATCCCATTAGCATCATCACAGTGTGCAGCACTTCATACCTCCTCATTGTAATTCATGACATGCTGTTTGATCTTGGAGGAGTCCACCCAAGTCACGAAATCCTCCATATTCCTGTAAGAAGAGGATAATCAGGTGTTGTTAGATAACCAAACAACAGTTTACATCTTGATCCTCATATAAGATATTTGATTATGATGACACTAAAAAACTAGAATCAGAACTCTTCTCTTGGGGAAATCTCACTTGTAGAGAGAAACTGAAATTACTGACTGATTACTCAAGATATGAACAAAGTAATTTAGAATGGTTTGATATTAATTGCTTGATTCTAGAGAAACTTGCTGAGTCAGTGATGACAGGAATCAGATGTCCAAAGCAAATGCCTCTATCTATTACGAACACCATTGCATGAAATGGTTATGAATACTTTGCCTGATTCCTGCGGGTTTATCTTATGACAGTTTTGAGATAGAAGATTTTGGCATAAAACATATTGTCACTGTCCAAAAAACAAAATATGTTCACATCACTATAGATGGGTATTAATAGCAGCTGTGAATGCAGCCTAAAAGTATTTTTAAGTGTAGCACATTCTCCAAATGACTTAAAACTGATGATTACAAGTTATAACTGACCTTGTGACAAGAAAAGCAGGATCTGTGACAATGTCAGGCCCAACACGAATATCTGGCATACAGTGAAGGAACTGTGATAGTTGCAGGACTGAAGAGAGTTACAAGGTCCAGTGACTGGGCTGGGCAATATGACATACATACATACATATATAAATAATTATTGTGACTAATTATGTCACAATACAATATGCTTTTCTGAACATCATGGATATCATCAGCACTTGTATAATACTGACCAACTGCATGGTTCACTATAAAGAGAGCAAAATTAGTATCGCAATATTATATTTTTGCCATATCGCCCACCTCTACAATAACTTGCATAGAAATGCTGAAAAATCAGTGGACTTCCCCTTTCACAGGGCAAAGGCCCTTGTACAAATGTGCCTGTACATAGAATTCTGGTCACTAATAATCATTTCAGCTGTACAGAAGCTCTACTGCTGCCATATCTGGGACATTTTCAGGCCTTGTTTTCACAGTCACATGTTTATTTAGCTCTGAGCTGCAGCCTCTTATTATTAAACAGTGTGATAAGTGACTGAACGACAACACGCCTTTCAAATGAAAGACTGAACCCGCCCTTTAAAATCAGATTAGGAAGGATACGTCCTTGCTCAACGAAAGTGATGGCGGTCTTCAAGTTCTGAGCCATACGCAGCTTCATCATGACAGAGGGCAGCCGCCTCCTACAGCACAGAGATGAGAGAAAAGCAAAGGAGAGCGTTTATGGTTAAGCAAACAAATACAGTCCACATAAAAAAAGAGTCACATTGATGCTCAGGCGTTTTTTATATTATTCATTACCAGGAAAAACTTTGGAATCACTTGTCATTAATATTTGACCTACCCACGACTTTTAAATGTGTTAAATTTGTACATAAACATTGATTAAAAGAGAACCAATCGGTCCATATACAGAAATTAAGCTGCATTCTGAATTCACTATTTTATGATGTCACAAAAACCAAGGCCTTTACATATATTTTGTTACTAAAATACTTCAATAATAAGAATTTTAGTTATATACAGTGTAAAAATATGTCTGTTCTCCCATGAGGTGAGGAGGTGAGGTTACATCTTTCTGATACACCAAGTCAAACCTCCTCAACTTTAGGCTGCTCTGCCCTTGGGGTCCGCTGAGATTTCAGTTGTATCCCTGCACTATACCGACTTCTACATTACATTCAAACATACAGACGCCCCAGGTTCTGTTTCCTTGCACCAGTATCACTTTATTTCAATGAAGAACTGAGCAAAAAGTGCACTTACCTACAGAAAGAGGACGCAGAGACATTACTGGCGAGAGACAGATTCTGCTTGGTGGGGATCAAGCCAACACTGTAGCTGTTAATGAGAGAGATACTGCATCAGAGCACATATCCGCCTGTTTCCTCTCACAAGATGTTCTAATGAACCTGACAATCTTTTCAGTCAGTCTCTACGACCTTAAAGAGATCTGTCCTCTTTCTGGTGTTTAAAATGTAACTTACAGTTTCTCCAGTAGCTGGGAGGTGCTTTGAGCTCTAAAACCATCCTTCTCATCCAGGTCGCGTATTTTCTGGGCTACTTCTCTGATGTTGCGACTCAGCTTGTTGTACCTGAAAGAAACACCATCAGACCTGAATTACTCACTGAATAGAAGAGAGAAAATGGATAGAAAGGCAGCAGCATCCTTTATGACCATAACTACAGCAATTTATTAAAATTTCTGCATAATTCAGTGGTTGAGATGTAAACAGTCATTCAGAGTGGTTTGGTGTGAAATGGTTCAGATTTCTTTACAGTGGTGGTGATAGGAACCAGGGGTCGCCATGACTACAACACAAATATAGACATTTTATTTACTATCCAGAACCACCAGTGAACCTATACGTGCCATCTGAGTGTTTATATGTAATGTTATTAATGGTAAAATAGTGGGAAATCTGAAATAATATATTTCCTATGGGGACTGTTTTACCCTCCACCCTGAATAGATTAAAAAAGGGAACCACTTTGCTCTCGTAAAGGCTTTTTAAATGGCTTAGAATTATTTATTTTAATGGTTAATAATCTTTAAAAATGTTTTCTAGGGGGACTATTTTGCCTTACATGCCTGACATGTATCTCTCTGCCATGAATTGTTTAAAAAAAAAAAAAGTATCAGGCCAAAACCTTCTCAAAACTATCGTAAAACAATGTCTCAGGTATCAGGCAGTGAACTCATAACCATTTAATATAATAACTTTCTGTGAGGGAGCTTTTAGAGCTGGACATCTGGTAACATAATGTATCGTAGCAATGTTTAAAAATACCACCAAATATCGAATCATACAAATTGAAATCGTATCATGGTCAAAACAAAGATTTGCTGCCGTAGTTCGTAGCCTTCAGCACCCCTAAGGTGACATGGTGATTATTTTTTAATAATGTGTGACCACAAATTTATATATTGAGGCCACAAGTTATGAGAAATATAATATAATGACATCAATATATATTAATTTGTGTCCCCAAATAAATAATTCAAGGTCTCAACATATTAATTTGTGGCCTCAAAGATTTGCCATCCTAGTTCGTAGCCTACAGTGTCCCTGAGGGAACATGGTAAGTCTTTTTCATAAGGTAAGGCCACAAATTAATATACCGAGGCCAGGAGTTAAGAGAAACGTGCTATATTAATATATATTAGTTTGTGGTCTCCATATATTAATTCATGGCCTTAATGTAGTAATTTATGGCCTCAAAAGAATAATTTGTGGCCTCAATTTAATAACTTATGGCCTCAATATATTAATTCATGGCCTCAGTATATTAATTTGTGACCTTAAGGTTGTAATTTGTGGCCCCAATATAGTAATTCGTGGCGACGTCTTATTAATAGTAATCACCATGACACTTTAACGTCTTCGTAGTAGCCCAATGTGGTTTCACAGTAAAAAAAATAACCAAACAGAAGCGTTTTAGGGAATTTGAAGTACATTCAGCTGATACATTATGAACATCACAAAGATTAAAAACCATTAAAAACCATTAAAAACCAACAGGTCTCACTTAGTGTAGTCCTCCCTCTTCTCGATGTGGTATTTCCTCAGGATTTTCACCTCGTGCAGATTGTTGTCCACCTCCCAGTTAATGAAATCGACTTTCTTTAAGAGCTTCTGCTCATGAAACTTCAGTTTACGGACCATTTTTACGAGTAAAATACAACAAATAAACAAAAATACCTGTTTATAACCTGCTGAACACGCGGTGCTCCTATTTGATTAGCACCCCGGAAAAACAGGCAAAATAAAAGTCACTTAACGTCCCTATTTAAAGGAGGGAGTTAAAATTACAGATATTAGCCCAAATATAAACTCCTAGTTACATAGTCTGATGCAAACCCAATCATGTGTAAGGTGCTGTTCTGAACCTCACTAAACACATGGCTTATTGGAGAAAAACAACACTGTGTTTTAAAAACACTGCCCCCTAAAGATTCGGAGGAATCCTGTGGAAGCCCGTTTTCACCACTGGGAAAGACGTACAGCCATGTTGTTAATCATAATAATGAGAACGTTTTCCATAATTATGACTTAGTATCTCATAATTATGAGAAACTGTCTCATAAGTATGACTTGATATTTCATGAAGATCACTTACTGTCTCATAATAATGATTTTTTTCATAAATGAGATGCTAAATGAGGCTTTCTCATTTTTATGACTAACTAAATGGATATATATTTTTCTCCAGTGGCGGAAAAGAGCGTCCATAGAATTCATATCCACATCTACCATCCACTAAAATCCCTAAAGCCATATTTTAAAAGCACTCAAGAAAGTAGAACAGCAGGATCATATCACCTAGGCCTAAACACGGACCTCATAACCTAATAGCTCAAGGGTTATAGTTTGTCACACATGGAGAGACAGTTGTTTTAGATTAGATTAGATTAGATTCAACTTTATTGTCATCATGCAGAGTACAGGTTCAGAGCCAATGAAATGCAGTTAGCATCTAACCAGAAGAGCAAAATATATGATATGATATGTAAGTATAAATATAGTATACATATACATTGAGTGGACAGCATACAAGTGTAGTGTACTGTGAGAGCAGCATATGTAAAAGATAAATATGCAGAGTGAACTTGTGCAGTAACTGTCAGTGCAAATATGAATTGTGCAGTAATACACTGTGCAAATATGAATAGTGCAACAATACTAGGACATAAAGTACAATAACAGTCCAGAGAGTTCGTTGCCTGACCGCAATCAACAGCAAACCTAAGTTTCTCCCCTAAAAGAGAACTAGAATAACCGGACCTGACAGCTAAATTAGTCTACGTGGCGTACAGCTTTCACCATTCATCAGTTAAGATGATATATTTAGTCAGACCTGTTTTCTTTCTGCTTTTTGAAACCTCCATTACCTTGGGCCCTTTTTTCTGGTCAAAAAGCAAAATTTAACGTTTGCTGTCTACTCGCCTCCCACGGTGGTCCCACAGTAGTCTCCAGAGTGAGATTTTTGGGGTTAAAAACTAGGAAAAGACAAAAAAACCCGATTGAACAACCAAAGTTACACTAATGCTAGCTTGTGAAAAGTTCACCACAGGGATTCCCGCTGTATGGCTGTTTTAAAGTGATTTTTAATTTCGATGTGCACAAGAAAGGCAGATAGGTAATAACTTTAGTAACTGTCTTCAAATCATTGTTACAATCGAGAGAGTTTCTCATATAAGGAGTTTCAGCTAAAGCTAAAGTTAGCAGGGGAGCTATATAGATTTCTATATACCTCAGTTTGGATTCTTTTCTCTGGCTGAAATGGTAAAAATCACGCCGTTTTGTGCTGAATAAAGATAAAATCACTGTTTTCCTCATAACTGTCTTCGACAACTGAGGTAAAAGTTACACTAATGCCAGCTTAGTTGTATTTATTAGCTTACAGCTCAGTGGCTAGGCTAGCAGTCAGGATTGTTTGAGTTCTGCAGGGATTCCCAATGGAATATGATGGATTTGTGTAATGTGTGTTGAATGTTCTTGTAAAAAAAGCATTAATAAACAATATAAAGTCATGAATTAAACTGTTAAACCCATGGGATATAATGCCTAGATAACAGAATGCTACATAACATGGCAAATAAGGTGTTAAATGCTAGTTTAAGGCTGGAGTGCCCATTATGTTGTCTTCATGTAGTGGAAAACCAAGAGTCTTCCAAGATGCAAATTCCATCTACCATCCACTAAAATCCCTAAAGCCATCTTTTAAAAGCACTCAAGAAAGTAGAACAGCAGGATCATATCACCTAGGCCTAACAATGGACCTCATACCCCAAATAACTCAAGGGTATAGTTTCTCACACATTGAGAGACAGTTGTCCTCAGAGTTATAGTTAAGCACAATTCCACTTAATGGTGTCGCATTTTAATGTTATGTTCTTAAAAACAATTAGCTCACACAAACTGCTCTTAGCTCTTTGGTGGATGGTCTCCCTTTTTCAAAATATTCCAAAGATTTGAGAAATTCAGTGTCACCAGGGTTGTTTTTGGTGAGCTGAAAGTGAGATGTGCGTTTCTCCATATAAAGGCCTACAAAAATCTATAGCTAAATGTTTTAACGTGGCTTGCCTGACCTTGATCAACAGCAAACCTAGGTTTCTCCCATAAAAGAAAACTAGAATAACTGGACTCGGTGGTTAAACTAGCCCACAAGGCCTGCAGCTTTCTTACAGCATTCATCAGGTAAGACGACACCTGTTTCCTTTCTTCTTTTTAAAGCATCCAGTACCTTGGTCTCTTTTTTTCTGGCCAAAAAGCAAAATTTAACTATTGCTGTTGTAAACATGTCTGTTCGCCTCCCACAGTGGCCCCACAGTCGTCTCCAGAGTGGGATTTTCAGGGTTAAAAACTGGAAAAAACCTTATTCAACAACCAAGATTACACTAATGCCAGCTAGGTCGTATTTATTACCCTGTAGATCAGTGGCTAGCAGTTGTGAAAGGTTGACCACAGTTGACCCACTGTATAGCTGTTTTCAAATGTTTTTAAAGGCAGGCAGCTAATGTTTCTAGGAATTCAAATATCTTATTGCAACTGAATGACTTTAGTAACTGTCTTTAAGTCATCATTACAATGGAGAGAGTTTCCTATATAAGGAGTTTAACCTAAAAGCTAAAGTTAGCAAGGAAGCCATATGGATGTCTAGATACATTACCTCAGTTTGGATTCCTTTTTCTGGCTGAAAGGCTAAAAAACTTGTCATTTTGTGCTGAATAAAGATAAAATCACTGTTTTTCTCATAACTGTCTTTGACAACTGAGGTAAAAGTTACACTAATGCTAGCTTGGTTATATTTATTAGCCAGTAGCTCAGTGGCTAGGCTAACAGTCATGACTGGTTGAATACTGCAGGGATTCCCAATGGTTGTATGATGGATTTTGCGTAATGCATGCTGATTGTTCTCGTAAAAAACAATAATAAACACTATAAAGTCATGAATTAAACTGTTGAACCTAAGGAATATAATGCCTAGATAACAGAATGCTACATAACATGGCAAATAAGGTGTTAAACGCTAGTTTTAGGCTGGGGTGCCCATTATGTTGTCTTCATGTAGTGGGAAAGGAAGAGCCTTCGAAGATGCAAATTCCATCTACCATCCACTAAAATCCCTAAAGCCAATTTTTAAAAGCACTGAAGAAAGTAGAACAGCAGGATCATATCACCTAGGCCTAAAAACTGACCCCATACCCAAATAGCTCAAGGGTTATAGTTTCTCACACATTGAGAGACAGTTGTCCACAGAGTTATAGTTATGTTACGATGCAATTCCACTTAATGGTGTCACATTTTAATGATATGTTCTTAAAAACACTAAGCTCACACAAACTGCTCTTAGCCATTTAATGGATGGACAAAATATTCCAAAGATTTGAGAGATTCAGTGTCATCAGGGTTGTTTTTGGTGAGCTGAAAGGAAGATGTGCATCTCTCCAAATAAAGACCTACAAAAATCTATAGCTGATTGTTTTAACATTTATGGCTTGCCTGATCTTGATCAACAGCAAACCAAGTTGCTCCCCTAAAAGAAAACTAGAATAACCGGTGCTGATGGTTAAATTAGCCTACGTGGCATACAGCTTTCAGCATTCATCAGTTAAGACGAGAAATTCAGTCAAACCCGTTTCCTTTCTTCTTTTTAAAGCATCCAGTACCTTCAGCCCCTTTTTTTCTGGTCAGAAAGCAAAATTTAACTTTTGCCGTTGTAAACATGTCTACTCACCTACCACAGTGGTCCCACAGTAGCTTCTAGAGAGAGATTTTTGGGATTAAAAACTGTGAAAAGACAAAAGAAAAACCTATTCAACAACCAAGCTTACACTAAAGCCAGCTTGTGAACGGTCCACAAGGGATTCCCACTGTATGGCTGTTTTAAAGTGATTTTTAATTTCTTTTATTAGCTTATTTGCACAAAGAAAGCAGGTAGTTAATGTTACTAAGAAGTCAAATAACTTATTGCAGCTGTATAACTTCAGTAACTGTCTCCAAATCATCATTACAATGGAGAGAGTTCCTCATATGAGAAACAGAGCAAGCTAAAAGCTGAAGTTAGCAAGGAAGCTGTATGAATGTCTAGATACATTACCTCAGTTTGGATTCCTTTCTCTGGTTGAAAGGCTAAAAAACTTGATATTTTGTGCTGAATAAAGATAAAATCACAGTTTTTCTCATAACTGTCTTTGACAACTGAGGTAAAAGTTACACTAATGCTAGCTTAGTTATATTTATTAGCCTACAACTCAGTGGCTAGGCTAACAGTCAGGACTGGTTGAGCACTGCAGGGATTCCCAATGGTTGTATAATGGATTTTGCATAATACATGCTGATTGTTCTTGTAAGAAAACATTAATAGACAATATAAAGTCATGAATTAAACTGTTGAACCTAAGGAATATAATGCCTATAGCTACAAACTACTACATAACATGGCAAATAAGATATGAAACGCTAATTTTAGGCAAGAGTGCCCATTATGTTCTCTTTATGTAGTGGAAAATGCAAGAGCCTTCAAAGATGCAAATTAAAAACACATTAAAAAGCTTCAGGCAAGCACATAAGAGTCATTAGAAGAGGAAGAACTTGTTATTGACATTTCTGGATTGTCTGATCATTAACAACAACAAACCATAGTAAACGAAAACTAGAATAACTGGACCTGTTGGTTAAACTAGCCTGCACAGCCTACTGCTTTGTTTTAGCATTCGTCAGTTCAGCTTCGCAGAGGATCTGAGTGAAAAGAGTGATTTCTTTTTCCAGCCAACATATTTCTGACGTGTCCCACACTGATGAATAAGCCAGTTGGTCTGAACTCACTAAAGTTACAAAACTAAAGTGTCTTGTAACAGGCCTCTGTAAATAGCAACTGAATAATTATCTAATAGTTTATTAATTATAGGTAATAAATATATTTTTGTTTGTTGCATTTAAAAGTCAGAGGCATCAAGTTGGGTATTTTCCGGACCACGTCATATGCTTTTATGTATTAACGTCACACTCACAGGCCCAAAAAGAAGGTCCAGCTCGATGTTTAGGCCTCAAACACAATAACAGCATTATACTGATGAAGATATAAGGACAATAGTGGATAATTCACATCTTTGGGAGACGTGTCCTTCGCCAAGTTTTGACTGAGTTCTCTTTGAATTCTCTTTTAATCATCAGATTTATCCACTTATGGAAGGGGGGCAAAACACAACCCATGTTACAGTATAGTGTAGTAAACAATGCCTCTGCCTTCAACACTGTAGACTGGGGTTCAATCCCCCATCTGGGCAAGCGTCCTATATTATGCCAATGGGGGTCCTTGGGCAAGACTCCTAACACCACCTTCGCCTCCTGCGTAAAATGATCAAATTGTAAGTTGTTCTAGATAAGAGCAAACGCTGTAAATGTTACATAATGTTCTTCTGCATGCGGTGTGCAATTGCACATTTTCACCAGAGAGGTCTCCAAATCCCCAAAACTTACAAGGTGCAGCTTTAAGCAATTTAAAGTAGTTTACTGCTATGGCTCATTAACAGCTTTGTCTTCCATTGTTTCCAGGTTTGAAAAGGGGGAAAGGTGTCAGATTGCAATGACTTCTGAGCAAGTTCTGCTGCTGAAGTTGACATTTATGTCCGCTTGATCCCTCACCTCTCCGAGGACACATTTAACACCCTTCATTTGAGCTAATACAGTATTGGAATGGCCCTTAAGAAATGGTGAGGTCAAGTGGACGAGGCTGGTAGTGAAACGGGCGGTGTGTGTCCCTGGTAAGACTACGTGGCAGATGGACCCAACAGAGCAGACCCTGTTTGGGGGGATCTCACCTCAGACTACTGAAACACAGACTCAGTGTGAAAGAGAACACTGGTTTATCTTACAGTGCTGGAATCCTGCACTCCTCATACAACCGACATCTTTAATCCTGACAGCGGCCCAAGTCAGTGCCTTGTCCAGTGCAGCTCGCCAAAAGAGACCTCAGTCCACTCCGCCCTCGCCTTCATCCAACATGTCTGTGTCTGTTTGGCAAACAGAACGCTGAGTGACGGCTCCGCCCAACACTGTGTGTATGTGTGCATGGGTGTGTGTACATTACCAGATCTCCATTTTCAAACATAAAACCAATTTACATGCAGACGATTGTGCAAAAGTTAAGAATTGTTGGAATGACTGATTTCAGATTACTTTAAAATGAATGAAAAAACTGCAAAACATCAAGAATAAAGTTTAAAAGATTAAAATTAGAATAAAATGAACATCCAGAATTAGGATCATATATAATGAACATTCAGAAAGTAGTAACAATAAAATGAATATCCAGAATAAAGTTCTAATAAAATCAATATCCATAAAGACATTCTTATAGAATAATATCCAGAAGGAGGTTCTAATAAATTAATATCCAGAATGAAGCTAAAATTAAATTCATATACAGAATGGGGCTGTAAATAATAACATGTAGAAAAAAGTTTTAATGAATTTAATATGCAGAAAAGGGTTTAATACTCTGGGTTTAACATTCTGAATGAAATGAAAATACAATTAATAAAGAGAATTAAGTTGAAATTAAATTTATATCCAGAATGGAGTTCTAATAAAATTAATATGTAGAATGAAGTTAAAATAAAGTTAATCCCGGGGCAGATAACTTGACAAAAAATAGGTATAAATTAATAAATAAAGTGTATTATTTATCACTTATTACCTTGTTATTCTTTAAAAAAAGTTAAATATTCAATATTAATATAGAATATTAATAGTAATATTAGTAATAGTAATATTAACACCTTCTTTTAGTAATATATACACACTGTATATGTTACTATTGCACAGAATCACAGTTATAAATATGATGATACCAAACTTCTGAACTTCCGAATGTCAATGTAAGAGCGGCTGCCCGGCATGATGTCCATGTGGCAGGGCGAGTGTGGGTGGAGAAAGGGAACACCTCCTCAGCTGGCTCCGGCCTGTGAGTCTGCACCCTGCACACAGAGAGAGGGATTGTTTGGCCCTCTCTCTCCCCATCTGCAAAAAAGAGCGAAGCAGCAAACTGACCTGCCAGCATAAGGCAGTCAGTGTGCGCTCTGATTCCGCTCTTTCCGTCCACTTCAGGCCAGCCTGGACTGATCCCCCCGCCCAACCCTCTCTCCTAGAATTACTCTAAATTCCAAATCCAGCGCATAACCTTTACAGCTCCATCTGAATGTGATGAAGGCGGCTGAAAGGCCAGGGCTATTGTCTGGCCTCCATAAGGTCTGCCTTTCAGCCAGAGCAAACGTCAACAGGTAGTGGTATGTCAACATTAAATAGGCACCGGAGGCATTGCTTCACACCAGACGGACGACTGCAGAACCATAGCGTATCCTTCTCTATGCAGGTAGTGTGCTTTAGTGGGTGTGGCTGAGGACTGAGGTAAGAGTGCGGAGTTGACAGAGCAGTTTCAGGAGAAGGTTGGTCAGGAGTTCTTATCTGCATGAGAAGAGAAGAAGCTGAATAAGTGAAGTGTATGCAGAGGAGGTGTGGGCCTTTTGACTCTACAGCTCTTACCTTTAAGAGAGAAGACAAAGCTGAACAAGTGAAGTGAACGTTGGACGTTTGGAGGTTTTTGACTCTGCAGTGATGATAAGGATGATGGCAGTCACCTTGGTGAGTAGTGAATCTTCATCCTTTTGGGCCTTTGCTGTGGTTGGGCTCTTGTATCATTCGGATTCTATTTCTCCTTAGATTTTTCTTTCTTTTTCAGAGTTTTGAGAGTCTGTTTACTCTAGTTAGTCGGATGTGAAATGCAGTCTGTCTAGTTATTCTGGTTTGGCCACAATGCAGTAAAGTATGTGGAATTCCGTTCCCTTCATTTCTTCTAATACGTAAAAGACTTCCCAACTTTGGGAAATGCTCTGACAGCGCTGCGTCTGTTGCCCTGTACTTAAGCAGCAATTAGCATCCTTACTGTCAATGGACCTCTGAAGCCCTGCTTCATTGTATAGTTGCCGTCATGCCCATATTGGAAATCCAGGGCTAAGCTGGTTTTCTCTATGGGAAAAATGAACAGTGTTTTTCGTAAATTCACATTATTGGTCAACAAAAAGCTGATATGTTTTTTGTCCTGAGTACATTTTTTCCACTGAATATCACTGTATCCTCTGAATTACAATGCCGTTTAATTGGCAGACAAAATAGCAAGCTAGCTCTCATGCACACTATAATGACACTGCATGACGTTTTCCATAAAACTTCAACTCTGTCACCAACATCAGCTTCTCAAACTGTAGTCTAAAACTGCCAAAGAAACATGCCCACCTACACCGTGCCACCCATACATCAACCAACCAAACAAATAAAATACCACACTGTTCATAGGAAAGTGCAAGGAATGTCAGTTTTTATGGCCCAAATTTGTATGTATTTTCAGTAGTTCACTACACAAAAATGGCAAAAAAAACATAAATCACATGCAAACATGAATGTAGTTTAACTACCAACGAGCTACTGCAAAATGTAGTTTAACAAATGCATTATATTTGTTACAGGTCAGTGTTCCTCAGTAGTCCAACCACAAACCCCACTCATTTCCATTTCAGGAAGTTGGCAACTACGCACAGCGTCCCAACATTTTTGGAAATGGGGATGTATTTTCATATTCATTACCTATGCAGGAAGCAGACCTCTACAACAAAAACCTTTCGTACTAGTATTAAACAGTCTGAGTCAGGCAGAACTGTTGATGTTTTAAAAGAGAAAAGGGCCGAAGACATACACCAGAGGAACACCACAAAGCTAAGGATGATATTCTTCTACAGAAAAACAAGGACATTTACAGGTTCTTTGCCTTTGGTTTTAATATTGTACTGGTTATTCAGCACATTGCGTTTCTTAACCATCCCGATATCTGGAAGTGAATGCATGCTAGTGCACAACAATATATGGGCTTTTTCCTTTCATTGACTACAGTTAAACCTAATGATGAGACTAAATTTCTGAAGTCTGTAAGTCTAAAAAAATCTCATGTTGGTTTGTAAGCCCATGGCAACAAGTCTCAACCATAATGCAAAGATGTGTTAACTGTCACTCCACCCTAATTTCAAGATCCAGATTGATTTCCTGTGCTTATTTAAAGTATTCAGGACTGAATCCACTCCTCTGTAAAAAATGAGAAAAATGGTTCCCAGATTATTCATATTGTCAGTAATGACACTGTTTTGTCTTCAGGGCAGCTTATAGTTCTCAGCGGAATGCTGTTATATGCATCTTGAACAGAAGAGAATCAGAATTGCTCTGTAAGAAAGGACACCAGTACGTCAGTCATGGCGAGCGGTCGGGAGCAGGTAGGCCTTTCATAATTTTATCAAGATTAAACTCTTTTATTCAGGATGTAGAAAAAAGAGTAAACAACAATCAGATCATCTTACTCTCATGGTCTTATGTCTTATATTTGATTATACTGGCCTTTCTTTTTATCTGCCTATACTGTAGTTAGCTTACAAATGCCTAATTTAGATAGACCCACCTCTCAGCCACTAACAATAATAATAATGTAATCAAAGCCAGAAACGTCATGAGATTTTGCACTTAGCTTAGTGCAAAATGTAATAAAACCCAATAACTTGCCTAATAATGTAACACGCAGTGGGTAGCGCTGCCACCTCACAGCAAGAAGAGGCTGGGTTCGATTCCCCAGCCGGGCACCCAGGGTCCTTTCTGTGTGAAGTTTGCATGTTCTAACCGTGTCTGAGTGGGTATCCTCCCACAGTTCAAAGACATGCAGTCAGGCCAATTGGTGATGTTAAAATGGTGTTACCTGTACCTGCCTTCTGCGCTGGAATAGACTCCAGCAACGCCCCGTGACCCAGGCGGATATGCAGCTTAGATAGCATGTGTAACACCTTACTACGTTACTGGGAATTTGTTACATTTTCAGGTTGACTCTATGTAATGCCGTATTACAGTATTGAGAAGAACAGAAGGTACCACTGCTGGCCTTCTGGTTGTGTTCCAGTTAAATTCGACCGATTTACTGTTTTTTCTGTCCTAATTTCTTTACTACTTTACTACTCCAGACTAGGTAAGTGGTAACCAGAGCCAGTCTTACGAGAGGTTTTAGAAGTGGAGGCTCTTTCTTTGAACTAGACTTTGTCTCATTGATGCTCCCCTTGTTCCAGGTTGTGTTGATACCCGTGTACAGCACAAAAGCACTGTAGGAGACTTTTGGTAACCGCTCTTAAAAGTGTCACATCATTTATTTCGAAAACAAATCAGAGCGAAAATGATCAACTTGAAATGCAATACAATTCCAATACTGTAATGAGGCATTACATACGGTCATTACAAGAATCATTACATTATCAGTTATTGGCCAAGTTAAGTGCAATTTTTACGACATTTTTGGGAAATTGTTACAATAATGAGTTCTACAAACAATGATTTCTCCGCGAAAAAACCTCCACACAACGCGAGGGATACTCAAACAGGTACAGAATTTTTATTATGTGGCCCATATCCTACATTTTTCCTGTGTTGTTTTTCCCCTCTGATGTCTGCTTTTGACATTATGTGTTTTTCTGTACTAACAACTGTTGTTTAGTTCCGTACTAACTAACTATATACTGTCTGACCCCCCTCTCACTTTCAGATCAGCGCTGCCGAGGTGCCTGGCATGCCCAGGTTGTCAGCATCTGCCAAGCTGAAGTATGTGTCTCTGGGGGTGCTGGTGCTACAGACCACCTCTCTGGTGCTGACCATGCGCTACTCTCGGACGCTGCCGACTGAGGGGCCGAGGTACCTGGCCTCTTCAGCTGTGGTGTCCGCTGAAGTCATCAAAATCATCGCCTGCACCATGCTGGTCTTCAAAGACAGCAGTGAGTCACAGTGGCAAAATAATGGGGTCATCATGAAAAAATCATGGGGGTAAAATTGCCTAAATAATGATATAAGAAGTCCAATAGTGGCATATTTCAAAGTTTCTGCTAGAATGGTTAAGATGTCATTCAGAGTGGTTTGGTGTGAAATGCTCTGTTCTAGAGAAGCTTACTAAGTCAGAATTGTTCACAGTGGTGGTGATTGGAAACAGACGTCCACCTCTAAAAGCTCCCTCACAGAAAATGTATTACATGAAATGGTTATGAAAACGCCGCCTGAAGCCTGAGACTGCTTTACAATTGTTTTATAATTGGAAAAAATCCATTCATGGTACATGTAAGGTGTGGTGAGGCCAAATAGTCCCCAAAGAAGACATAAGTTTTCAGACTTATGACTGTTTTATCATCATCAGCATTCCATATAAAACTCAGAAGACTTGTGTAGGTTCACTGGTGGTTTTGGACAGTAAATAAAATGTCCATATTGGTGTTGTAGATATTGTGGCCCCCGGTTCCTATCACCACCACTGTAAAGACATCAAATCATTCTGAATCTCAACACATCAATTACGCAGAATTTATGAAAAATTGGAATTCCGCTGTAAAAGGCGCCTCTCGGGCTACAGGGCCCAGAGTGATTGGATGATTGAACACATTTTCCAATTAAGCATGAAACAGTTCTATATAGAGCTCATGGTTCTAAATAGAACTATTCTCCTTACTAGAGAACCCTTGGAGAACCATCTTTTAAGAGTAGAACTCTGCAAATACTTCTTTATGTTTTTCTTTGATTGTCTGATTAAAAGTTACTTCCTGTAACTTCCCATGTGCTCTTCAGGTTTCAGCGTGCAGACGCTGAATCTGGTCCTTAGGGAGGAGATCATAAACAAGCCCTGGGAGACCCTGAAGCTGGCCATCCCGGCAGGCATCTACACCCTGCAGAACAATGTGCTCTACGTGGCTCTTTCCAACTTGGATGCTGCAACCTACCAGGTGAATGAGGCCCAAAAACTAAGCACATAGCCTTGCAGTCTCGATAGACAAACACTGGCAGTAGGATGGGTCGTACTGAAGAGCTCAGTGACTTTAAACATGGCACTGTTATAGGATGCCACCTCTGCCACAAGTCAGTTTGGGTGTGGCACGCCCCCCACTGGACTCTGTAGTAGTGGAAACACATTCTGTGGAGTAATGAATCAGCTTCTCTATCTGTTAGTCTGATGGACGAGTCTGGGTTTGGTGAATGCCAGGAGAACGTTACCTGCTTGACTGCACTGTGTCAGCTGTAAAGTTTGGTGGAGGAGGGATGATGATATGGGGTTGTTTTTCAGGGGTTGGTCTAGAACCCTTAGTTCTAGTGAAGGGAATCTTAATGCTTCAGCAGAACAAGACATTTTGGACAGTTATACGCTTCCAACTTTGTGTGAACAGTTTGGGGAAGAACCTTTTCTGTTCCAGCATGACTGAGCCCCAGAGCACAAAGCAGCTCCATAAAGGCCTGACTGGGTGAGTTTGGTGTGGAAGAACTTGACTGGCCCTCACAGAGCCCTGACCTCAACCCCATCAAACACCTTTGGGATGAACTAGAACAGAGATTGTGAGCCAGGCCCTCTCGTCCAGCATCAGTGTCTGACCTCACAAATGCTCTTCTGGATGAATGGGCAGAAATTCCCACAGACTCTCTCCAACATCTTGTAGAAAGCTTCCCAGAAGAGTGGAAGCTGTTAGAGCTGCAAAAGGGGACCAACTCCATATTAATGCCTATGGATTTAGAATGGGACTCATAAAAGCTCCCATAGGTGTAATGTGTTGTTGTCCCAACACTTTTGTCCATATAGTGTAGTTAAGAGAATTCAGTCAGTTATCACACTGATGGACTTTCTCTGACATGCACAAGTGACCCATGAGGTGCTTTTATCTAAACACTAACTGTCCACTTTATCAGAAACCCTTATCTTGTAGCTCCATCTTGCTGGTGTTCAATTCAAAACTGAAGCTCATCTGTTGATGCACAGTTTGTGTTGGTCATCCTCTAGTCCTTCATTAATGGTCAGTTTTTAACTGACCAAATAACCAACAGTGAATGGGGTAGAGGGTGGTTGATAAAGTGGCCAGTGAGTGGAAGCACAGGGTGGGTGTTTCTGATAAAGTGGCCAGTGAGTGGAAGCACAAGGTGGGTGTTTCTGATAAAGTGGCCAGTGAGTGGAAGTACAAAGTGGATGTTTCTCATAAAGTGTGCAGTTATTGGAAATACAAGGTAGGTGTTTCTAATAATGTGGCCAGTGAGTGGAATCACAAGGCGGGTGTTTCTAATAAAGTGGCCAGTGAGCGGAAGTACAAGGTGGGTGTTTCTCATAAAATGTTGAGTTGATGGAAGTACAAGATGGGTGTTTCTAATAAAGTTTTTGAACTTTGTCCTACTTTTTTTTTTGCCTTTCTCAGGTCACGTATCAGCTGAAGATTCTCACCACCGCTCTGTTCTCCGTGTCTATGCTCAGCAAGAAACTTGGTGCCTACCAGTGGCTGTCCTTACTCATACTAATGATGGGTGTAGCGTTCGTACAGGTAATACCAGCTCCTAACAATATTCTAGCTCAGTGTTTTTATAAGTCAGTGTTCCTGTAGGAGTCTTGCTCTGCATATTTCACATATTACCTCAGGGCTCACCCATCTTTCCTACAAAGGGCCAGTGTGGCTGCAGGTTTTCATTCCAACCAAGCATAAGCACCTCATATAACTCCAGCTGTGTTGCTATGGTATCAGAAAAGGTTCTGACAGATGATGCATCAGAAAACCCGAGTAACATGAAACAGCCTATTTAAATAAGTGCTGTTGTTTTGTCTCTTTCATGTGTCATGATTTTTCATTTTTGTTGTTTCATCTTTAATTAACCATTCCTGTTATATAATCATAATCTATAACTACTTCAATAATGTGCACAATAGAAAAATATTGCACTTAAATATAGGCTACGCAAACAAATGAACAAATCAGCTACACATACATACTTTTAAACATCACTTGGAAAGATTATAATGTTGATTTATAGTCTGGCAAAGAATGCTGGAGTACATGCAAATGAAACAAAGTCACTTTGAAACCAATGTGGAGAACCACTGGATGTTAACAGTGGTTATATGCCATCTGTGTAGAATATAGTTAGTATTATAAATGATTAAGTTATATTAGATTAATCAATTTATATGCTGTTCAGCTTCACGAGGCCTGTCTAAACGTAACAATACATGAGCCCTTTCATAGGTGTAATGCAAGGGTCAGCAACCCACATGTTAAGAACCATTGTGTCCCATTTCAACAAAAATCAAACCACAACATTTCATGTCCGTTTTGTTAAAGTAATGTTTTACCATCTTGGCATATTGGCAAATATGTCTCAGTATGTGCTAATATCGTAGTGTAGGCTAAAAAATGTAATGCAAACAAAAATCCAGACTTACTTTGCTCTGCTTTAAGCTTTAGCTCAGCTATAGCCACTTTTCTCGCATCTCCAGCAGGAAAGTTTTCCTCAAAAGTGTAATAGTTTCATGTAAAATGTCTCTTTCGACTTCTTATGAGGCTGAAAACGCTTCTCATTCACCAGCTTCTTGTTCTAATTTTCCCGTTCCACCTTAAATGGTGGAGCCTCTGGAGTGATTGTAAGTGCAAATGAGTCCATTTATCTCTAAATTATCAATGTTCATTTTTTCTTTTCTTTGCCTTTTCGTTAACAACTAGCTAGGCAAGTCTGAGATCTGTATTGCTATGGTGACCAGCAGTCTGTGCTGATCTTCAGGGTTAAAGGGTGAATTAGCAGTTCTACATTAACTCCAGAGTTTAAGACCATTTATTGTTAAACTGTGTTGAACAATCAGCAGAGCTTTATTTTACTGTAAATGAGGATTATTTTATTTTTACCTACAAATCTAATTCAGCTGTGGAGCCACAACAGGACAGTAGAAGAGCGGTGTTGCCGACTCCTGGTGTAGTGGATGACATGAGTTAAAGCAGGAAAACACTAAAATGTGAAGAAGAGAGATACTTCAGGACTAGAGCAGCAATGAAACCTCCTACATATGCTACAGTCTTAAAAATGAAGGTGCTAAGCAGTTTTTTTGGAGAGATGAATCATTTTTGGTTCCCTGAAGAACCTTTTAATGGATGATTCTTTAACCTCTTTCTGTAGCCCCCCTAGTGGCCATTCCTCTGGGAAAATGGAAATCGACTCAGATTTGAAAAAAATTAATATAGTCAAACAAAATGTTAGTTATCATGACTGAGTTATCAGATGAACTAGGACACTGTAAATGAGATGTACAAGCACGAAAAAACCTTTTGAAGTGTAAAGAACCTTCACATAATGTATAGGTTTTTCATAGAACCATATGTCCAAGAACTTTTATTTTATAAAAGTGTAGCTTTGAAAGCATTTTTGTAAAGCTTCTGGTCTCACCACTGCTTGTTTATGTGTCCTAAACCAACAGTGGCCTTCAGATTCTGCGGCAGGACCTGAGAAGAAGGAGCTGTCCACGGGCTCTCAGTTTGTCGGACTGCTGGCCGTGCTGGTGGCCTGCTTCTCCAGCGGATTTGCCGGCGTTTATTTCGAGAAGATCCTGAAGGAGACCAAGCAGAGCGTCTGGATCCGTAACATTCAGCTAGGTAAGCACTGTTGATCACCTTTGACTGTTTGCAGGCCTGTTTTGTCTTTTTTTATATTCACTTTTGGCATGGTGGGCGTTTGCTTTGCTCTGATGGAATAAAATGATAATAATCAAACATGATGATTAAAATGAACATCATTAATAAAATGTATATACATAGGACATTGGAAAGTATACATAAGATGACAAAGCCCCTGAGACTTTGCTTGTGTGTTGGAAAATGCCAGAACTTTTCTAAGCAGCAGAGGCCTCCATGTGAACCCTTTGAACCTTAAGCAACAAGAAGGCCAGTGTATAAACAGGTGTTTGATAATAATAAGGGAGGTGCTGGGTAGCAGAGATGCAACTACCCCTTTTAATAACTTGACCTTTTTTAATGGGTCAAATTTAATTGGGTCTAAAAAAGTGATAATCTTTGTTTAATGATGAGCAAAACAGGCTATGACACATCAAGAGAAAGAGAAGGGAGTACATCATCTCTGAAAAGTGCATAAAAACATGGAACTCAGTACATTGTATTCACATTTGGGTCCAGAGTCTGATGCCCAAGTTGAATGCACTGTGCCTGTAGTAAAAACTGAAGCCTTTTTCTCCAGCTGAGCCCAGCGTCTGAAGTCTTCTTTAAAAAATTGAGATAGAATACTTGGTAGACGTATGTGATATGTAAGACTTATAGATAAAGTAATTTGTTTAACAAATAGTCCGCCGTGGGTGACTGGTATCACTTTACACACGACAGCTCCTTTTGTTCAACAAAAAGAAAAATGCTGGACAAACCATCAGTCAGGAGTTACAACACCTTTTCCAAAACCCTATATTTTATTGTAAATAGTACAAAGACAACATATCAAGCGTTAAAACTGAGAAATTTTATTATTTTTTGAAAAATATTTGCCCATTTTGAATTTGGTGCTGACAGCATGTTCCAAAAAAGTTGGGACGGAGCAACAAAAGGCTGGTAAATTTGTGTAATGATAAAAAAAACACCTGGTGGTTGATTGACAACAGGTCAGTAACATAATTACAGAGGGTCTTTCAGAAGTGAAAAACTGCACATCAAATAGTGCAACTATTCAAGAATAACATTTCTCCGTGCAAAACAGCAAAGAACTTTAGCTTTTCATCATCTACAGCACATAATATCATTAAAAGATTCAGAGAATCTGGAGAAATCTCTGTATGTAGGGGACAAGGCCAAAAACCAGTATTTGCTGGCCATGATCTTTGGGCCCTCAGGCAGCACTGCATTAAAAAACAGACATGATTCTGTAGTGAAAATCACTGCATGAGCTCAGAAACACTTCTGAAAACCACTGTCTGTGAACACAGTTTGTCGCTGCGTCCACAAACGCAAGTTAAAACTCTAAAACGCAAAGAAGAAACTGTACATAAACAGGATACAGAAACGCTGCCACCTTTACTGGGCCTGAGCTCATTTAAATGGACTGAGGCGAAGTGGAAAAGTGTCATGTGGTCTGACAAATCAACATTTGAAATTGTTTTTGGAAATCATGGTCACTGTGTCCTCTGGGCTAAAGACCACTCAGCTTGTTATCAGTGCACAGTTCAAAAGCCAGTATTCATGATGGTGTAGGGGGGCATTAGTGGACATGGCATGGCTGACATGCTCATCGGTGAAGGCACCATTAATACTGAACGATATATACATTTTGGCAACATATGCTGCCATCCAGACGACGTCTTTTTCAGGGAAGGCCTTGATTATTTCAGCAAGACAAAGTCAAACCACATTCTGCCTGTATTACAAAAGCATTGCTCCGTATTAAAAGAGTCCAGGTGTTAAACTGGTTTAACTGGTGTTAAACTGTTAAAATATCAATACATTCTATTATTATTTACATTCTGCACAGCTTCCCAACTTTTTTGGAAATGGGGTTGTAGTTTGAAGTCTCTGTTTGCTTCTCCGTGTAGGTTTGTTTGGCCTGGTTTTTGGATTGGCTGGGATGTTTGCGTATGATGGCAAGAGGGTCCTAGAGGATGGAATGTTCCAGGGCTACAACAGCGTGACCTGTGTTGTGGTGCTTCTACAGGTATAACATCTCAGTCATTTTTGTTTTACATTTTGTGATCAGGAACCCCATTAAAGATCATCAAGAAGCCCTTTCACAATCACCTGTGATTCTTTCTGTTTGTTGCTGGCAGCAGTACATCAAAATTTTGATTTAATATGTAATAGATAATGACTTATGGCCTTAAAACTTTGACTTAATATGTCAAAATAATTACTTTTTTTCTTAAAAGATTGGCTTAAGTTTTCATAATTACTTACTTTTGTCAAAATTTTGACTTAGTATCTCATAATAATGACTTTTTGTGTATTATTTTCTCAAAGCTTTGACTTAGTATCTCATAATAACTTATTTTGTTAAAACTTTGACGTGATTTTTATCGCAAAGTGATGACGACTTAGTATCTTAAAATGACTTATTTTCTCAAATGTTTGACGTAATAATTCAAAATAATGGAATCTAAATAATGATTTATATTCTCATAGTGTCTCATAATAATTACAAATTTTTCACATAATTTTGACCTAGTATCTTAAAATAGACACCCCTGATATTTATAGTGTCAAACATTTTTCCCTTAGCATTTCTTAATTTCTTAATAATTTTTAATTACTCTTATTAATGACTTTTTTTCTTCAACATTTTAAGTGGTATCTTGCAATAAAGACGTTTCAAAATCTGGACTCATAATAATATTTACTTATGTATTTAATTGGAATTAAATTAATTACTTTATTATTCATTTGTAACAAATGTAAAAAAAAATGGAGATATGAGGTTTTGCTGTATTTTATAAAAAGTACTTTTTTCTGAACAAAATGCACACATAGGCATGAACGTTACTATGTGCATTTGTCATAGAAACACATTTAGTGCATTTAAGTGCATTTAAGCATAACTTACATCAAAATATACAACCTCGTTTCCCAAAACGTTGGGACGCTGTGCAAAATGTAAAGAAAAACAAAATGCAATGATGAGGGTCTTTCAGAAGTAAAGATAGGAGGGGTTCACCACTCTGTGAAAGACTGCACGATTAAATAGTGCAACAATTCAAGAATAACGTTTCTCAACATAAAACAGCAAAGAATTTTTGCTTTTCATCATCTACTGTACATAATATCATTAAAAGATTCAGAGAATCCAGAGAAATCTCTGTATGTAAGGGACAAGGCCAAAAATCAGTATTTGCTGGCCGTGATCTTGGGGCCCTCAGGCGGCACTGCATTAAAAACAGACATGATTCTGTAGTGGAAATCACTGCATGGACTCAGGAACACTTCTGAAAACCAATCTGTAATGATATGGGGGAGCATTAGTGCACATGGCATGGCACATGACTTTTACATCTGTGAAGCCTGAACAGTATATAGAGGTTTTGGCAACATATCGTTGCTATTGGAAAAAATACCTCTCCATTTTTGCCATTTCTGAGTTTTTGACACAATTTGAAAATGCCTGTTGCCCTTTATGTTGTTTGTAAATTTCATGAGGAATGGACCAAAAGAAACGACCCAAAATGATGTGGAAAAAATTCTGGTTCCATTAACTTACATTAAAAGTAAAGTAGGTTTTTCCTTTTCCTGTAAAGTTACCATTTTGGAGATATGAGGTTTTCTTCCGACAACAGCGATATGCTGCCATCCAGATGACGTCTTTTTCAGGGAAGGCCTTGATTATTTCAGCAAGACAATGCCAAACCACATGTATTACAACAGCATTGTAGTAAAAGAGTTTTGAGTGCTAAACTGACCTGCCTGCAGTCCAGACCTGTCACTCAGTGAAAACATTTAGTGCATTATAAAAGGAAAAATACAACAAAGGAGACCTCAAACTGTTGAGCATCTGCAATCCTATGTCAAGCAAAGATGGGAAAACATTTCACTGTCAAAACTACAGCAGTGTCTCCTCAGTTCCCAAACACTTACAGAGTGTTGTTAAAAGAAGAGCTGATGAAACACAGTGGTAAACAGGCCCCCGTCCCAACTTTTTTGAAACATGTTGCTGGCATCAAATTCAAAGTGGGCATATATTTTTCAAAAAATGAAATTTCTCAGTTTCAACATTTGATAAGTTGTCTTTGTACTATTTTCAATTAAATCTAGCATTTTGCACAGCATCCCAACTTTTTTGGAAACGAGGTTGTATTTAAGATACAAAAATATAGAAAATATACATTCAGTCAGGTGTATCTAAAGTTGTAACGGGTAGTGGGTGTTTAACTTTGCTGTTCTCTTTCTTACTTTGGAATTTTAGGCTTTGGGTGGGCTGGTTGTTGCAGCTGTCATTAAGTACGCTGATAACATCCTGAAAGGCTTCGCCACATCCCTGTCCATCATACTGTCCACTTTCATCTCTTACTTCTGGCTGAATGACTTTGATCCTACCAGGTACTTCCTGCATTCTCCAAATGATTCACTGAAACAAGCTGACATTCAAAAGCTTTAACCTGTCATATTAATGATATTTAATACTTCATACAGAATCTTAATACACATTATCATGTACAGTGTAACTAAAATGTTATGAACTAGACACCATATATATTTAGATGTTTTATTTAATAATACAGGTAGTTTGGGTACCACAAGAGAAAACTGCAATTGTAGTATTTTTATCTGTCTTGAGATTTAATAATAACTTTTAAAATATGGAGATACAAATTCATTAAATCGTCATGTATCACACTATAAAGTTTTACTATATCCTTATTTTAGATCTTAATTTATTAGAATTTTATTCTGGATATTATGTTCATTGAAACTTCATTCTAGATATTCATTTCATTAGAACTTCATTCATGATATTAATTTTATTATAAATTTATTCTGAATATTTTATTTGAAATTCATAGTGGATGTTAATTTTATTAGTAATTCATTCCGGATATTAATTTTATTAGAACTTCATTCTAGATTTTTTTATATTAATTTTATTAGAACTTAATTCTGGAAATACATTTTATTAGAGTTTTCTTATAGATACACATTTAATTAGAACTTCATTTAATATTCATTTATTAGAAATTAATCCTGAATATTTTATTATAAATTGATAGCTAATTTTATTAGTATTTTTGTAGATACTAATGTTATTAGAACTTTAGTCTAAAAAAATTTTTGTATTTATTTTGTCAGTAATTCATTCTAGATTTTAATTTTATTAGAACTTCATTCTAGATTTTTAATATTTTTTTTTAGAAATTCTTTCTGGATACAGAACATTTTATTATTTTTCTCTAGATATTATTTTTATTAGAAATTCATTCTGGGCATAAATTTTTATTGTAAAAGATTTCAAGACAAGCCTCTCCTAAATGTGTTCTTCTACTGCAGGCTGTTCTTCCTAGGGGCATTGATGGTCATCGCAGCCACTTTTCTTTACGGCTATCAAAGGAAGCCTGTGGTCAGCCCCAGTAAAGTATAAAGGGTGGCCAATGACAACATAGCGGAGCAGCTACGGAGCCGTCAGCTGAGCTTCAGAGTCCCTGACCAGAGCAGGACAACACAGCGAGGAGAATGGGCAGTGAGCATGATGTGAAGAACTCTTAAGGCTTAAGAAACAAGAAGAACCAAAGAGAGCATGAAGAACTTCATTCAAAGTGGAGCTTCGTCTGTAATGACGTTCTCACTTACGGTTTACATTAAATGTTCAAGGAAGAGCCTTGCCTAGAACCTCAAGGAACATTTTCAGTGTTATGATTCTGTTTGAATACGAACAATGTTTTCAAACGCAACTGCCAGATTCACTCTCTGCCCAATTTATCAGAAACCCCTCCCTCTTAGCTCCACCTTGCTGGTGTACAGTGAGAGTCCACCCTTTATTTATTTAATATCCCAGCCATTAAGTATGAATAATTAATGGATAATTAAGTTGTTCATTTTCCAGCGTTAGGAAAAAGCGGGGTGTATTAAACAGACAACAGTGAAAAAAAGTTTAAAATAAAAAATGTTAAAAGCTACAGAGAAAATGGGCCTCCTAACAACCACCTGGAAGACCTGGTAGACTCCAAAACTGCCCCCATCAGATAAACAGCTTTCATCTTTAAGAGAGAGGAGAAAATCAAGCTGCTTCAGATCTGAAAACATCCACAGGTGTTTCTGTCCATCCTTCCACTGTGAGAAGACGACTCAGTGCTATGGGTCTGAAAGGATGTGTAGCTGTCAAGAAGAACCTCACTGAGAAAAGGAGACAGACACATCAAACAAAGAAGCTGAACAATGGACTGACCACCCCAGAGTCCAGACCTCAACATCGCTGAATGTGTCTGATTACTTCAAAAAATGATCAACCAGCTTCTAAGACTGAACTTTGGAGGAGTGTCTGCAGATTCTTTGAGGAACTGAAAGAGAGTCTCCTGAAAGGGTTGAAGCTGTAATAAAGGTCAGGATTGGCTCACTGAACCAAGTATATTCAGTTGTTGCGGCTTCTTAATATTTTTTGTAATATATTTTTTAAATAAATAACTTGTATTTAACGTTTGTTTTAACTGGAAGATAAATAAATGCAGGGTGGCCTCTGAATTTTGCACAGTACTGTACATTTATATGTTAATAAATTAATAAATATGTAAAAAAGTAATAAATACAATTGTAGCACTTTTTTTATTTATTATTTGAAGTCACAGAAGTCGCCTTAAAACCTCACTCTTTGTGGCAAAACAGCCTTAATATCTTAACTTTCAAGCAGCTTCTTAAATAAAGTCAAACTTCTTAAAAATATACATGCAAACCTGAAACGAAACCCTTCTCTTTTTTAATGTTTTATTTAATGTTGGCCTACTTAAAATCTTCAAAAAAAGGCACTTAAGGCAAGTAAAATAGGTTGAAGGTGTTTAGCTGACACATAAAATTGGGAAATGCTGCTCTAGCCCATCATCAGTGGTCAGTTTCTGACCACAGAGCTGCTCTTGGCTGGATATTTTTGGATGGTGGGCCATTCTTAACCTAGCAGTGGCACAGATGTGCCTAAAAAGGCCAAAAATGTCACTACCACCTAAATTAAGTCTGGTCAGCACTGGATATGTGGTCAGAAACTGACCAGTGATGAATGGGGTAGAGAGTGCAGGACAACACATGGGCTACAGTCTGTAATTGTGCAACTATGTAGTGGACCTATGAGGGAGGTGTTTCTAATAAAGTGGTCAGTTAATGGTCGTACAAGGTGGGTGTTTCTGATGAAGTGGCCGGTGAGTGGAAGTACAAAGTGGGTGTTTCTAATAAAGTGGCCAGTGAGTGGAAGTACAAGGTAGGTGTTTCTAATAAAGTGGTCGGTTTATCGAAGTACAAGGTGGGTGTTTCTAATAAAGTGGCCAGTAAGAGGAAGCACAAAGTGGGTGTTTCTAATAAAGTGGCCAGTGAGTGGAAGTACAAGGTAGGTGTTTCTAATAAAGTGGTCGGTTTATGGAAGTACAAGGTGGGTGTTTCTAATAAAGTGGCCAGTGAGTGTATAAGCATCTCAGTAAATCACTTCATCAAAGAAACGCTTTATTTTTGCTTTACTGTATGAAAGCATTCCCTCTAGTGGCGCTTCTGAGAACTGCTGAAGTAAAGAAATCAACCTTATCAGAGATGCTCAGTGTTCTTTTATTAGAAGCTTGGAGGGGGAAAAAGTGACCAATCCGAGCTCACTGCTCTTAGCTTGGGCATTCAACAGAAATATATGTCACATCACAGTCTTTTTTATGCAAAAAACAAGTTTTCATGCAAGAAAAAGGAAAAACATCTCTTCAGTCGCCGCTGCACATTCTGACTTAAAGGTCTTTCCATGCTCATGGGCCACAGTTTGCTAATACTCTGCCATTGCATAGACTTGTTTTTAATGGTAAATTATATGTGAACAAGCTCTTTTTCAGGATGAATCAATAATTGTTTTCATTTTCATAAATCTTTTCTCATAATGTTCCTTATCAAAAGTTTTGAAACATTTAAAGTGATCGTTTAAAAGTTTTTCTGTTCCTTAATAAGAAGAACATGTCTAAATGTTACCTCATACGCTGAAACGTCATCGTTCGAGACTGAAATGCTGGAATAAATGCCTCTCAGGTGTGTCTCCAAACCACACATTCACTGCTGGTGTGTCCGTGCCCTGCTTCTCCAAAACAGTGTGTCTTATCTTCATTCGGACATTCGTTTTCAAGGCTTGCAAGGATAAGAGCGGGTGGTGCTGAGAAATGGTGGCTTAAAGGAGGATCATTTAGAGCTTCGTTACATCACAGACTTCATCTAAACCTCAGCACTGTTAGCTGGGAAGCCCATTTCAGCCAGGTGGAGAAAAAATCATGTTTTTCTATGTTTTATCTTTCTGGCAGCATTATCTCAAAATTTGGACTCGAAACAATGTCATGCAGTAAATAACTTAAGACCTTAAAAATTACTTAGTATCTTTAAATAATGATATACTTTCTCAATATTTAGACTTAGTATCTTTAAATAATGACTTATTTTCTCGCATTTTTGACTTCGTATCTTCAAATAATGAAATTTTTTCAAACATTTGACTTCAACATCTTTGAAAAATGACAGTTTCTCAAATGTTTGACTTAAGCATCTTTAAATGACTTATTCTCTCAAAATTTAGACTTAAAATGAATTTCTTATTTTCTCAACATTTTGAGTTTGTATCTCAAAATAATGACTTATTTTCTCACTTTTGTGACTCAGTATCTTCAAATAATGACTTATTACCTCTTAATGATGAGTAACTCAAAATCATTTTCTCAAAATTTTAACTTAGTTTCTTTAAATAATGATGTATTTTCATAATTTAAAACACCAAAGTATCTTTAAATGACTTATTTTCTCAAATTTTTGACTTAAGGGTCTTTAAATAATGACTTTTTCGTAAATTGTACATTGTATCCTGAGGTAATGACTTATTTTCTCATATTTTTGAGTTTGTATCTTCAAATAATGACTTATTGCCTCAAAATGTTGACTAATGGCTTTTTATCACAATTTTAACTGAAGAATCTCCTCAGCACTTTGATCTTGTATCTCAAAATAATAACTTAATATCTGAAAATGTTGCAGTATCTCAAAACAACGACTTACTATGTCAAATACTGACTTATTTTCTCAAAATCACATATTATCCTTAAATAATAATCATAAAATAATGACTTACTTTCTTGAAATTTAATAAATCTTTGTTTTGACATAGTAAATCATTATTTTGTGATAACTCAGTTGAGAAATGTGTGAAAACTGGCCATTATTCCAAGATAGTGAAGTCAAAATGTTGACATGCTGCTGTGAGAAAGAGACAAGAAGGAGAAACATGCAAACTGTTTCTCCTATAACTGTCAGAAATGAGCTTCCATATCAAGCTGAGGCACATTAAGAAGTTTCTTCATCTGAGGTAGGAGAGACAAAACATTCCACACAAATAATGCAGCAGACATAATAAACGTTGATTACTCTTCTGCTCAGTCATAACAGCTGTGGTCACCTTGAACTTATGCTGAGGAAATCAGCCAAAACCTTTAAGTGTAGTGGAAATTCAGATGAAATTCAAGCACCTAACTAGCCAGACGCTTTACTTTCTAAAACTCGTCCAGCTAGACGGCCTTCACTCGTTCATTTACACTACAGGCCAAAAACGAAGCAACGGTACATTTGTACATCATTAGTTAGGCAATGAAATGCTCACTAACCCAGAGCAGATGGGTTTGTTCCTAAACATGTGCAGCAACAGCTTTAACAGTAAGTGTTATAGAGAAATTCCAGCGATTTTTCAAAATTTCTGCAAAATTCAGGAGTTGAGAGGTAAACAAAGCTATTCAGAGTGGTTTGGTGTGAAATGATTCATTACAGAGACTCAGATTTCTTTATAGTGGTGGTGATAGGAACCAGGGGTCACCATGACTACAACACAAATATAGACATTTTATTTACTATTCAAAACCACCAGTGAACCTACACGAGTCTCCTGAGCTTTACATATAGTGTTGATGATGGTAAAATAGTGATAAATCATAAAAAAATATGTTTTCTTCAGGTCCTGTTTTTCCCTGATGTCCATTTATAACCTTCATGCGGGTTTATGTACTAAAAACAGTCGTAATGCGTTATTACATGACTGTTTTCCAGCCTCTATCATTTAGAATTAAACTATTTTTGCTACCTTTAAGACTGATATGTATGTAAATGAGCTCTGCTCTGATTGGCTGCCTTGTATTGTGCCTCATTCAAAAAGCAGTCTGCGCTGAAACACTCCTTATAACGTCAGCGTGAGGCTAAATGGCTGTCGGCCGAATAGGCGGATATGTGTCAATTCAAAAGAGGTCGTTTTCAAAGCTTTTTTATATATGGACTGTACTGACTGTGAAATGAACTGTATGTTTTGAAATAAAAAAAATGTTTGCATACTACATAAAACCATTTATTAAAATAAATGAGGAAAATTTAGCTTTCAATGACATGAGCCCTTTAAAAATCACATTTTAGGCCAAAAGCTTATCTCAAAACTATCATAAAATAAGGTTTTGTGCATAATAACTTTCTGTGAGGTAGCTCTAAGAGGCATTCAACTTTAAACATCATTAAACAAACAGACGTCTGGTTCCTGTCACCACTACTGTGAACAATTCTGACTCTCTAGAATGGAGCGTTTAACACCAGATCGCTCTGATTGACTTTGCTTTACATAGAAATTCTAAAAAATATGGTGGAATTCCCCTTTAACAAGGCTTTCCCAATAGAATATGTAAGAGTAATTGAGTATAGCACTGAAACACCAATAGAACATTCTGAAAAAAACATTCCCTGATAAAATCTGATGTCAGCAAACATGTTGTGTTGGTTGTTGGCAAATTATCACATTTTAAATGCTGCATTTTTGATTAAAAATCACTGCTGTTTCCAAACTTTTGGCCTGCAGTGCAGCTAACTTGTGGGTTTGCTCAACAATTCCATAATTAACCACACTGAGGGGCTGGACTGAGTTAGACGTTAGAGGTGGAACATTTGTCTCAGAAACGTAATAAGCACCTACGGAGTCTCAGTGGGAGAGGAGAGGGCGAGACAGATTGGGAGGAGAGAGAAAGGGCCGAACGGAGAGCAGCACAGATGGAGTTTCGTATGGCATGTGACTAATCTGGAAAATGCCTATGGTGCAGCGCCCGCCGAGCGAGGGAACTCATTCAGACTCGTGCGCGAGGATAAACACCCGCCCACCAGCTCTCTCGGGTCAGCGCGGCCGCGAGTGGAGGCCACTAGCCTTCCAGAACCACAGCATCGCAACCTATAGGCCTCGCTAATTAAAGAGAGAGTTTGGCAAAAAATCAGATTCACACAATATTGGCCTTAGCCCAAACAGAGTCAGTCAGCCAAGACTGGTGTCTGAAGTTGGCTTCCTTAGTTTTATACTGCAGCTAGTACAAATAACCAGTAAAGGCATGTAATCTCAAATGGATTTGCTTAGGTAGTTTCTGAAACTGAGACTGGGATCATCAAATAGCGGCACGCAACTCTCCAACTCTGACGCATCCTTCAAAACACCTGTTCAGTTCTATTACCTATTATTTATCTATAAAAAGGGATAAAGCATTGAATACTGTTCTACCACCGACAGCCCCTGAAATATATAAGCACATATAGGGGATTTCCTAGTGAGGAACCCTCAAGGCCCTCAAGAATCATCATGCTGTTGTGTTTACTCTACTTGTACTTTTGTAATGTACAAGTTTTGTAGTAATGCTCATATTTCAGTGGGAAGGTTATAGAAATTCTCAGAAAATCGTCCAATCAGGATTATTTTCTCTGTGGTATCTAGGCAGATACAGCCAAGCGAGCTCCCATCAGTTAGGACTTCAGGAGCTGAACTGAAGGCCTTACACGTTACATTAACTACTAACACAATTAGGAACTGACAAGAATCTGCTGATCTTGTTTTGATTTACAATGGGACCAATTTTTGGAGAAAATCAGCACTTCAGGCCTTCTGGAAGTTCTAGATACGTCACTGACCGTGAATATGAGTGGTAGCCAAAAATGTGATTTAAGGGTGGGCAATATGACAATATTTCATCGTTATCAAGATAAATTATGCCACAATATGCTTTTTGGAGCAAATCGTGGACATCGCCAGTACTTAAAGAACACTGACTGACTACACGTTTTATTGCAAAGTGAGCATATTAAGTCCTGTTTAATTGTATTTAGTGCAGTGTAGTTTGTGAAACATTGAATAAAAATGATTGTAGTTGTAGGTTTGTTATTATAGCATGTTTTAAATGTGGCACTACAAGCTCTATTTTTTTCTTTTCCAACTTATTAAACCTCAGAAAAACTTAATATTGTAACTCATATCATGTATCATGAAATTGTCTTAAACATCGCAATATTTTTTGCTGTATTGTCCACCCCTAATGTAACTCCTAGCTCTAATGCACTAGTAGAATTCCATAGGAGTGCTAGCAGAAATTGGCTTTATAGTACAGGGTATTCATTTCCCCATTTTCTGACTGAGTTTTCATATTTATGGCCCTCACTGAAGGCTCTAATAGTCAATGTTTGCCACTGAGCACTATCTAATGTGGAAACTAGTGTAGTATCTATTTTTCAGGAGACCACAGGCGTAATGGAGAATACACTAACAAGAGCTGTGCTTGATAGCTGCTGTTTTCTTTTATATTAGTGATTGTTTAATTACAGATTAAATAGGTTGGCTAAGCAGTTCCGAACCATTGCATAATAAAGCGTATTTCTCAATCCGTTCTTCATTGACTCGCGGCAGTTTTACCATTTTGAAAGCTGATTTCCGCTAGCTCTTCTATGAGATTTGCAAAGATATGTAAGCTAATAGTGGTGTATATTCACTACCCTACTGGGCTTTATAGCACTCATGGCAGCTCTACCGTAACATATGGACTGAGAAAGCTTATAAATGGCATTCAGGTAGCACATTACGTTGGAGGCCTGGCATAAAGAGTATTTGCTCTGCCAGAATTTGGCCCAAGGTCAAACCTATTTGATGATCCCCGCTGTATGACGTTCTGTTATTTGTAAAAACAGACAAAATGTAGTTGGCACAATGCTAATTGGTGTGGTATCACTCTTGTGTTACCTGTTAGTTACAGCTGTATGCAAAATCTTTTGCATGCCTCTGATCAAATGACACATTTTTGCTGTTTTTTTAAGTGTAAATAAGTTAACATGTCCTCTACAGGGAGCACACTTAAGCACATTTTAATGCATATCTACTGTTTATTTGCTGAACTTAACATACTGAAAGAAAAAAAGAAAACCTAAAATGTGGCCTCTGCAAAAATTCAGCAAATAAATAGAAACTGAAACTGAAATGTGCAGATGTGTTAACTTATTTTCACTTCAGCCAAACATGTAATTTGACCAGCAGTTTTCAGAATTTTGCATACAACACTAAATTGGACTCATAGCTACAGAACAAAACTAAACGAAGCCAAATTCAGACACTAAACACATTTTAGATGATCGATAACATTCAGAAATTTGATTTTTTGTGAAACTATCACTCCTCAGTTACCGCTCAGATTGCTTCCCTCCACTTCGTATCTAGTGAAACATCTTAGCTAACGTCCATTAAAGCCTCAAGCAGAGTCTTCTCCATGTGGTGCGTGAGCTTCAAAGCTTTTGTGCTGGTCGTACTAAAATGCTAAAGAGTGAATCTCCCAGCTTCATGTAACGGTCATCGTTTTGATGCCACTTCAATTAGTGCCACATGGCACCAAATGTAGCCTACAATTCTTCTTCATGCAGTATGTGGCGTTTTCAGTGAGATCCAGCGTGAGGCAGTCCTGAACGGTCGATTGATGTCTGGTCAAGAACCAGAGAGTGATTGGAAAAGGCGGTCAAGTGGTTTGGATCAGTCCGAATCTAAGAGAAGTCCGCTCTCTCAAGGCAGCACGGAGGAGCGCCAGAAGGAGCAGGCCCCAGCCTCCATTGCTTTCATTCCCCATGGTCCAAAGCTCCAACATAGAGGGCAGACGTTAATGGTAAGGGTCTTTTAGTGCCGGGAGGCACTAACAGTCCTTTGGAGGAGATGGCCACTAGGGTCACTGTTTCTCATGGTCCAATGCTCCTTGTTAATTGTATTTTGCTATCTTTCTTTGTTTTGGTTGGGAGGCATTGTGAACTGTCCAAGGTCGACCACTAGGAGCCCCCTTTTTATTTCCCTCAGTTCACTGCCCCCACGAATACTTTCATTGTAAGGGTTTCATCTATTTGTGTTTTGATTGGGAGGCACTGTGGACAGTCTTTATTTGGAGGGAATGACCACTAGGGGTGCCCCCCTCCGCGGCCTCCACATCAGCACCTGGGCGTCGTTGGCGTTAGGCCGTCCCAGAGCGTTGGGTGGGATAGGTTCATTGTTGGCCAGGATGTGGGGCTGCTCCTGGTGCGTTCGGCCCACCAGAGAGGCCCGGGAGCCCAGAGGCATTGAAGGGTCCACGACGATGTCCACCCGCATGCGCCAGCGCACCGTCTGCAGCACGATCCGCTCTTTGGTGGCGTTGTTAAGCGCCACTAGCCACGTGATGAAGCTCTGGTCGCGTGTGATGCGCGTCAGCATGGGTGCGTTGCTGTTGCTGACAGGAACAGCCCACGTCACGCTGGGGTAGAAGTTGTCATTCATGCTGACGGTCAGCCGCGAGGGCTTGGATGTGGGGCCTGAGATGGTCACCGTCTCTGTGGTGTTTCCATACCACGGGTAGCTGACGCCGTCCGAGTCGCTGATGGCCTTCACTCGGCCCTCACGGAGCTCTGGCAGCTCCCAGCTGGACCTGCAGGGAGGCAAAGAGGGGCCAGGGGATTAAAAACAGTTAAAAATGTAAAAGGAGAAAACTTCTAAATTTTGAATATGTTTAATCCGTTTCATTTTCATAGCATCAGGGAACTAGAAACAATATTTTTCCATTTTGGTTTGACTCGTCCAGTAGGTAAAATGGTAGGTAAAATTTTCTGCATAATTAAATGGTTGAGATGTAAACAGAGTCATTCAGAGTGGTTTGGTGTGAAACGCTCTGTTCTAGAGAAACTTACAGAGTCAGAATTGTTCACAGTGGTGCTGATAGGAACCAGACGTCCACCTCTAAAAGCTCCCTCACAGAGAGTCATTACATGAAATCTTTATAAATAAATGACCTGATGCCTGATGCTTTACGATAGTTTTGAGAAGGTTTTCAACCAAAAACACATTTACAAATCCATCCAGGGCGTTGTAAGTAAAAATAGTCCTCAAAGAAAACTTATTGACTGTTTTACCATCATCAACATTCTACATATAAACTCAGAAGACCCGTGTAGGTTGACTGGTGGTTTTGGATAGTAAATAAAATGGCTATATTTTTGTTGTAGTCATGGTGACGTCTGGTTCCTATCACCACCACTGTAAAGAGATCTGAGTCTACAATCAACCATTTCACACCAAACCCACTCTGAATGACTCTGTTTACATCTCAACCACTGAATTATGTTGAAATATAAAATTCCCCTTTCAGTGTTCTGATATGACGTACTGTGCACATTGTTGCATTCAACAAAACCTGAGAACTTCCAAGTTTATCATAAGGAAGTTGCGCTTGCATGGCTGACGTAGCTGTAAATACAGGTGATGAGCTCGAGTAAATTTCAAGTTACACAAGTTTACCAGTACATTTTCTGGTACTAGTTCAGTTCAGTAGAACAAGCTGGTACTGGTCTATCCCACTGACATACATCTTCAGGTAATACATATACCATTGGCTGATGACCAAACGACTGGTGTCTAAGCAACAACCTGCTTGGGGAGCCTGTCCCACGTGCCCCAATCTTATTCTGTACGCAAGAATGAAAAAGAATTATTACTCCTTTAACTAAATTGTCTATAAAACAAGAAAGACAAAATAAAGACAAAAAAAATAGATTAATACAAATATATGTACCTAATAACAGAATGTGCATCATTTTTGCTTTCTTAATTTTTTCAAAGCAAAGCCAGCCTGAGACCACCCTTCCGTCATATGGCAATTAAGTACAAGGTATTCACTTTTTCTGGAGACCTTTCTGAGGAGATTAGATTTAAGACAATCTGCTTGCATAAGGAAGGAGAAAATCAAAAACTGGAGTTTAAAAAAATGATTATAAGGTACAGAGAAAATGGGCCTCCTAACAACCACCTGGAAAACCTGGTAGATCCCAAAACTGCCCCCATCAGATAAACAGCACTTAAAGCTTTCATCTCTGAGAGAGAGGAGAAAATCAAGCTGCTTCAGATCTGAAAACATCCACAGGTGTTTCTGTCCATCCTTCCACTGTGAGAAGACGACTCAGCGCTGTGGGTCTGAAAGGATGTGTAGCTGTCAAGAAGAACCTCACTGAGAAAAGGAGACGGACACATCAAACAAAGAAGCTGAACAATGGACTGACCCCCCCAGAGTTCAGACCTCAACACCACTGAATGTGTCTGATTACTTCAGAAAATGATCAACCAACTTCTAAGACTGAACTTTGGAGGCGTGTCTGCAGATTCTTTGAGGAACTGAGAGCGAGTCTCCATTAAAAGAATGGAAGGATGGAATAAAGGCAAAGAATGGAAGGATAAAATTGTACTTAATGGCTGTTTTGACTGGAAATCAAATGAATGAAGGGCCTCTTGTAGCTTATGGCCCTTATAACACTGTTTGAGGCACTTCTAGTAAGAAATGGTCCTGCAAAGTGACAATTTGTGACTTTATGATTTGACAAGGATTCAGTGATCACAGCTCAGAGATCCACTGCAGTGATGCAGCACAGGGATGAAACTGGATCAAACAAGGTGAATGGATGGAGGAAGGAGAGCAGGAGGAGGAGAGCGTTTCATTCAAGTGCTTGTAAAAAAAAACCCTGAATGAAAAATAAACTGAAGCCAGAGCTGCTCTGTAAATGTAATGTGTGTAAAATGAGTCATATTGTCTTATTTTCTTCATTTCATTCATTATTTCCCCATGCTGACTCTTTGTCCATCTGTATCTCTCGCTTCCCGGCCCAGTTTTTTTTGTTCTTTATCCAAAGAACGAAATAAGTTTACACCAGTTCAGTTTACCAACAGTTACTGTGTTTGGAAAGAGTACACGGGCAAAGCTGAAGTAATCTGCTAAAAAGAGCTGAGAGCGCCCTTCGGTTACCTAATTTACAGTCTAGAAAACTAATTCCATCTCCCTACCTTTTTCCGAGTAAACGACTGCCCACCTGTCCGGCCGGACACTGATGGATGATTGTCTGTTGAGCTCTCCTGCTACCCGCTTCAGACCAGTTGCCCACGCCCCAGTCACCGCCACTTGCCCAGCTACCGCCACTTGCCTTGGACTAGCTGCCCACTCCCACCCTACACTGAAGTTTTCATGGACTCCTAACTACTACTACTATTAATATTAGTAGTATAATAATTTTGTAGGTAGTTTGACGAGAGGAGGATGGGTCCCCCCTTGTGAGCCTTGGTTCCTCCCAAGGTTTCTTCCCCAGCTCTGAGGGAGTTTTTCCTGGCCACTGTCGCCCCTGGCTTGCTCACCTGGAGGATTTACATTTCATGTTAAAACTTTGTCCTTAATGGATTTCTATGAAGCTGCTTTGTGACAACATCAGTTGTAAAAAGCGCTATACAAATAAATTTGACTTGACTCGACTTGACTAGAAATAATGCAGAAAACATATCGCTTTTGTCAGAAGAAAACCTCGTATCTCCAAAATGGTAACTTTACAGCAGAAGGAAAAAACCTACTTTACTTTTAATGTAAGTCAATGGAACCAGACTTTTTTCCAAGTCATTTTGGGCCGTTTCTTTTGGTCCATTCATCGTGAAATTTCCACACAATATAAAGAACAACAGGTATTGTCAAATTATGTCGAAAACTGAAAAATGCAAGGTTTTCTTCTGACAACTGTGACATATTTAACAGCAAAAGGCTCAACAACTAAATGTAATGTTACATTTTTTCAGTATTCCCCTCTAAAGTCTTAGAAGTTGGTTGCAGTGCTTTAGGTTCCAGTCTGTTTCTAAGCTTCTCTTATTCTTCTCTACTGCTGATGTGTTTTTTCTCTGCTGCACTTCCACCCAGTTCACTCACCATCTAATTAACACCTCATAGTTAACACATCAGCGCTGCCTTAAGCCCAGAGCACACCAACCCAACGTCTCTCAAGCAAACACTTGCAAACAAAACGTTGGGATGGTGCGCCATACCTGTAGGTGATGGTCTAGAATGTTCTCCTCCAATAAATTCTGCTTCATTTGGCTTCTCAGTTCTATTTCTGTAACAGTATGATGATTAATGATGGTGTCTCTTGTTGGTGTTTGGTGGAGAATGATGATTGGTGGTTATTAGTGAATGTTTGGTTAATAACAAATGATGGTGTTTGTTGGTGAATGTTGATGTTTGGTGGAGAATGACGGTTTCTGCTGGAGAAACATGGTGTTTGGTGGAGAATGATGGTGTTTGGTGGAGGATGATGATGTTTGGTGGAGAATGATGGTGTTTGTTGGAGAAACATGGTGATTGGTGGAAAATGATGGTTTCTTTCTGATGGAGGATGATAGTGTTTGGAGAAGAATGATGGTGTTTGGTGGCAAATGATGGTGTTTGGTGGAGAATGTTGGTGTTTGGTGAAAATGCTGATGTTTGGTTACTAATGAATGTTTGGTAAATAATTAATGATAATTTCTGTTGAAGAATGATGGTGTTTGGTGGAGAATGATGGTGTTTAGTGGAAAATAATGGTGCTTGGTGAAGAATGATGGTGTTTGGTGGAGAATGATGGTGTTTGTTGGTGAATGTTGATGTTTGGTGGAGAATGATGGCGCTTGGTGAAGAATGATGGTGTTTGGTGGAGAATGATGGTGTTTGTTGGTGAATGTTGATGTTTGGTGGAAAATGATGGCGCTTGGTGAAGAATGATGGTGTTTGGTGGAGAATGATGGTGTTTGTTGGTGAATGTTGATGTTTGGTGGAGAATTGTGCTGGAGAATGATGGTCTTTGTTGGAAAAACATGCTGTTTGGTGGAGAATGACGGTGTTTGGCGAAGAATAATGGTGTTTCGTGGAGAATGATGGTGTCTGTCTGTTGGAGAATGATGATGTCTGTCTGTTGGAGAATGATGATGTCTGTCTGTTGGAGAAAGATGGTGTTTTGTATTCCCTAGAATGTTCTCTCCTCATTCATGCCGCTCCAATTCGTATTCTAGATCAGTATTAAGCTCTCTGCCAACAACTTTGGTGTTTGTTGGAGAACGTTGGGTCAGTCAGCGGAGAGGTTTCTTGAGAACACCAGTGTTTGGGACAAGGTCCATCTCTACTCACATGCCAACATCACCATACGTGTTGTAGAACTCCATCTGTGTGCACGCCTGGATCCAGCCCACCGTCCACGTCTCGTTCCTGGGCACGGGTGGCATGACGATCCCGGCTGAAGCCCTGAAGTAAGGGGTTTTGTACCTCAACACGATGGGCGAGTTTTCCTCAATGACTGTCGGGCACTGGTCAATGGAGGCCGAGACGTCGTAGACCACGATGTTCTCGCGCCTGACCCGCGGCTTGCAGGCGATGCTCTGGATGCAACCCATGGCCCTGGCTATAAGGAGCGTCAGTACGGTGACCAGCGATGGACAGACGAGGACACACCTCACCAGTACGTTCATTGGACCATCAGAAGTCTTGAGATGCCAGCACAGACATCACAGGTGTGCTTCAGGACGTGTGGTCAAGCCAGGCTTTGCCGAGGGAGGGCCAAACTGTGGACGAAACCGTGTATCGGTGTTGGGGGAAGGGTGTGTGGCCACTTCCTCCTGCCCTAGTGCGAAGAGCCCCGGTGCCGCACTGCCCTTGGAGCTCGTCCCCGGCTCTGAAGCGGCCTCCCTCAGCCCGGACGCCCCGGGGTCAGCCCGCGTCCCCCTGCTCCTGCTCTCCCACCACCTCCCGCGTCCCGCTGCAGCTCTGAGCCCTCTGCTCCTCTTCGTCTTTGTGCTCATGTCAGTGGTGAGGGGGAGGCAGGCGCTGCGCTGGGGTTGCTGACATGCCCAACCCAACCTTGGTGGCAATGCAGCTCCAAAGGAAAACCTGGAAAACCTGGAAAACCTGTGTGGTTCTGGCGAGACATCCGCTCCAGCTACGAGATCAGTCCAGAAGCAGCAGCGAAGGGTGTTTGTCTTCAGTCACTTTCGTCCTTTGTGCGTTTCCATCCCCTAAACGGCCACATCCTGCTCGAGCGACGGGTGAGACAAACAAGCACAACGGGTTACTGGACCGAGACCCTCTGAACGCTCGCGACACATTTTTACCCGCGTTTTCCTGCCGCGCGGTGATTCTTCAGAGCCGGGTCGACCAATCACGGTGTATTAATCCGGATAAAAAAGCGAGCGAGCGGCTTTGATCGCGCGGAGCTGCGCCGTTTCATCGCGGACGGTCGCTGTTCAGTTCCAGCAGTGCTGAAGCTGGAGCACGGGTGGGGGGAGGTGGGCGTGGCTCCGGGCTGCAGAGACGCTCCCTCTGCTCGCTCATTGGTCCTACGCGCCTACGACGGGAGATACGCGTGCAGTCCGGGGCAAACGGCGTGCGTGCACCCTACTTAGGGCACTGTGAAGGGAGCTCGCTCACCGGAGCCATTTTGTAGTGTCGTTCCAAAGCAGAGCCGAGCGATGAAGCGATCACTTCAAAGGGAGGCGGAGCCCCAAAGATGAGACGGTGCTTACTTTTTAATAAGGCATTTATGGCATTACTATAATAATTCGTCGCCTCAATATATAATTTGTTGCCTCAATATAGTAATTTGTGGCCTCAATATAACAATTTGTGGCCTCAATATAACAATTTGTGGCCTTAATATATTAATTCGTGGCCTCAATGTATTGATTTGATAGTAACTCACGGCCTCAATCTAATGAGTTGTGGCCTTAATATATTAATTTGTGGCCTCAATATAGTAATTTGTGGCCTCAATATATTAATATGTGGCCTTACTATAATAATTTGTGGCCTCAATATATTAATTTGTGGCCTTACTATAATAATTTGTGGCCTCAATATATTAATTTGTGGCCTCAATATAACAATTTGTGGCCTTAATATATTAATGTGTTGCCTTACTATAATAATTTGTGGACCCAATATATTAATTTGTGGCCTCAATGTATTGATTTGATAGTAACTCATGGCCTCAATCGAGTTGTGGCCTTAATATATTAATACATACATACATACATACATACATCATCTAAACCGCTTATCCTTCTGGGTCGCCGTGGGGTGCTGGAGCCTATCCCAGCTGTCATTAGGCGGAAGGCAGGATACACCCTGGACAGGTCGCCAGTCCATCGCAGGGCAGACAGACAGACAGACACACACATTCACACACACACACACACCTAGGGGCAATTTTAGCATGTCCAATTGGCCTGACTGCATGTTTTTGGACTGTGGGAGGAAACCGGAGTACCCGGAGGAAACCCACGCAGACACAGGGAGAACAGGCAAACTCCACACAGAAATGACCCTGGTCATCCGGCCGGTAATCGAACCCAGGCCATTCTTGCTGTGAGGCGACAGCGCTACCCACTGCGCCACTGCGCCACTGTGCCGCCCTAATATATTAATTTGTGGCCTTAATATATTAATTTTTGGCCTCAATATAATAATTGGTGGCCACGCCTTAAAAAATTAATCGTAATCACCATGCCACCTTTGGGGTGCCGTACTATAGGATGGACACTTTGCTCCCAACATGTTTTCCACTCTCCCAAAAAAAGATTTATTGCGTGTGTGTAGAGTTTTCTCGAGCATGGAGTTGTAATCAGTATATAACTCAGTATATATCACCACTATTAAATATAATAATATAATTTGCTAGTTATATAAATAACTATATCCCAGATCTCCATTCTATATAATTCTAAACTCTCTATTGCATACAATTCTATATTCAGTGAAAAGAATGCACTACCTGACTCTTCTAAAACAAAAGTATACCCTAGGTAACTGTTCTAGAACATAGGTATTCCCTAACTAACTGTTCTAGAACATAGGTATGCCCTAACTAACTGTTCTAGAACATACATATACCCTACCTAAGTGTTCTAGAACACAAGTATGTCCTACCTATATGTTCTAAAACACAAGCATGGCCTAGCTAACTGTTCTAGAACATAAGTATGCCCTACTTAAGTGTTCTAGAACACAAGTATGCCCTATCCAAGTGTTCTAAAACATAAGTATGCCCTAGCTAACTGTCCTAGAACATAAGTATGGCCTAACTAAGTGTCCAAGAACACAGGTATGCACTAACTATGAATTCTAAGAATACAACACTAAGAATAAACTGACCTGTTTCTTGTCCTGAAAGTGAGAGTTTCTGGTTTAAAGACCTTCTGATGATGTATCATGAAAGTGGGAGGAGCTTCTGCAAACTACAGCTGCTTTGAGGTGGGCTTTTTTCCCCTCTAACTGGCTGCTGCAGAAGCAAGATAGTTGACTTTACTGCTAGGAAGCTAAATATCATGTCTTCTACATCAGTGCATTTCTTTATCTCAGTGGGGAGGATCACTTATGGATATTTGATGTGTTTGCGTATGCATGCTGGGTATTATAGTGACAGAACACTGATGGTAGAAAACCCAGAGAATATATATATATATATATATATATATATATATATATATAGCTCTTGAAGAACCACTTTTTGTAGCCTGGCACGTTTGCATGTACAAAACAGAAAAACAGAGAAAAAGAGAGACACCAGGGTAATGGGGTAAATATATTACACTTAAACTAAAATTACAAGAAAACATTTCATAAAACAACTATAATAATAATAAATATGTATCAAGTTAATCAAAACCTGAAAATAATAAAGCAATAGTCACAGTCTTAAAACTTAAAGGAGAATTTTATTGAAAAATTCTGTATAATTCAGTCGTTGAGATGTAAACAAAGTCATTCAGAGTGGTTTGATGAGGAGTGGTTTGTTGTAGAGAAACTTAGATTTCTTTAGAACAGAGCGTTTCACACCAAACCACTCTGAATGACTTTGTTTACGTGTGAACCGTTTAATTATACAGAAACTTTGAAAAATCTATTAATTTCCACTTTAAAGCTTAAATAATTATGCAAAGATTTTGGAAAATTTGGTGGAATTGCCCTTTAGTTGGATAACAAGGTTTCGTAGTGAATGAGCATTTGGTCTAATGCTTAGTCACAATAATGCACAACTGTTCATTTCTGGTTGTGGCGGATGGTGTTTCTGCTACAAGCTATTATATCACTGGCTTTTCTTATTTTTAAAATAAAAATAATGAAATTTAAAACAATAAAAACTCCCTGAAAACGGGAAATGATTAAAAAATAAAAGCTATATAAAAACACAAAAGTATAACCTTGAACTCAACTCAGCTCAAGGACTCAGAATCAGGCTGGTGGGCGTGGCTTAATTCAAGAAAAACACGCCCCTGTTCATTCATTGGTCCCACAGGTGAACAGGCGGCGCCTCCCGCCCTTAGTCATATTCTCATAGCCCCGCCTCTTGCGCTGGGATTGGCTAGATGAGTGTGACGTCGCCGTCGTTTCTGTGAGTTCACTGTGTTCTACAGTTGCTGCGGTGATGCGAACAACTCCTCCACTGTCCAATCAGCGGACCGCTCCTGAGTACGAGCTACTAGCCAATCGTAGTGCAGGACTCTGACCTCTAATTTGTATACTCTTTCTCCCGCTTTTGTCTGCCGTTGCCGGGACAACACGGCGATCGGCGTACTGTTTGGCTGTGTCCGAATATATGAATGAAACGTTCTTTCCTATCTGCTTCACTCGCTTTCGCCTGATCTGTAATCCATGGCTTCAGCAGAGATGGCTAACATGGTTTATCCATACGGCTACAAGATCGAAGCAAGACAACCAAATAGGAAAGGAGGAGGGCTCATTCAACTATTGGGACGCAGCCTTTGTGAACTGGCCAATCAGAGCGCAGGAGGGCGGGGCTTGTCGGAATAAATACACATTTTGTTCACGATGCTGCTTAAAATCGCGTTCTTGTCAGGAAAATATAAACAGAGAATTGAAAAGAAATCTGAAATCTTTCAATTAAAAGAGGAAATCCACCAATTTTTTTTAATTGATATTTATTTTTACTAAACGTTTAAAGTGTAAACAAAGCCATTCAGAGCGGTTTGATGTGAAAAGGTTCAGATTTACTTCCACAACACAAATATAGCCATTTTATTTACTATCCACAACCACCAGTGAACCTACAGGAGCCTTCTGAGTTTATATATGCAATGTTGAAGATGGCAAAATGGTGGAAATATACGTTTTCATTGAGGACTATCGCCGTGCATGTACCCCTCCGCTATGAATGAACTAAAACAAAGGAATTAAAATACATTTAAAGTCAAAACTGTATCACAAAACTGTCGTCTCAGACATCAGATAACGTATCCCTAACCACTGCGTGTAGTAACTTTCTGTGAATTTAGAGGTGGATGTCTGGTCCCTGTCACCGCCACTGTGAACAGTTCTGACTCGGCAAGTTTCACTAAAACAGAGCAAGCCACTTTGAACGGCTTTTACGCGTTAACCACTGAATTATACAGAAATTTTGAAAACTTGGTGGAGTTCCCCTTTGAAAAGGACGTCAGCGGGAGGCACAGCAGTGTACACGGCTCCGGAGGAAGGCAGCGAGGCGGGGTTTTGTGCCCGCTCTGCTCGCTGATTGGCTGCAGGCTTGTGCACGGCTCTGGTGCAGCGGAAGGAGAATCGGCTAGGCGGCACTTCCTCGCCACGCAGCTCCCTCCCGGTAGTCTGGTGTTCTCACTCGGTCGCTAGGTCGGTCGGTCTCCCGTGCCGGTGTATGATTGTCGGCCTGCTCCGCAGCTCGTGTGTGAAAGTCTCGAGCGCCGTGCGTGGGATGGCGCTCGCCATGAAGCCGCAGGTGGTGTTCGTGCTGGGCGGCCCGGGCGCGGGCAAAGGCACTCAGTGCACCCGGATAGTGCAGGTAAAGAGGGCGATTCTCTGATTTAGCGCCCAAAAATCGCTGTGCTGGACAATAATGAGGCTATAAGAGGCAGCAGGGCTGACCCGACAGAGGAGGTTGAGGTCCGCTTTCTGAATCTCCACCTTCTTGTTCGAATTTCCCCGTTCCACCTTAAATGGTGCATCAGTTACAGTCTGGCGCCTAACCGCCGCACCATTTAAGGTGGAACGGGAAAATTCACCCAGAAAGCCTTCCGTACTTCCGTATAGCCTCCTGCCAAACATACCTTTTATTATTTATAAGTAATGTTTTATGTTTTTATTCCGTTCATTATCCATTCTTAAAGGGATAGTCCTTTATGCAAATGTCCTTTATGCAAATAATCGATGCTAATTAGAGCCCAGTAGTGTCCAGTCATGTTAAGTTGTGCAGCTGTTTATTTACTTATATTTATATGGCTCTACTTTTTAGTTCATTCTCTATAATGAGCTTATATCTGTACACTCTTAAGGGTTCTTCGGTAAAGAGAATGGCTCTATTTAGAACCATATATAGAACCTTTTTGAAAATAGTTCTATAAGGCACCAAAAAGAGTTCTTCTGTTATTGTGATATCAAGCTTGTAAACAATATAAGAACGCTTTTTGGTGCTGTGGAGAACCATTTTCAACAAAAAGGTTCCATATGGAACCACGTACAAGATGTTCTGCATCAATCCGAAGAACAGTTTCACTATGCAGAGAACCATTTAAGCATGCAAATGGTTCTTTGCCTGTTCATGGCTCTTTATAGAACCACTGTCTTAACTAAAGAACTCTTAAAGAACATTTTTTTTGTAAGATTTTATAGAACCGTTTTCAAGAAGGTTCTGTACAGAACCATATGCAACACAGTCTCCATTAATCAGAAGAACCATTTCACCATGCAAAGAACTGTTTAAGCATGAAATGGGCTTATATAGAACTCATGCTTCTATAGAGAACCCTTGAAGAACTCTCTTTTTCAAGAGTGTATAGAACCATTTTCAAAGTGTCCTACGTAGAACCATATACAACACAGTCTCCATTATTCTGAAGAACTATTTCACCATGCAAAGAACCACTTTTAAACATGCAAATGGTTCTAAATAGAACCCATGGTTCTAAATAGGACCATTGCCTTTACTAAAGAACCCTTGAAGAACCGTCTTTTTTAAGTATGTAGGCCAGTCGGTGCTGTCAGTGATTATCGCTCTTTGCTGTATTGAGGTTTTCCGTCTCTGCTCTGCTTTAGAGTCTGATAATTAGCAGCTTTACGGTTCTGCAAGCCTCAAAATCACCAGTATTGAAGGAACATCTTGTGAAATGACGGAACATCGACTCCAGTCATTATCAGATGAAATGAAGGCTGTGGCGAAAACGAAAATGCATGATGACGAAAAAACGTCACTCATTTTAGCCGGTGCGTCATTAAAGGGCTCATATCATAGAAGAACCACGTTTTCCTCACTTCTTTACAACAAGAGTTGGATGTAGCGTGTAGACGGGGTTAAAGCAGAGAACTTGTAGGGAGGAGAATTACCACTCTCCGGGTTTCTCAAACGCTAGAGGGCGCTCCTGAGCGAGTCCAAAATGAATGGGTTGATATGGAGTGTTTGAGCAAAATCATAGTTTATAAATGATTAAACATTTTTAGTGTAAAAGAATAAAATCTGAACACAGAGCAGCATAAAACATTTTAACACTGCTGTTGTATTATTAAGAGCTTTTAAACTCGAGTTACAGGATTTTAAAACGGCGCCTCATGTACGTCCATGACGTCAGTCCAGAACGGCCAATGAGCTGCTCCGCTCGCCAATCAATCAGCACTCTTTAGCAGTAGAGCCCGCCTCCTGCTGCCCAAAACCTGTTTGCGGTAGAATAAAGGAAACATGCAGGTGAGTTTTCTTTGTTTATTTAATGAAACTCATCCTTCTACTGTCTAAAATTAAAGGAAAGTTCTGGTCAAGTGATTAGAAACAATTTTAACTTTTAGTTTTAGCCGTTGAGCTCCATTTACTCCCATTCATTTAGGACTCGCTCGCGGGCGCCCTCTGCTGTTTAGCAGGCCTGTTTTTGATATAAGGGGGGGAAAGGAAGAGGCCAGGTTCCTCATAAACCAGCTCTGGTTGAAGATTCCCCAGTCTGTACAGCCCGTATATGAAAACAAAGCAAAAGCAGCCCATTTAGAAGTTGCTGTTTTTGTGATGTCACAAAAACCAACTCATTTACGTAATTCCACCTATACAGCAGTTAAGCTGTTGAAGTTACAAAGAGTGTTTCATCCTGGACTGCTTTTTGAATGAGGCACGGTACAGAGCAACCAATCAGAACACAGCTCATTTACATATATCCATCTTAAAGGGCACATATCCTACATTCTGCTTGTATTTTATTTTTCTCCGTCTGACCATTTTCCAACCCTTTTTTCGTCCCTTAGGATTAAACAGGCTGTTTTTGTTACTGTGCCTTTAAGATTGATGTATGTAAATGAGCTCTGTTCTGATTGGCTGCGCTGTATTGCGCTTCAGAAAAGCAGCCCGGGCTGAGGCACTCCTTATAACTTCAGTGTGAGTGGGCGGAGCCTGCTGAATAGGCTGCTGTATGTAAATGTGTTGGCTTTTATGACATCACGAAAACAATGAATGTAAACTGCAGCTTATTTTCCATATATGGACTGTATGGAGGGAATGATGTGTTTTGAAACTTTAACAGCGTTTATATAATACATCAAACTTTTATTTACTAAAAAATACAAATAAAAAGGAAAATCCAGTTTTCAGTGATATGAGCCCTTTAAAGGTACAGTAACACAAACAGCCTGTTCAGTTCTAAGGCATAAAGAAATGTTTAATGGTAAAATTATGGCTTTTGTTGGTGCTCAAAAGTGTCACAAGTGGACCTCGGGGGAAAATAACATAGAAGAAAAGTGCGGGATACGGGCCCTTTAAGCCCGCCAGATGACATGGCAGGCCTATGTATGCAGCGGCATACAGCTGTGGGCAGCTGAGCCTGCCTATGCTTATAAAGCGCTATTCATACATCCTGGTGATGCCTGTTTAAACATCCCCACCCTCCCTGTATCCGCGTTCCCCTTTAGCCTCCTGCGCCTGGAGTTCAGCTTACTCATCGTTAAGCAATAGCGTGATGTGTGGACGTGGGTGAAAAGTCCATTTTGGTCATAACACCCTGTACGTCTGTCTGGCAGCAGGTCGCTTTGCCTATTTACTGAGATCATCTCATTCCTGCTGTATGGTCTTAAAGGGGAAATCCACTGACTTTTCAAAATTACAAAAATTTGCTGTGAAATGGTTCAGATTTCTTTACAGTGGTGGTGATAGGAACCAGGGGTCGCCATGACTACAACACAAATATAGCCAGTTTATTTACTATCCAGAACCACCAGTGAACCCACACGAGTCTTCTGAGCTTTTATATGGAATGTTAATGATGGTAAAATCTAAAAATAAACTGAAAAGTTTTCTTTGCGGACTATTTTGCCAAAACCTTCTCAAAGCTGCCTTAAAGCAGTGTTTGAGGCATCAGGCAGTGAATTCATAACCATTTCATGTAATAACTTTCAAGGGAGCTTTTAGAGGTGGACGTCTGGTTCCTATCACCACCACTGTGAACAGTTCTGACTCGGTTAGTTTCTCCAGAATGGAGCATTTCACACCAATCCACTCTGAATGACTTTCCATCTTAGATGTAGTATTATTATTAATATTATTATTATTATTATTATTATTATTCAGATTTTTTTTAAATTGGTTGAGTTCCCCTTTAATGTTCAGTAGTTTGGGGTGTGGATGGACTCCGTTCAGATTAACTCCACGTTTACTCCTTTTCCCCTTTCTTTCAGTAAAGCCACACAGTTGGCCTGTGTTTTGTGGTGCTGCCAAGTGGTGGCACAGTTAGTCAGACGTGGAATGAAATAACACTCCGACCCACTGGGTGGGTTAGAAAGCGAGTTTGGTTCCCTCAAAACTAGAACAACAACCAGATCCACTCCTGTATCTCTGCTTCTCTCTCTTATGTAAGTGCCGTCTGTCCTTAACAATAGCTTACACACCCAGAATAACCAGTTTAACCAGTAACTGCTGGACGTTGAAGGTGTGGAGAACCCTTTATTAAACAGGAATTCTACCAAATTGCTGCATAATTAAATTGTGAAGACATAAAGCCGTTCAGAGTGGCTTGATGTGAAGTGCTTCATCTTAGAGAGTCAGAACTGTTCACAGTGGTGGTGATAGGAACCAGACGTCCGCCTCTAAAAGCTCCCTCACAGAAAGTTACTACATGAAATGGTTATGGGAGGGATTGTTTTTCATACATTATATACATTATATATTAAAGGGCAGGCAACCAGGCAATACGACATCATGAGGATGTATTCACAGTACATGATAAACAACACATTGAAAGTACTATAATTTCTTTTATTCTACATTTTCCATACTGCTCACTATTACAGGAGCAATTATAATAAGCTATTAGAGCAAAACCTTAGACCACTACGTCACATAGGAGCCTCATCTGAATCTCCTTTAATGATGCATGCAGTTACAGCAAGCACTGTCCACTCTATTAGACACTCCTACCTTGTCGGTCCACCTTGTAGATGTAAAGTCAGAGACGATAGCTCATCTGCTGCAGCACAGTTTGTGTTGGTCATCCTCTAGTCCTTCATCAGTGGTCACAGGACGCTGCTGGCTGGATATTTCTGGTTGGTGGACTGTTCTCAGTCCAGCAGCGACTCTGAGGTGTTTAAGAACTCCAGCAGCACTGCTGTGTCTGTTGGTGTATTGTGACACACTTCAGTATTGACCATTATTACCTGTAATAGTGCAGAAGACTTATGCAGAGTCCTGTATTTTTGAGCGCCCTAGTGTGTCCCGCAGTGTCCAGTGCTAACGTCCCCTTCCTGTGTCAGAATTTTGGGTACACCCACCTGTCTGCCGGGGACCTGCTGAGAGAGGAGCGCAACCGCACAGGCTCTGAGTTCGGCCAGCTCATCGACAGCTACATCAAAGAGGGCAAGATCGTTCCCGTGGAGATCACCATCAACCTGCTGAGGAAGGTACGAGTACCAGGGAATGATTAGTGCGTCATTTGATGTGATTTGATTGTTGTTTATTATTTTTTATTATTTTTGTTCAGAACATAGATATAGATATACAAACATTGGTATATATGTGCTGTTAAAGTGGAACTCCATTGATTTTTCAAATTTTCTGCATAGTTAAATGGTTAAGATGTAAACAGAGTCGTTCAGAGTGGTTTGGTGTGAAACGCTCTGTTCTAGAGAAACTTACCGAGTCAGAATTATTCACAGTGGTGGTGATAGAAACCAGACGTCCACCTCTAAAAGCTCCCTCACAAAAAGTTATTACATGAAATGGTTATGAATTCACTGCCTGATGCCTGAGACGCTGCTTTACAGTAGATTTGTGGAAAAAAGGGTTAGTCTAAAACTTTATTTCAATCCATTCATAGTGGAAGGACACAAGAGGGGTGTTCTAAGGCTGAATAATCCACAAAAACAACTTGTTTTTTCAGATTTATCACTATTTTACCATCGTCAACATTCCATATAAACTCAGTAGACTCGTGTAGGTTCACTGGTGGTTTTGGATAGTAAATAAAATGTCTATTTTTGTGTTGTAGTCATGGTGACCCGTGACATTAACTCTGACCAACAGCAGTACGGAAGTGTATTGCGCTGGCCTGCCTCTTCTGTCATTTGGCCTCATTCAGAAAAATTGGCCTAGAACTCACCCGGAATATAGATGCTGAACAGAGAGTGAATAAAAGCTGTATGTGATCAGATTTACACACAGCAGTTTAGTTCCACTCACACTGCAGTTATACGGAATGTTATTTTACACACATTAATCAGCTTTGCTACACATTTTCTTAAGCAGTTCGATCCGCTAAAATACTTTGCTGGGTCTCCCGGTTGACGACCCCTGAATAGGCAGTTCTCTAGCCCTTTAATTCTCTTAAAGGGGAATTCCACCCATTTATAAAAGAAATCTGCATAATTTAGTCATTGAGGTGTAAACAAAGTCATTCAGAGTGGTTTGATGTGAAATGCTTCGTTGTAGAGAAAGACAGACTGTGATGTCTTTACAGTGGTGGTGATGGGAACCAGGGGTCACCATGACTACAACACAAATATAGACATTTTATTTACTATCCAGAACCACCAGTGAACGTACATGAGTCTTCTGAGCTTTTATATTATTGTGTTTATATTGTTAGTGTTTATATATATATATATATATATATATATATATATATAGCTTTTGTATTGTGTTTGCAATGTTGATGGTGGTAAAATAGTGATAGGTCTGGAAAAATAAGTTTTCTATGGAGACTGTTTTGCCTCACAATCCTGCATGTACCCCTCCATGGTAAATGTATTTAATAAATCCGTGTTTTGGACTCAAAACTACTGTAAGACAGTGTTTCAGACATCAGGCACTGCATTCATAACCATTTCACGTAACAACATTCTATGCGAGAGCTTTTAGAGGTGGACGTCTGGGGAAGTTTCTCTAGATTGGAGCATTTCACAACCATAATAATGTTCATTTGTTTACATCTTACTCATTTTATTATGAAGAAACCAGTGGAATTCCCTTTAATATATCTTGGTGTGTTGGACGGTGGAGCTGTAAGTGTCCCTGAGTGTCTTATTTCAGTTTTGCTGCCACAAGAGTCAAAAGCAGTAAGACGCCATCAGCATGCAAGGTCTGTTCAAGGACATGGTGCAGCTGTCAAAGCAGATTAAACCTGATGCACCCTTCCATGGATGGGGTGTTCCACAGCTCGCTGTAAAGCAGCTCTAAATACGCTGGAGCTTCAGTATTCAGTCAGAACTGTCCACCTGAACAGTCCTTGTTTGGAGATCTTCTTGAGTGTTTTGTAACGTCTCACTCTGTTCCTCGTCCTTCTACTGTAAATTTTATTTCTTAATTGTACCTTTGATCCTTGCGAGACGACATCTAGCAAAGTATTACTCTTATCAAGGTGTTATGATGCTTATCTCTGAAATGCTATTGGACTTCAGTGACGTATGACACTATGGCATCTGTATCAGGTCGTTTACTTTAGACGTGTTTGTTTTCCTCTTGGCTGTAGGCATTTGCAGTTCACATACAGTGCCAATCAAAAGTCTGGACACGCCTACCTTTGATGGGAGGGGTCATTTTTATTGTTTTCGACATTTTATAATATGAATGAAGGAATCAAAACTGAATAGTAACACACAGGGGTCACTACAGTCAGAAAATTCAAACGTTTTCCACTTAGCCCAGATGTTGTCGATCAGCCAAGACATGCTTAGTGTCTAGAAGTCAGTAGTCACCCAAATCTTTTCTGTAAATATGTCTCCAAAACGTCTCTCAAACCGCATCCTGGTCTTCATGAAGGTCGTGACTGGTTTAGGACACAGTGTGACGTAGAGTGAGCTACAGCAAAACACTTCACTGTGTAGCCAAACGCAGCGATCAGCCTTTTTAAACAGCAGATGTGCCGAATTCTGTCTGAATTCTATACACATTGCGAGAGATGTAATGAGGATGTATTTGCGGAAAGATTTGGGTGACTATTGACTTTTTAGCAACTTAATCTTCATAAAAAATCATGAAATATAAAATGTGGCCCGTGCAAAGGTGTTTTCTGTTTTTGTTCATTTTTAATTTTTCTATTTATGTAATTTTTTTCCAATACACTTTTGTGTACGACTGTAGCGCTGCAGTTTTATATAGAGACATATTTCTCGTTTCTCCTGGTTGTTTTTCCTGGGATGTTGATTGTTTTTTCTTATCGTTTTCTATCCTCTAGGCCATGGAACAGACCATGAAGGCCGATGAGAACAAGTACCGCTTCCTTATCGACGGCTTCCCCCGAAACCAGGACAACCTGCAAGGCTGGGTGAAAGTCATGGACGGCAAAGCAGACGTCAAGTTCGTCCTATTTTTTGACTGCAGTAATGAAGTGAGATGTTTTCTGGATTTTTTTTGTATTTATCTGTTTATTTACTGCTTTACTTTTTTATTATGGCTTAAATATGTAATTACAATTCTGAGTTTTTTATTTAAATGATAAAATTAGATTAGAGAGCGTCTGCTGTTTGTTTATTGGTGTTTCGGGGTTTTGGGTCCGTGTTTCATCTGCACTGTTGTTATTTTTGTTCCAGGTTTGCATCGACAGGTGTTTGGAGCGAGGGAAAAGCAGCGGCCGCACAGACGACAACAGAGAGAGTCTGGAGAAAAGGTCCATCCCATACAACTGTTTACTGCATCAGCTTGGTTTAAAAGAATGAAGTAGCAAAAAATCAGATGTACAGTTTTCCCCATTACACCCAATTACAGTCGATCAGCCAAGACATGTTTGGTGTCTGAAGTTTGCTTGTTTAGATTTGCACTGGAGACACAAACGTCGTACTGTTAGTACACATGGAGAAACATTGAGGCTCCAGCTTCACTGATACACAGTTTACTTTAGTCCATGTTTATAGATAAGTGTTCTATACTGTTTTGTGTCTGCGCTGTGATCCGGTGTCGACCAGAGGAGGATGGGTTCCCCTTTTGAGTCTGGTTCCTCTTGAGGTTTCTTCCTCCTGTTGAGGGAGTTTTTCCTTGCCACTGTCTCCAAGTCTTGCTCACTGGGGGACCCGGATTCTCTGTAAAGCTGCTTTGTGACAACATCTGTTGTAAAAGGCGCTATATAAATAAATTTGACTTGACTTATACAGTGTCAGAAACCACATAATCAAGTCTATTACAGTCTGAACAACTCAACACAGTTTCAAGCAAGTGTGTGATGATTTCACATGCAGTTAGCACAATGCTGCTTGTGTGGCTGGACTGATATATCGGTGCAGCGATAATATCAGAGGTTTTTTAAAATTGGCACCAGTGAGATTCAAACTCATGATCATCTGATTATTATCAGAACTTTAGACAGTTATACAAACTATACAGTGCATCCTAACCTAACGTTTGGCATGAAAATAACAACACAAAAAAGCTTTTTATCTTACTAATGAAAAATAATGTGATAAACAGAAACCAAAAGCTCAAAACACTCCAGGGCTTTTTATTTGAGTTTAAGAAATGTGATAATTGAGAACTGATAAACTTGTCAGTCAGTAATGCGCTGTTAAAAAAACGTAAAACTATTGCCGTATAAAATCAAAATATAAAGATAAAATTATATCAGCCAATATCGGTTATTGTATTTAGTAATGAGTATCAGTATTGTATTGTTAGGTAAATTAACCTCGTAACTCCAGTGCAAAACTAAAGAAGCAAACTTTAGACACTAAACATGTCTTGGCTGATGTAATACATTTGAGCCAAGAGGTATTTTTGGATAAATTTTAGATTTTTTTGTGCAAACTATCACATTAAGGTCAAAACTGCTGAATATGGATTTTAATCCATGTTTGTTTCATTCACAGGCTCCAGACATACCTGCAGTCCACTCGACCCATCATAGATCAGTATGAGAAGCAGGGTAAAGTGCGCACCGTTGACGCCTCACGCTCCGTAGATGAAGTGAGTTTGCCGCACAAAACTGAGCCACGTGCAGACATCAAAACTGAAACAACACATGGAATCACTCTGTTCAGAAATAACTGATTTCTGCTAAATAGAGCTATTTAGACACCTACCAGCGTTAGTGAGGACACGCATTCTACTAATTACTTTTAATGAGCCGCACACAGTAATTAGGATGATGTAATAACTGTGATTGAACATTTTCCAACTACATATTTATTATAGTGGTAAGTGAAAACATTTTGTCATGGAAATGAATTCTTAATTAACAAATTTCCCGTTCCACCTTAAATGGTGGAATTTAAGGTGGAACAGGAAAATTCGTACAAGAAGCTGGCGAATATCTGACTTCAGCTTCATATCACTGAAGAATCAGGGGTGGGTGATAATAAATAATTGCCCCCCTCTCTGAAGGCATATGATGCCCTAAATGTAACTAAAGCCCAGCAGTGAGGAGCTGAACTTTACCCTCCTCTGCTGTCACTGCAGACTGGCAGGGTCGCCTACAGAGTAGCGCTAGTAGCTGTTAATGAAGTGATGCTCTTTTTATTTGAGGGTCCCATTTCAGAGGGAAGATTTCAACCACTACCCTGTAACTCAGTAACAAGGGGCAAAGTGACACTCGAAACAAGGGGTACATTTGGGGTGCATTTGTCCTGGAGACAAATTTCAGCCAATGAAGATTAAGCGATTATATCAAACGCTTTCAGTGAAGTGTCTCCACACTTTTGACTGATATTTTGTATGTCAGTATATTTTTATAAAACCTGGTCTCTCCAAAATGGGAACTGGACAGGAGAAGGAAAAAACCTTCGTAACTTTAAATGGAATTTAATGGGTAATTTTGTAATTTTGGAGCATCTCTGTTGGTCCATTCTTCATGAAATTTGAATGTAATGTAAATGTCAGGTGGCGTTTTTTAAGGAACACTGTGTAAGTCGAGTTTTTCAGATCATGTCATGCGTCTTTACTTATGAACGTCACACAGACAGACTCAAAAAGAAGGTCAGAAGCACTGATGATACAAATTGCTCCTCTGCATGTTGCATGCAGTTACACATTTCCACCAGAGAGGTCTCCAAATCCCCAAATCTTACATAGTGATGCTTTAAATTAAAAAATAAATGAATAAAAAACGACAATATATTAGGACTGGGCTGCCATGCGTCCTCTCCCTCTAATTTTCTCTCTTTCGTGTCTTTTGCAGGTCTTTGCTGACGTGAAGAAAATCCTCGACAAAGAGGGCTAGAGCTCCTGAACTCTCCACTGCCATCAGCCCTAAATGTTCTTTTTATTGATGTCAGCAACACTATGCTTCATTATTTACATGTTTATCTTTTTACTCATTTCAATGTATTTTTTTTCTCGTTTGTCTGAGAGTGAATGCGTGTGTGTGTGGCGTATGGGTGTGTGTGCGAGTGAGCATCCATTCTTTGCTTTATAATATGCTGGAGAGGAACAAAACTGATGGGAATAGAGCAGTAGAGTCCTGTTTAAAGGCAGTTTTCTTTGGGAATGGTATGGTAGCTGCTGCTCTTTTAGTTTTTATAACATTATGGTGATCAAACAGGGACATGTAGAATCAGGAATATGTTTGTCATTTGTAGGAAGGTATGCTGTTATTATTAACCATGTCTAATGGCCAGAGCAGCAATCTGAGGGGGCCAAGCACCGACTGTAGAAAGCTACTGCACCCAAATGGCACCTATACAGTGTCCATAGGATATGTGAAAGCAGTGCATGAACAGTGTTTCATAGCTGCAGCTGTAGATGTGTAGTCCATCTGTTGTGCAGTTTTGTATTTTCTTGCTTTAATGCAACTGATATGGTTCAAAAAGGACTTTATCGATAGCAAAACACAAAATTGTGATTGTGGGCTACACGGCTAGAGCTGGGAAAACACTGGGAAACGCCGTAAGTTTGCAGCCTTTTGTCATTTTTAAATTAAGTCAAGTAAAACCAGGCTACCTATATGATAGCTATGTGTAGGACCTCATGTTTTAATGGTATCTAAATGCTTCTGGTCCGTGTTAAGTTCCAGCCATATCTCCACCCACACAGCAAGCTTTAAGATGGGGACTTATGGGTTACCAGTGTTAACATCTGTGGGATCATCTGTGAGTTGTCCTTGTCACATTGGGCCAGAGATGCAGTGGTCGGTGTCCACACAGCAGTACAAAGCACTCTAAAAGCTAGATAATGGAATATCAGTGTCACCCACTCTAAAGAAATAAACGTCCATCTGAAAAAATACAATAAAAAACAATGTCTCCTACTTTTGTAAATCATTTTGTACTATTACACTGGCCACTTTATCAGAAACACCTACTTTGTTTCCTCATATTGGCCACTTTATTAGAAACACCTACCTTGTGCTTCCACTCACTGGCCACTATATCAGCAACACTGGCCTTGTACTTCCACTCACTGGCCACTATATCAGAAACACCTACATTGTACTTCCACTCACTGGCCACTTTATTAGAAACACCTACCTTGTGCTTCCACTCACTGGCCACTTTATTAGAAACACCTACCTTGTACTTCCACTCACTGGCCACTATATCAGAAGCACCAGCCTTGTGCTTCCACTCACTGGCCACTTTATTAGAAACACCTACCTTGTGCTTCCACTCACTGGCCACTTTATTAGAAACACCTACCTTGTGTTTCCTCTTATTGGCCACTTTATTAGAAACACATACCTTATGTTTCCACTCACTGGCCACTATATTAGAAACATCTACCTTGTGTTTCCTCTGATTGGCCACTTTATCAGAAACACCTACCTTGTACTTTCACTCACTGGCCACTTTGCTGGAACCACATACCTTGTACTTCTACTAACTGGCCACTTTATTAGAAACACCTACATTATAGCTCCACTATATAGGTTTACAGTTATAGGTTGTAGCTCATGATATCAGCAATACAGATATGATGATGTAATAGTTTCATCCTGTGCAGCTTGTAAAACTGGATGTTCCTTGACAAGGTTAATGTCCGTGTCAGGCACACTCATATGTACATGGAATGGGGAAAAGCACTGCACAGTGGTTTTAAGCTGGTGGCTTTAAATCTCTTCTACAGTGCACCCATTGTACAGCTACATGGCTTTCTGAGTGCCGCGTCAGTTCACATGTTGTTTAGCTCAGGAAACAGAACATGCCATTGTGTCTCAGTCTTATTTCTGAACAAATATTCTAATGCTCTGGAGTAAAGGAACAGCACTGTAGACCAATGCAACATTTTGGAAAACCCTCTTTAGGCACGTTGTATTTTGTGGTGGTTGTTGCTAATCTGACATAACTGTAAACTACCTAAATAGTTAAAGGGCTCATATCATGGAAAAACAAATGTTCCTCACTTTTCTGAAATAAGAGTTTGATGTAGTATGTAAACATTTAAACCTACAGTTTGCTCCCCAGTCCATGCAGTCTGTATATGAAAAAGCCATAAAGCGCCACGAAATAGGCAGTTTTGAATTCACTGTTTTTGTGATGTCACTAAAAACAACTCATCTGCATGTATCTGCCTTTTCAGCCTACAGCACTTCAGCCCCGTCCACTCACGCTGATGTTATAATGAGTGTTTCAGCTCGGACTGCTTTTTGAATCAAATACATTATAGGGCAGCCTATCAGAACAGAGCTCATTTACATACATCAGTATTAAAGACACAGTAACAGCAGCCTGTTTAAGGCAGAAATAGAGGTCAGAAAATAGTCATGTATAAATGACAGTGGTGGACAGTAACTAAGTAAATGTAATTCGTTGCTGTACTTAAGGAGTTTTTTGCGTATCTTTACCTAAGTATTTCCATTTTGGGTGACTTTTTACTTTCACTCCACTACATTTCAAAGTCAAATATCTTACTTTTTACTCCACTACATTTTGCGAAATCTGTCGTTCCTTTTGTGTATTTTGAGTATTTTCACCTAAAATGATTTAATGAAGCAAGAGTTATGTTATAAAAACGGTAATAGGACATTAGAGTCATAATTAATCTTTCAGTACTTTTACTTTCGATACTTACGTACATTTGAAGGCAAATACTTTTGTACGTTTACTCAAGTGGAGGTCTAAAGGGAGGAACTTCTACTTTTACTGGAGTAATATTTTACCTTGGGTATCTCTACTTTAACTCAGGAACATGATTTGTGGACTTTGTCCACCACTGAGTAAATGAATTATGTTTTTGGTAGATAAACCCACACAAAATTATAAACGGACTTGGATTTGTAGTAATCCTGCTGCAGTACCGCACCTTAGCCAGAAGGTGGCAGCACAGTCCAACAGTTTGAGGAAAACTTGCTCTGGTAATCGTATGGATCCACATCCTAGTCAGCTCTGCCAGTGTAGTTAGTAAAGCAATGGCAACAATTCTTAACGGAATGAATAAGACGAGCAAATTCTGATATAAAATATTTTATTACAAGAAATCGGCCCTCTTTTGTATCAAAATACTGTACAGTGTTACTGAAGGACCTATAAATAGAACTTAAGGTATATTGTTTTAAGAGAGCACCCCCAACGTACCTTTCAGCAGTTGCAAAAATAAACAATATCTGATTTCACATTCACAAAAATAATCATCTGCAATATATAAACATTACCTTTCCCTACAATACAGACAGTTTCAGTTGTGCTTGAAGTTCGGGGGCTAGTTAGAGCAACTACATTACAAAATGTACAGGAAACCAATCAAATCTGTAACAATCTGTCCCGTTTAAAGTGTCCCATTTAGTGCCCGACTTCCACGCGTCCACTGGAAGTACCTGGTGCAGGTCAGTCGTGGGTCAGCCCAGCACTTTGTACATGTACCTCTGCGTTATAGTGTGCATTTTGGTTCAGTCACTGTGTTTGTGTTGTTTTTGTCTCCTTCGTTTCAGCAGGTTATGGCTGGTGAGCGCTGAACTTTGCTGTTGGTCACTGCACCGTGTTTCTGCCGCAGGTGCAGTCTCAGCTGGCTCTTGTGGCGGAAGCGCAGGTCACATTTTTCACACTGATTAGAGAGAAATCAGAGGTTGAGTTAAAGTGTGGCATATGATGTATTAAAACTGAATTAAATTAATTCAAATTAAATAAAAACTTTGATCCTGACGATGTGCTTTTGAGGCATTTCTGATTAAATGATGTTCTGTTCTACAATACAGTCTCAGCAGCAAAGGTCTGACCTTTGACCAGCTACTACAACGTGCATCTTTTACTCGCTAGACAGTCGGGAGAAGTCTAGCCATTCAGTCGCAACAGCACAAGCCAGCAGGACAGTTAGCAGAGTTTGCAAGCGTCAGCTATTTTCAGTGTTAAAATTTATGGAGGTTAAAAAAGGCTGTTTAAGGAAAATGTCACAGAAATAAGAATGCATACAGTAACAACTGATAGTGAATGCTGAGCAAAATATATCATAGGCTACGTTCACTTTACAAGCCTCATTGCTCTAATCCGACTTTTTGCTCTAATCCGATCTCTCTGGCACGATGGTTCACACACGTTTAGGTAAGTGATTCAAATCTGTCATTAATGTGACGAACCGGCGTCCTGAAATGACCCTCATGAGCTCATCCTACTCAGTAACGTCACGTGAATGAATCACGTTCATCATCAACTAACGAGCAGAACGAGCTTCGCTGAGAAGATAATTAACTCTGATCAGCTCTCAGCTTCATTATTAGAGCGAGACGAAGGAGAAAAAGGTGAGATGAGCTGCTTTTCCACTGTTTACAGGCTTTAACGTCTGTTCGGTGCTGCTGCCATGGTAACGCTGAATGATGGCGCAGCACAGTGGAGAAAAAGCACATGAATTCCGATCTGAGCGTCACATTAAGGTCACATGGCTACGAATCGGATACGTATCAGATTTAGGACCACATATGAAAGCAGCTCAGGTCGGATTTGAAAAGATCAGATTTGCGTCACACAGCCCTGAAAACACCAGATCTGAGTCAAAATCGGATTTGTGCCACTTCAACCTGGTAATGTGAACGTAGCCGTAGAAAGCTTTTGGGCGGGTGAAGCACTTACGTGGTAGGGCTTCTCGCCCGTGTGTATGCGCAGGTGGCTCTTCAGCGTCTGTAGGTGGCGGAAGCGGGTGCCACAGACGTCGCAGGAGTACGGCTTCTCTCCGGTGTGAATCAGCACGTGGGCCCTCAGGTGAGCCACCTGCATCCAGACAAAGAGTCAGATTTAGAGAGATACAGTATAACGGTGCAAGCACAGTCTTGTTGCGCTCCTCCACACCCACTGGCTTTATCTATGAGGGGGAACGGAAGTGTTTAAACGACAACATTTTTCCGTCAGTATAAAAGCTGCTTAAAAAGTTTACATGCTTTCAACTTTTGATGGACAAGCTTCGGCCAAGATGGAGCACAGCTGACAGGCAAGCCACTGGCGTTTACCAGAGAGCGCTGCCCATTTTGGTGCCCACCCAGCGAGCGCTGCGCAAACAGCGAGTGGTGTGAAAGCAGCTTTTATTGCCATGAATGTTTGTCTATTTGACAGTGATGAATGGTGAGCTACAGAGTAATAAATCTAAAAAAAGCATCAACATTACCATCCTAGTTTACATTCTGGTGCTCTTATTGGTCATTTAACAGTGTTTGACCGCTTCGTTTTCATCCTGAAGAGTAGAGGATTTGCTAAATTGTCATTAGCTTCAGCTGCAAGTGTTATCAGAGACAGGATTCCTCACTGTGGTTAATACTACTTATAGCAGCTCTTACCTGCTATTTTCTACCTGAAAGCTAGAAAACACCTTAAATACAAGACTTTACTGTTATAACTAATGTTTTATCTGTATTTACTGTCAATTTTCACCCTGACTCAATGTAAGTTATCCACCTGGAAATATCAACCTTTATATTCACAAAACATTCTGATTTAGTCTATTGAGTTTATTTGTGGTTATATGTTTAGGTTTCAAAATTCTGTAGGAAATGATTCCGTGCAATCACTATCAAATCAAATCATCATGAAAATGTATTTTTCAAAAGAACTGTAACTGAATCAAATCGAATCGTTGTGGAAAAGATTTCATGATTCACTGCATCGTTTTCCTTAAGAATCAGAACTGAATCTGATTGTGGTGAATATTAAGTTTCAATAATGCACCGAATCATTTCCTAAAGAATCATTATCAAATCAAATCATGGTGAAAATGAGATTTCATGATGCACATTTTTCATAAGAATCATAACTGAGTCAAATCGAATCACTTAGATTTTTCACAAGAATCATAGCTGAGTCAAATCGAATCAATGAAAAAATAAGGTCATGATTCACTGCATCATTTTCCTTAAGAATCAGAACTGAGCGTCTATCATTACTGTTTATGTCTGTAAGTGTGGACTCTTTCTGACTGTCTGATTAACTAAAGCATATAAAAAACAATAAAACGACACATTTCGCGAGAAGAAAAAAGAATCAAAACTGAATCAAACTGTGGTGAATATTGGGCTGCAAGTTACCCACCTGGAAATATCAACCTTCATATTCACAAAACATGATTTAGTCTTTTAAGTTTAATTGAGTTGCAACATAATTGGGAAACTATTCTCTTCCAGGTGAGGATAAAATCACCAAGCACTGTTACATGGTCGGTAAGTGCACCACGACATAATCTAGAATGGTTTGTCAATGTGTCGACTGCTATTTTTAGAACAATCAGTTTGTGACACGTTTGCTAAGGTAACGTTAGCTAGCGCTAACAAAATTAACATGTATGCTAGCAGCTTCTCCCGATCATTAATGGACAGTCAGACCCTTGTCAGCACCTACCTGGACGAAGCAGGACCCGCAGGTCTCGCACTTGTACGGCTTTTCTCCCGAGTGGATGCGCAGGTGGGTCTTGAGGTTCGCTGGTCTGTTGAACTGAGCGCCGCACACATTGCAGCGGTACGGCTTCTCCACTGTGATACCACAAAACAGTGAGTGAGAATGTGCAGCTAGGCGCGAAACCTTCTGAAAGCTTTCACTGGCTTAAAAGCTCTTAATACTTAGCACCTTTATACATTATAAGACGCCTGACGTTCCAAATCAGGCTTTATTCACACCTATTATTACTAGTTAATGCATTTTTTAATGCTGTTAATGCAATTTTCTTTTAACTTTTTGTTTATTTACCAGTGTTCTTTTTTGCCATCATGTGGCATCATTTTAGTTGCATTTTTTAAAATGAAAGGTGCTGTATATGCTGTATAAAGCAATTATTATTAGTTATTATCATTATTAATACAGGTAGAAAGGTATTCATTTACCTGGATGGGCAGATTTGTGGCTACTGAGGTTTCCTTTATAGGAGAACGTGGCTTGGCAGCGGTCACACCTGTACGGTTTGCCGTCCTGAAGGCGCTGATGGTTCTCTGAGTTCATCTCAACCCTGGAGTCACATTCGCTGCAGACCAAACTGCTGCTCTCTGAAGGAAAAGAGATTTTGTTTAATCTGCAAAGTTGCCAAACCTCCTGAACTTCACCACAATAATAGTCTGAGCCTATTACTGATATACAGAAGGAATAAGTGTGTGAAAATAAGGGGATTTAATATAGAAAATAAATAGAAAACACTAACCGTGGGCTATTTCTGAGCTGCTCATGTTGCTCTCCTCTCTCAGAATGTGGGTGGAGGTTGACAAAGATGTGGGATCACATGCTCTTTGACTCAATTCTTCCACAGATCTGTAAACAAGACAAATAACACTGCATTAGTGAACTGCTAACATTCAGAAAAGAATAGGGGTGTATATATCTATTTTTTTGTTAATAAGGTATGTGTTTATTTTCTGGCTAAAATGAAACTCTCAGGTTATTTTCACACAAAATAAGTAAAAATTTGTTTAAATGAAATCTTGGTGAATTTTAGGTTTCAATAATGCACTGAATCATTTCCTAAAGAATCATTATCAAATCAAATCATGGTGAAAATGGAGATTTCATTATGCATTTTTCAAAGGAATTGTAACTGAATCAAATTGAATCGTGGAAAAAAAAAAGAGATTTCATGATTCACTGAATTGTTTTCCTTACGAATCAAAACTGAATCAAATTGTGGTGAATATTATGTTTCAATAATGCACCGAATCATTTCCTAAAGAATCATTATCAAATCAAATCATGGTGAAAATGAGATCTCATGATGTATTTTTCAAAAGAATCATAGCTGAGTCGAATCGAATCAATGAAAAAATAAGGTCATGATTCACTGCATCATTTTCCTTAAGAATCAGAACAGAGCGTCTATTATTACTGTTTATATCTGTAAGTGTGGACTCTTTCTGACTGTGTAATTAAATAAAGCATATAAAAAAACAATAAAACAACACATTTTCCAAGGGAAAAAAAAAGATTCAGAACTGAATCAAATTGTGGTGAATATTAGGGTTCAACAATGCACTGAAATATTTCCTAAAGAATAATAATCCATCCAAACTGTGGTAAAAATTTCATGATTCACTGAATCGTTTCCTAAAGAATCAAAGTGAATCGCAGTGAGGTCAGATATTTACACCCTTTAAAAACAGTTATTAGCAGTTTTGCTACCAACCTGCTGTTAACATTCAAGTGGCTTGTGGCCGTCTGATCAGTACTCTTGGCGGTGGGCTCTACGGCAGGTTGAGTGGGGTTCTCTGAGCCGTCGGCTGAGTTCAGAACGATGAACTTGTACTTCTTCCAGTTGTGGACCTTCGCCTCGCTGGCTGATGCTCTCTGAGAAGAAGCCGCCTCTCTGCTGCAGCCGCTGGACTCAGCTGGAGAATTGGGCTGGCAGTCTGACCTCAGAGGGCTGCGGGGTCCGTTAATCTGAGAATGGCCAAAGTTCTCCACCTCTTCCAGCTCCATCTTCATACCTGTGGAGCCCGTTCTGTCTCTCTGATCCTGGCCCAGCTGGTGGACCACAGATGAGCGGACAGGGTGGTAGACTGGGGAGATGCTGGAGCTGTTCACTTTAATGGAGGGTTCTCCTCCAGGAGGGGAACGCGGCCCCTGGGTTATGACGCTGCTGCTTGGAACTTGCCAGAAAAGAGGTCTGACGCTAGAGGTGGAGCCCCCTGAGAGAGGGAGGTGGCTGTAGAAGCGCGTGGGGCTGCCGGTAGACGTGCTGACCGCGTAGTGAACGACTGGAGGCCCGAGGGTCATCCCCTTAGGTCTAGACGAGATGCTCCTCGGTACGTCGTTATAGTTGAAGACTGTATCCTGAGGTAAGCATGTGGGGCTGGCTGGTACTTCCTCTCTGGGCTGCTTCACAGACAAGCCCCTGTGGGAGGAGAAACAGAATGGTTCAACCGTCGACATAAATGCATGAGATAACATCTGCAATCATCTGTAAACATCTAAACGGCTTAAAAACAGCTCTAAACATCTCGACGGCTAAGAAAAACAAGTGTTTTACGCTAATACTGGAGCCTTAAGCTACCTGGACTCCATGAACCTCTGGCAGGTTTCCACCATGTGCTCCATCTGCAGATAAATGGCTGTGTTGAGGGTGGCCAGGATGAAGCGCTCTTTGAGGTTTAGGCAGGAAGTGTACATGAATTCTAGGAGTATAGCAAAGCCATTGGGGTCCACTTTTGCGTCCAAGCTCACGACTGTAGGGTCGCTTTTAGTGGTGTTGACGAACATTGAGTAAAAGAAGCCACTGCAGAAAAACAAAGAGGGACCCAAAGAGTTATTACATAGTAAAATCACAATAACCTCCTAAAATGACAGGATAAAGCTTATTATTCAGTAACTACATGGTCTACACTGAAAAATAGCTGAGTTATTCTTCATGTTATTTAAGTGTGTCACAGGAGTTTGGCCGTTTAAGGGGTTAATATACTTTAAAGTATGCAATTTACCTAAATTAACTGATTGAAACTTAATTAAACTGAAGTGATTATAAAAATTAATCAATTTTAGATAGTCTGCCCGTTTTCTTTGCTCTTTTTTTGTTTTGTTTTCTAGCTAAACCAAAGGTTAATTCCCAAAGAGAATTCTTCAGAGTTAGGGAAGTAAAACCTGAGCAGGGGTGAGTGAGAGAAAGCAGGTCTTATTACACAGAAAACCTCAGCGGTCACTTTAGCTAAACCTTAACAACAAAGTTCCAGTAACAACTCGCTCACTAAGCTCCGCTCACCTGCAGGCCATGAGCACCGTTTTGTGTGCGTGAAACTCCTGCCCTCCGACCCGAATCGTGACGTCGACGAGGATGTTCCTGCTCCGCAGGCGGTTGAAGTTGAAGAGCACGTCACCTGCATGGCGAGTGAACTGGATGCAGCCGTCTGCTGCGCTACTCATGCTAACTGCCTCTGTGACAGAACGAAAATAAATAAATCAATTATAAAAATATATATATTTCGCAACATGCACTGTTGTTTACTGAAAATCAGAGGTGTAAAAATAACGATCTTAAAGCAACAATTCAACTGTGTCAATTTTAATACCTTATTATAATCAATAATGAATTAGAATCTATAATGGTAACATTCAATTCAAGTATGCACTCATTTTTTAGCCAAAATAAAATGCTAATTTTTAATGTAAAAACGATTCAAAATAATGAATAAATAAATTATAATTTTTAATGTAAAAATAATTTAAAATAATGGATAAATTAATAAATAAATTATAAAAATTTTATGTAAAAAAATTACAAATAATTGATAAATGAATAAATAAATAAACAAACAGTAAGGATGCGCATTGACATTGTAAGCATATCAGTATAAAATAATAACCAGATAATTAGATATGTACGGAGCCCTGCTGGTGACATCCTGTTGTGTGGCCACATCTCGTTCCCATGCTTTACTAAGTGGTGGCCACGACTTAATTATCTCATTCCTATGCCTTACCAAGTCATAGCCATGCATTAGGATCTCGTTCCCATGTGTTAATAAGGCGTGGCCACGCATTATTTTTATTTATATAGGATGTCATCAGCAGGGCTTCATAGATTTGACTGATAGTTCATATCTATACCTGATGATGCACTAAAATACCTGCATTTTATGCATTTTACTGCATTACTACCCACAGAAAAAGACTTTTTTTCTCTTTAATGCTAATCCAGGTAGACCCAGTCCCAGTTTTTTACCGCTGGTGCATCAATAGCCACTCAGGTTACATTTGTATATTAGGTGGATTATTAAAGCTAATTCTGAATCATATCTACTTAAAAGAATTGTGGTGAAATTTGACATTTTATGATGCATGAAGTCAGTCAAAATCGAATAGAACTGCTGTGAGGTAAGAAACGTTAACCACTAGTGAAAATGCCATGACACACTATAAACATTTGACTTTCTGGTTTGTTGGTTTTCAAAAAGTTTGGCACTGTTAAATGTCAGCAGTTGCCTGTGTAAACACACTTTCTCCCGCTGACTCGTCCGGGACAGCAGCACTGCCCGCAGTCATAAACCGCAGGCCATTGCGACACCCGGAACTGAGGCCTGATTCAGAACGAAACGTTCTACATTTGTCACAGACACTGTCATCAAAGCGTTCACTGAAATACAGCCGTTTCAGCTCTTTATAGTGGCATCCTGTTAGTCATGTTGAGAATTATTTGTGGTGCTGGCCTGGCTAGTCAGGCTCAATTGTACTCAATTCTTGTCAAAGGCCTCAATTCCTGGATCCATTTGAGAGCTGCTTCTCCAGCCCTGTTTTAGATTGACTAATTAAAGTGAATATAACACTCAGGGTGTCAGAATCAAAGAATAAGCCATAACAGCACTTAAAGAGCTTTGCCACTGTGTAAGGGACCACATTTAGTCCATATATACTACTAATGAATGTGCATGGACTGTAGAGGTTGGCGATATGGCAAAAACATAATATCGCGATACTTCAAGAAATTTTACCGATACACAATATGTCACAATATTCATTTTTTCAGACATCTGATTAGTTGGAACAGATAAAAAAGAACAAGCAATGCTACATAAAAAATATAATTAAAAAAACTGCAAAAACAATCAATAATTTTTATTCAATATTTGGAACTAAATCCAGTTAAACAGGACTAATTTTGCTCTCTTTATAATAAAACATGAAGTTGGTCAGTACTCTGACTGCTTGCAGTACTAACAATATCCAGAATATTTTCAGAAAAGCATACTGTACTGTATTGTGACATAATTTAATATGATACCGATACACACTGTCCAGTCCTAATGGACTATACAAGGCAAAATACGTCTCTTAATAGTGCTAAGTGATGTATGATCTATTCCAGTATACAACACTACTGATGTTTAGCTAGCAACAACAGCAGTACTGACAAACAGTGAGCATTATATTGACAACAACACCATATTCCATATTCCCTGTTACCTGTAAGGGTTCCTTTGAAGTAATTTTAAGGGGGCATTCTGGCCTAAAACATTTATTATATGTCATATGTCATGCACAAGTGCACCACTGTATCCCTCAGCCTCAGTATTTTTTGGTGTTTTCGTCCAACGATGTTCTCTCACTACAAACTACAATACCCAGAATGCATTACGCAAATACACCATACAACCATTGGGATAACGAACTCCTTACTGCTATCACAGCCACTGATGTACCACAGTGCAACGACTTCTGCAAACTAAATGGTCCTCCTCAAATCCCAAAGTCCCAGTATGAACACTAGAGGGCAACACAAGGTATAATATGCTCACCTCACAGCAAATAACTTTAGCAGAGGAACAGTAATATGGTTCAATACGTCCGAAAATATTGTGGCCACACTCAATGCTGTGTTAACAGGTAGTCTGGTCTATTAACCCCTTAAATTCACAGGCTTATCACATCCTAAGGCTTATTATAGAGTACAATGCAAACTAGTTGGGTTGTTCTTAAGTTACAGAATTATGTAATAGTTGTTTGGACACGTCAGCAGCTCTGGGTCTTAAAAACAATAAACATACGGTGCATGATATTACTTTTTCCATCAAGTCCATATGCGCAGAGGTAAATCCACCTGATGCTGAGATCCACAACAGGTGGTCATCTGTCTGACCTCACCTGTTCACATTTTATTTTCCATTCTCACTACTGCTATTAGCTTAACTGGTCTTGTTGGACTGATTATAACTTAAAAAGTGCTAAACAGTTGATTTCCATTAACGGAATAAAAAATAAACACATTTATCATGACTTTTAACCAGTTTCTACCTATTAATCTGCCTCATTTCCACCATCCTGAGCCCAAAAAATACACTGGAAGATTAAAGGGAACCAATTTTTCAAAATTTCTGCATAATTAAACAGTTAAAATAAGAGAAACTTCCCAAGCCAGGATGGTTCACAGTGGTGGTGATAGGAACCAGACGTCCACCTCTAAAAGCTCCCTCACAGAAAGTTATTACATGAAATGGTTATGAATTCACTGCCTGATGTCTAAAACACTGTTTTATGAATGTTTTGTGGTAAAGATTTGGCATAAAACATATATTTCTGGTGTACACGAGGCAAAGTAGCTCCCAAAGATTTTTTTTTTCTATATTAAACGCTATTTTACCAACACATATAAATTATCAGAACACGTGCAGCTTCTCGGGTGGTTTGAATAGCAAAAAAATAGCAATTTTGGCATTGTACGCACGGTGACCCCTGGTTCCTATCACCACCACTGTGAAGAAATCTAAGTTGGCAAGTTTCTCTACAATGAATCACTTCACATGAAACCCCTCTGAATGACGCTGTTTACACCTCGATGACTAAATTAGGTGGATATTTTGAAAAATCGTTGGGGTTCCCCTTTAAATTCACCAAGACACCTGTACATAACCAGAATGAACACCCAAACTCATAATTCTAATGTGACTAACCACGTCAATACCAGACTGAGAGGGAAAAATGAACTTTGTTTGAACTTCATTCACAAACATAATCACCTTATCAGCCATAATTCAGATGAATTAATTAAACAAGTGGGTTAAACCCAACCTAGTCAGTCTGTCTGAGTTATTTATAGCCTAATGACAGCTTTCCCATACACCTATATGAGAGGCAAACTCTCATAGGCCAGTTCTCTTTCCTTAAGCTGCGTCAAATAAAAGCCCTAAATATAGAAAAACAAGTTTTCTGTACATTTTTAAACAATTTTAACATTTTTTCCCCCTCTTTAAAGGCTCCTCCTCAGCATGTCAGTAAAAAAATCCGCACATGCGCAGAGAAAACGACTTATTGTGCTGTGTACCAAACTTGACAAACGACTGTACATTTTTAATATTGTAAACATTGTAAAAATATACATACATTAACCTTAATTCTGACCTAAACCGTCCTAAATACAAGTAAACAGTTCAGCTGTTCGGCTCCACGGTGAGCTGAATTCATTACTTATTCGAACTGTTCCGTTCCACCTTAAATGGTGCCGCGGTTACATTGTGGGGCCTGAGGCGCCACAACGTTGCTGTTGCCCCATTTAAGGTGGAACGGCAAAGTTCGAACAAGAAGCTGGCGAATAGGAAGCCAAACTTCAGCCTCGCTGTTGGTACAAAATGTACAATAAAAGTAGCCTAGAGAAAATAAATATATCAGAAAGTTTTATAGATATTTTAGAGAGCATCCGAAGGCAGCGCTGAGGTATTGACAGGTAGGAGAAAGTCACCTGGTATGTGTTAATTTTCCTGGAAGTGCCGTCCGGACTCGGTTCTAGGAAACAGACTTCTGCGAACACTTAGCTCTCAGTTCTCGGAATTCCACCATCGGCCGCAACCATTTCGAGGCCGAATGGGGGACGGCGGCTTAGCTCGTCCCTCCTTTTGGTCGCGTCCGGTGTCTGTTTCTTGTCAGTAAACGCCCAAAACAGGAGAGTAAGTCGTTTTAAACACTGAAACAAACGCCGCATCATATTTATTTAGTTTTCGGGTTTACATTTTCGAGCCGGGTTAGGGCAGGTCGTGCTTGTGGTCTCCCTGCGCAATGGACTGTTCCGGTCTAGCGGTCATGTACTACGCAAAGTGACTTTTGTTTTTTTCAGGCCCCAGATTCATAAATGGTGGCTCATCTCTGACGAGATTTTCATTTTTTTTTTCAAACAAAATGGAGCCAGAGTTCAGAAAGTTTGAATGAAAGTTGAATGAATCGAGTGCTCACCTGCTCGGAAGTCCCCCAAGCCTGCTTTTGGGTGGGCAAAGCAACTTTCACCTTACAAAAAACCTGGTTTCACCGTCTGGCCTTTCTGGCCTAAGGCCTCAACCGAAGGCCAAGGAGACCACATAATAGCAATGCTTCAAACTCACTCCTACTGAGGTGACAAGTGTTTATTTTTTAATAAAAAAATATGAAAATATGAATTTGTGCCCTCAGTATTTAAATTTGTTGCCTCAATATACTAATTTGTGGCCGCAATAGAGTAATTTGTGGCCTCAATTTAGTAATTAGGGGCCTCAATATAGTAACCTGTGGACTGAATATATTAATTCATACCCTCAATATAGTAACTAGTGGACTGAATATGTCAATTTGTACCCTCAATATAGTAATTCGTGGCCTCAATATAGTAACTTGTGGTCTCAATTTAGTAATGTGTGACCTCAATATAGTAACTTGTGGACTCAGTATGTTATTTGTAGCCTCAACATATAAATTTTTGGACTCAATATAGTATTTGTGGCCTCTATAAAGTATATTGTGGCCAGGCCTCATTGAAAACAACCACCATGTCATCTTAGGGGTTCCGTGCATTCCTCATTTTATCACATTTTTTCACCTGCCACTTTAAAAAGGCTAGCAGATATGATGAGTTGCTGGAGTTCGAAGTTTGTAGACACCTGCTCACCCACCTTCTCTGAAATCAAGGCTGTTAAAGAGGAATTACACTGATTTTTCAAAATTTGTGCATAATTTAATCACTGAGATGTAAACAAAGCCATTCACAGTGTTTTGTTGTCATACAAAAACTGACACGCTCACATTTTCTTCACAGTGATGTTGATAAGAACCATTTTATTTACTATCAGAAATGACTGGTTAATCTACAGATGTCTTCTGAGCTTTACATGTAATGTTGGTGATGGTTAAATTTGTGATAAATATGAAGTAAGAAGGTCTTATTTGGGTACTATTTTGGCTCACAACACCCTGCATATATCTCTCCACCATTAATTATATTTTTTAGGTTTTATGCCAAAACCTTATCTCAAACCTGTCATAAAACACTGTCTCAGACATCCGGCAGTGAATTCGTAGCCATTTCATGCAATAACTTTCTGTGAGGGAGTGTTTAGAGGCATTAAATACTCCAGACGTCTGGTTCCTATCAGCACTTCCGTGAAATGTCAAACAACTCTGATTGACTTTTTTTTTATATATCTGTAATAAAGGTGGTATATATCATAATATATAATATTGATATTTGTTGGGGGGCACCCAAACTTTTGTATACAACTGCAACTGAGACAGTTCAGGGTTGTTTCCTCCTCTTCTGTGTCAATTACACTGCCATTCAAAAGTTTGGGATCACTTGTCATGTTAGTTATTGTTATTCGGTAGTCATTTATACAGTGTATATTGAAATATTATGAATTAGACACCAAAATGTAAACTGTAAAAATATTGTGGGAAGAACAAAATATTAATGACATATTAAACAACAGCAAATGTTATCAAATAATGCTGAATATTATTACATAATGAACTGCAATTATTTATTCATAGTGGTTTCTTGGCAAGAAATTACTATGAACAGCGGTTTGATTAAGATTTGGTCACCACCTTTCAAACATACAGCATTCTGGATATTGATTTTATTCTTATTATTAATAATAAGGTCATAATAATAGGATCAGTTATTAGGGAATCATCAACAACTCCATTCGTCATAAAAAAAAATCTGAACTCAATTTTTTTGAAAATCTGCGAGGTTTTATACTATTTAAAACAGTGATTCCAAACTTTTTAATGCTTTTAAGACGTGGCACAGTTTAAAGTTATGGCAGTTAATATCAGATTAGCATTGAGATCATAACAAATCTCATTTTTCATGATCTAGTCTGTGCTCAGTTCAAAGGTTTTACTGACCAAGTTTGACAGTTTTCTCATCTCGCTTTCTGAAGTACTGAAACGCTGAAGTTTCACAACATCTCAGAGCTTTTAGGGTCACGGTTTGACCAGAGTGCAGCCGCAGGACAGCAACAAAGCGATAAGGAGGCTATTTTCAAAGAGAGCTAGCTCTCTAAGCTAGTTAGAGCGAGCTAACACATATAGGTCAAACAGGGTGAGCTAACACGACACTGTGGCACGGCTCAAACCTCTTACTGCACAATCTCTATCTCTATCTCTCCCTCCCTCTATCTCTCTATCTGTCTCTCTCTCAGACACATGACCACTGAGGCCATGACTGTATGCTGGCAGTCAACAAAGCCGCCATTCAGGACCCAAAATGCAGGACGCACAGGCTGTTCCCTTTAGGGATCTGTAATAAGGCCGCACCGGATACCGCACACTTGTGCTCTTGTCCTTTTGTTTATCACGCTCCTTTTTAAACCAATTGCCTAATTTGTATCATGAATAGTTTATGTAATCATATATTTCAATTCGCTTCAGAGCTACTCGGAGGGATTCTCGGAAAATGCTGGAGCTTAATGAGCGAAAGTGACCTTAACCCTAATAGCAATAGGCTACTGGACCACTGTCAGCCCACTGATGGCTAAGCTGGCGGTCCACTGGCGTTTTGCTCAGTGTTTTCTGGGCGGCCCACCGGTGTTTAAGCAGAGTATTAGGCAAAATTCCACTTATCATCGCTCATTTTACAGTCCAATTTACTTATTTTTTCTTCCTTCCTTTCTTTATTTATACTTTGTAAATTAGTTTATTGAATCATTTTAGTCTAGCACAGTGTCAGCGATAACATTTCCTCTAAAATCACTATATAACAGGCCTGGTCATGATTATTTTCTCTCAGTTGTTTGTACAATTTGCCTATTTTCTAAATTAAAAGTCTGTGTGCGTCTAAAATCTGTTTGAGGAGAGTAAAAACTAGTTAGAGCTTGTATGCAGGAGAGTACTCTTAGTCCGAGGGTGGACTAGCAGCGGCAAACAGTCAGTGGGGTGCCGACCTTATCAAGCCAGTGGACCGATATATGCTCGCTATCTGGGAAGTCAGCGCTAAGCTGCATGAAAAGCGCTATCGCAATTAGCCCAGACCCAAAAGGTGGAGATTTGCGAAGAGTTCTGTCAGTGCTAGCTCGGTCGTTCACTCTTTTTTCAATATTTATTGTTATAACAATGTTAAAAAATGGACTAATTTTATCAATCCTTTATGTTATTCAGTGTTTTTGCACTACAGTACCCACCAAACATGATGCTAATACATCATACAACCATTGGGAATCCCTGTGGTATCAACTAATGACTGCTAGCCTAGGTACTTATGAATATGCTAATAAATACAACCAAGCTAGCATTAGTGGAACACTTTCCTCAAACAAAATCATACACAAAACAGTGATTCTGTCTTTATTCAGTGAAAAAAGGACACTAGAGACAAGTTTTTATACTTTTAAACCAGATAAAAATAGCCAAACTAAAACTAGATAGCCAGCTATCTTGCTAACTTTAGCTTTCAGCTTATTGTTCTCTTCATGTGACGAGTTTCCATTGTTTGAGTAATGTATTTTTCCATTGTATTGAAATCGATGTTACCACAGATATTCGCTACAACAAGGATTTCAGATTCCTGGCAGTAACGTTAGCTGTGTAGCTTTCTTCTGCATTCACCAGCTGACCAAATCCAAAAGGCCAACCCACAAAATCTGCCACGAAAGAACTGTAGTTCCTCGAAATTTCCTCCCATCTTCAAGTTATGTCATCAGAAGGTGGATTTCCCAGTCTTTAAACCAGAAAGTTTTACTCCAGGGATTTCTGCATGGTATAGATTACTGCGTACCATGAGTTCTATACAGAACCATTTCATGCTCTATAGTACCAAAGGGGCTATTAAATTGTTGCAAGCTTGACATTGTAACAGTAGCAGAACTCTTTTGGTGCTATGTAGAACCGCATATAACACATTCTCCATCAGTCTGAAGAACGATTTCACCATGCAAAGAACCACTTAAGCATGAAATGGTTCTATATAGAACTCATGGTGCTAAGTAGAACCATTGCCTTTACTAAACAACCCTTGAAGAACCATCTTTTTTAAGACTAGGTGTGGTTTGAGCTGTCATCCATAACTTTAACAAGGAAAGGGCACGGCTGGTTTTGTTTTTGCTTTATAGTATTTGCAGTAGTTACTAGATGTCAGGCTCCGGTGGAAATGGTATTCCTGGAATGCTCTGAATGAAAGTAATCTGGTTGTTGACTGGAATGTGATGCAGATTTCAGATCAGAGCTTCAACAGCTTCTGAAAGTTTTTGCACTCAGGCGTTCCACAGTGGCAACCAGCACCCCGAGAACAGGCCTCTATCTCAGTTAGCACTCGAGCTGCAAAGCTAATGTAGCTAACCAGTAGCTTATACCCCAGTTAGCATCATGGTAACTGCAGGCCTAAATCATCACACACGTACCTCGATCTCTGCTGCTGAGTAATCTCAAATACACTTGATTATGTGGTTTCTGACACTGAATGACACACTGTTATCTATACACATGAGTAGCATATCTAAAACTGTAGTAGTCGACGTCTTAGAGCCTGAATTTTATCTGTACTTTTGTCCATTTTTATAGATAACAGTGTCATACAGTGTTATAAACTATACACTACTGTTTAAAAGTTTTTAAATAGCTGTTTTGAATAATGTTAACCCAATTTTAAAGATAGGCTCTGTGCAAATATCAGAAACCACCTTTCATTTATTTAACATGTAGTCAAAACCGCCATTCAGTACAACTTATTCATTTTTCAGTGGATATTTATAAGGAATGTCTGAGAAGAAAGTCAAAAGAAAGTAAAAAGAGTTTCCAAAACTGGAGTTCAAAAATTGATTAAAAGCTACAGAGAAAATGTGGCTGATAACAACCACCTGGTTAGACCCCAAAACTGCCCCTATCAGATAAACAGCGCTTAAAGCTTTCATTTTTGAGAGAGAGGAGAAAATCAAGCTGCTTCAGATCTGAAAACATCCACAGGTGTTTCTGTCCATCCAACCAACTTGTAAGACTGAACTTTGGTGGTGTGGCTGCAGATTTCTTTAAAAAACTAAAACAAGCCTGTTGAAAAGAGCATAAGCTGTAATGAAGGTAAAGAGTGACACACTAAACACCGAAAACATTTATATTTAGTGGTTGAGGCTTCTGTGTAATATTTGTTAAATATGTTTTCTGCTTTTTTCCTGATGCTGAAAATGAATATTTTGTATTTAAAGGCGGTTTTGACTGGAAATCAAATAAATGAAGGGTGGTCTTTGTCTTTTGCACAGTACTGTACATGTATAAAATGATTGTTAACAGTTTATTGGAAGCTGTAAAAACTAAGAAATCAATGAATATATAATAAAATAAACATCCAAAGTGCCTTGTATTTGAAAAGTGATGACCAAATGTGGCTGATCAAATAGCTATTCTTATTTATTTATTGATTTACTTATTTACTTATTTATTTATTTTATTTATTTACATATATATATATTCATTAAATAATGTTTTCTATTTTTTACCCTCTCATCATTTCACATTGTTCTCAAAATACATTAAATAGCAAATAAACTATCGATTTACATTGTAGTTTAGAACATTTCAAGGTACACTTTAGACCCATATCTTAAATTTTTCTGGTATTTTCCCTAAAAAAAACATTTTTTTTGTTCAATGTACCCAAAAAAGTCATATTTTTTTCACGACAGTTTTTCATTTATTCTGTTCAAATATGATTTTTTCATTACTTTAAGACTGATGTGTGTAATTTTTTTCTAAGCTGAAACACTTCTTAGAACTTCAGTGTAAGTGGGCGGAGCTAAACTGCTGTAGGCTGTATGCATTCAAAATGGACCGTTTTCACAGCTTAATTTTCATATATGTACTGAACAGACTGGGCAATGAATGTTTACATATTAAATCAAACTCTTTTACTTCAAAAAAGCACTGAAAATCTGGTCTTCCATGTTATGGGCCCTTTAAGCCCATTTTACGGGAGGAATCCCGCTTTGTGGAATACCTGCAGTGAGTCTGGCCTATCATGAGAAGGCTTTTGCTGGATGTCATTCCACATCTAAGTAGCCTAAACACCAACAAGGCTTCAGACCACATGAAAGGTGGTCTGGGAAATTTGCAGCTTACTCATAGGCTTGTGACACAGACCCCACTCCCTCCCCCCCAACCCTCCAGGGAAGCTTTCTAAGTTATTTCTTTCTAAATGGGCACGTCGTCAATTTCTCATTTACTCCATTGTGCAACTCCCACACAGTCTGACACACACACTTCCTCATTCTTCGGAAGCAGAAAGTGTTCGTTTCTCACTCGAGTGCCGTCAGTGCTACCTCACTCTCTCGGACCCAAGGGACAAACTGCAGAGCCGATTAGCCCTGTTAGCCTGGTCATTCACTTGGTAGTTAGTGCCTTTAATGACTGTATTGTGCAGACATATAAAAAGTATGAGGATTGAAGAAAACAGAACAAAGACATGATATTTTAATTTTTTACCTCATGACTTCATGGCTTTTATGAATATAAACTCATTTTGAGACTGATGTGTTGGGACCGGGCCAATATAAAACCAGGAATGTTGTGAAATTTTCAAAATAACATCTTAAACAGGTGATGCAATCATGCTTGGCTGTAAAAGGTGCATCCAGGAAAGGACGAGCCCTTTGTGAGCAAGGATGGGTCGAGGCTTGTTACTTTGCCAAAAACAACGTCAGCAAAAGATCCAACAGTGTGTAAGGGTCAAGGCCAAAAAACACAACTGAAAGCCTGAGGCCTTCGAGCACTGCATTAAAAAAACTGGCATGCTTCTGTGTTGGATATCACCACATGGATGTGGGAACTCTCTGACA